TAATGGAAAGCCATCCTTCTAAGCTATAGCTGAAGTGGCATAACAGAGAAACTTTGGCATCACTTAGCTAAAAATAGGAAAGAAAAAAGTTTGCTCTGTTATTTGACATAATTAAATGAGAGTTAGAACAAGAAGTAATAGTGGTAGGGTGTTTATGTAATTAACGGTGCAAACCATCCTAAATGGTGAGAGAAAATTAAGTGTGTGCATAACAATCATTTTTTTTTTCTTACAGGAGTTTCTGAAAAAAAAAATGATGATGCGTATTCTAATATGTGTATATTTCATAATGAGATAATTTTCTTTTTTTAATTTTTAAATAGTAATAACACATTATACGATATGTGTATTTAATAAATAGTGGATTTAGAAACAAATTTGTTTTTTATTTTTATTTTATTTTATTTATTCTTTATAATAGCTAGAAAGATAACCTGCTTTTGTCAATCACAATTTCTATCCATTTAAGTTTCCTGGACTAAATATTAAAAAAGAATTGGAAACTTCTGTCATACTCACCTTAAATAACGACAAAATGAAAATAAAAAATAAAGATAGACAACACACCATCTAAGACTCAAATATTGGGTCAGCACTTCCCCTAAATGGCAAATAAACCAGATTCATGCACCCTTAAATTTTTCTTGAAAAGGAAAAAAACTATTTCGGATATATTATTATACCATGATTAAAAAATGCAAAAAGATAGCTCAATTAGAGACCATAAACACAATCATTAAGTACAAATGGAAACAATCAAGCTAATCATTTTAAGTATCGAAAATGATTCACATTTTGAAGATCTTTTCACTTCGTTTTACTTTTATTATACACCAAAAAATGATGTCATGTCCTGATATCTCTTCTCCATCAGGTCCCATATATGATGGAAGTATAGGTCCGATTTAGAAAAGAAATCATTAAGGGGATCTTATATATATATTCCAGATTAAACTAAATTATTGGGCACGGTCAATACCAAAACAATAAGGAAACTATCAAGTAAAAAAACAAAAGTTGAGCTAGCCACACGAGAAATACCAAGTGATCAAGGTAGTAAAGGAATAATAACAAAACAAATCTAATATTGTAATACAATAGATTATTTAAGAAACAATATCACTTTACCAAAAAAAATATATATATATATCAAGGCAAATGAGACGGAGAGAAATATAAGACTTCACTACATGGGTAAAAAAATGACACAAGCAAACCTTCAGCGGGGTTAAGAATTTTTTCAAGATTTGTTCTTTCATTTTTAGTAGTTATTACTTATTAGGAGACCCAAAAAAATGTATGCACACACATATAGAGGAAAGTTCATTTTTGGTCCATAACAAAAAATTTGGTCTCTACTTTAATCCCTTACAAAAAAAAAATAGTCCCGAGGTCTCGAAAAAATTCAAAGTGGACCAATGTTGATGAAATCGTGATCCCTCACAATTTGAAAAAGACCCACATTAGTCCCTCAAAAGGACTAAACTGGGTTCGCTATGAATTTTATAGGGACCAGACGACTAATTTTTCTTATAAGGGACTAAAATGAGGACCGTGTTTTTTGTTAGGAATCTAACGAGAGCTTTACTCCATATATATATATATATATATATATATATATATATATATATATATATATACATACACGCAACAATCAAATACTTGTCGTATATATACGTGAAAGCCTTAAATATGAGGAATCATAATCATACAAAAGATGAAAGCATTAAATGTGAGGAATCATAAGTCATAACTATACATCCGTCATTGTTGTACGTAGAACGGCTATAGAAGATAAGCTTATCTCAAGCCACACACTTATAACTATGTACTACGTCAGCAGGCAAGTTCTGAGAAGTGTTTGAAGAGAGAGAAAAGAAAAAGCAACTTTTAACATTATAATTACGTACTGCCTATTGTATACAGTTATAAGGGGTGACTTGAGATAAATTTATCTTAAGTGACTAGAGAGAAATGTTTACCCACACACACGCGCACACACACACACACACATATATATATATATACAGAGGCGGATCCACTTAGGGAAGAAGGGGGGCAAGTGCCCACCCTTAAATATGATGTAAAAATAAAAATATTTTCAATTTTCAATTTTCAATTTAATTTTGGGGAGGAGGGGGGCAAGTTTTTCCAATTTAATTTTGGGGTAGGATATTATAACAATCAATTAGGTTACTACAAATGTTACTACCAATCAATTTTCAATTTTACCGTTAGAACGATTATGCTGATCCAACGGTTATATTTATTTTCATCTTTGTATGGTTATGATTCCCATATTTAATACTTTATATTTATTTTCATCTTTGTATGATTATGATTTTCTATATTTAATGCTTTTACATTAAATATGGGGATCATAACCCTGTAAAGATGAAAATAAATATAATCGTTAGATCAACTAATCGATCTAACGGTGAAATTGATTGGTAGTAACTCTAGTTGGTTGTTACAATATCCTACACCTTTAATTTCCCTCCTTCTAATTTATTTTCATGTGAGTTTTTTTTTCTCTTCCACCTTCATTATCCAAACCAAATCTAGATCTAGATCTAAATCAGATCGAGCCAGCCGGCAGCTGCTCGTAAATCACGTTCAAGACCAGACCTTATTGAGTGCCCACCCTTCGTTATTTCTCTGGATCCACCACTGTATATATATATATATATATATATATAGGGGTTTATTTTTCTCATGTTACATGAGAAAACAAACTCTTCCTACACACACCATAAAAAGGTGTACCACTCATTTTTTTGTTTTTTGTTTTTTTTAAATAAGTGGGTCCCACATTGATGTATCTATGACATGAGATTAGAATTCTCCTACAACATAAGATTTATTTTTCCCATATATATATGGTCTTATCGTTTCTCAAGCTGCTTGAGATAATTTTATCTCCGGCTACTAAATCACATCCGTACAAAGATGGATCAATATTGATAGAGGTAGAGAGAGAAAAAGAGAATCATGACCATTCAAAAGTGAATCAATTAATATAAGAAAATTAATAAATAAAACGACGTAATTTTGGGGTGGTCGGAAATAAACTCATCTCAGCCTACTTGAAAAATATTTATATATATATATATATATATATATATATATAAACTATAAGTAGTCTCTTTTAACATTATAGAATAGTTTTTCATACCATAACGATATATAATCTTCACTTACGATTTCTTATACCGACAAAGGAATTCACTAAAAGACACAAAAAAAAAAAAAAAAAAAAAAAGCCCTCAGATGTCTAATAGATGCTGAGCTGTTTGTATTTGTAGAGCCAAGCCAAAGATATATCCCTCAAGGGTATAGTACGTTAATTTAAGGATTCTTAGTTGCAATGATAGTGATCAAAGTTCTATGAGAGTTTCTCATGTGCTAAATAGATATATTGCAATGGGGGAATATGCTTGGCTACGGCGGCTCTATATTTTTAGAGAGTAATATTTCATGAAAATGAATAGAATAGATGATGTTCTTTCAATGGGAGAATGTGATATTTAGAGAGAAGAAGGGACTCTCCAGGTGTGAGAGAGAATGAGGAGGGATTAGGACAAGGCACAATACAGTCATTATCAATGCACAAAAACTGCTCTATATGAAAAAAGTGGATCTTCTGCAATGAGACTTAATGACTCATAATGGAGTGTGCTCAAAAAAGAGACTTAATGACTCATAGTGGACTGTGCTAAAAAAAGTTCTAGATATAAGCTATTAAGATTAAGCACTATAAATTGGATCGGCCAAAACAAATGCTATGAACCAAATATCCCAAATGAAACACTGTTGTATTGATGATTTCATATCACATTTTTATATGAGAGCTTTCTGAACGTAAATAATGTATAGAATGACTTATTTTGTGCTAAAATTTATTTTTTATTTAAGAGAATAGAAACAATAAGGATCCAACTTTATACTATATAATTATGGAAAAAATTACTTTTATACAATATAAAAGTAATTTTATCTTCTATACACTCATCGAAAATTGTAATACTTTTTTTTTTCTTTAAATAGCGAGCCCCACTATATGTATCTCTACAATATGAGAAAAGATCTCTTATGTAACATAAGATTAAATGAACCCTATAATTATAGAAGTTCTGTGATGGATTCAGGGTTTGTAAACATAGGGGCTAGCTACGTGGCTATACCGTCAAATACAAAACGCTTTGACATTATAATTATTATTTTTTTGGTATCCTCATGACATTACAAATTTAATTTTAACACGACAAGTATTATATACATTAGATACATATTCCTCACAAATTTACAAGCTATTTATCTAGTTTATGGGCACCTTGGAGTGATGGTGAGTGTGAGTGTGAGGCGCCGACAACCAATGAGAAGCAAAGGGTGAGTGCCACAAACACAACAAAACAAACCGGTTTCCCGTTCCTCAAATATCAATGGAACCCACATCATCGTACGGTTTGTCCCCCAACCCCAAGGCCATGTCAATATCTCACATATGTTGGTGATATTCCTCTTCTCCAATTCCAACTCGACAACTCATCGTACCTTAACTCTCTCACCCAATCACAATTCGACAACGCCTCGTACCATTCCAAACCTAGTTTCACCCCTGTCATTTCTCTTCCATTCGTTTCAAAGTTTATTCTCATTTTTATTTTCCTGTCCTTTCTCTGTCACTTCCTTTCTCTCTCATTTCCTTTCTTTTCTTTCATTTACAATTTTACTCCCTATTTTTGGATGCACAAAAATTGAAAAATCCCCATGCTATGCTATTATTAGACACCTTCCATTTCTTTTGCTATCATGTTTTTTTTTCTTTCTTTCTCTCTCAAAGTCTTCCTCCAGGTGAATAACACTCTTTAGTCCTTCCTATAGCTCCCTAGGGTTTCCTTCTTTATACAAAATTTCTTTACTTTATATGTATTCTTTCTAGTTCTTATCTTTCTGGGCTAATTTTGATTATGCTTTCTTAGTAGACAAAGAATTGAGTAGTTAAAAAAACACCAAGATGGGAAGAGGTAGGGTTCAACTGAAGCGAATCGAGAACAAAACCAGCCAGCAAGTAACATTTTCCAAGCGGCGAACGGGACTTCTCAAGAAAGCACATGAAATCTCTGTGCTCTGTGATGCTCAAGTAGCCTTGATTATGTTCTCTACCAAAGGCAAACTTTTTGAGTATTCATCTGAAACCAGGTTGGTGTTTATACTTGCTGCTTCAGATATGAATTTCACTTTCTTTTTCTTCTCTAGCTTCCTTTTGGGTTTGTATATGCTTTTGGTTGTTTTGGATCCACTTTTTTTTTTCCCTATCAATTATCTTGTTAATAAAATTTTTATTAGCATCCTAATTTTTTTCTTGTTGCTAATAGGTTAACCGTGTATATAATATAATTTTTATGCTCTTCATAATTCTCTCTGATATATACTAGTGTTCTTCATCTTCGTCTTTTCTTAGTATATACAACTTCGTCATATTTCTCTACCCTAGTGCTCTTCATCTTCTTGCTCTTCTTCATCTTCGTCTTTTCTTAATATTTTCTGTTTCTCATCCCTTATCTATCCCTAACTATCTGAAATAGCACTAACCAAGTTTCAAAAAATCTGAAATAGAAGAAATTCGTTACGCCAAGTTTCTTTTTCTCTATTTTTGGTCTGGTAACACATATACTCGTATTTCTCTATCCTACCCTTTCTTTCGTGACATACAGTTTTCTCATAAGACATAATGGAAGATTTCTTTATTACTTTATAAAAATGTCTTTAGATGTTTGACATGACAGAGCCTTTCGTCTCCACCAAAATTAATACATATATGTTGTCATGCTTTTATATATATATATCAAGTCATTCACCTTGTTATTTTTCTATAAATACACAATTAAAATCTACCTAACAAATTAATATATAACTGTTGGAAGAGTAGGTCAAGATATGATTTTGTTTCTTTTGTGTTTAAGAATTTTACAAAAGTAGTCAGAGAATAACTGCCAAAGGAGTCTGGGCTTGGCCATGCGGATTAAGACTTTTTTCTTTTTCCCAAAAGCTCTTGTTCTTTTATAAATCCAAATATAATTCATCCAAATCATTTAATACAAATTTAAAATTTAGAGGCATATCATTTCTAAGTGTCACCATAAGTTTTCATTGAGACCTACGACATGTCGTGGTTCTTAGATGAAACAACTTCTCTCTCTAAACTTTTAAGTAAAAAATAATAATTAAAAACTCATAAATGATTATTATGACATTTTAGTACTTCAGTTCTCTTTTTAAATATTAATATCATTATAATTTTTATTTCCCCAAACATAATAAGAAGTTAAGATTAACATGTTCAATAACAACCTTTCATATATACATGTTGTGGAATCAATTGATACTAATTTTCCCCCCATACCCTATGAATGCGTTCATGAACATTTTTATTGAGTTAAAACTTAGCTAATAACGAACATGCATTCAGAAAAACTATGCAGGATTTGATAGGAGTATAAAATTGTAATTCCATGCATTTGGATGAACAGTATGATGACTTTGAGTCCTCAAATAATGGTAAAAGGGAGAATAGTTTGTTACAAATTAAAAATATTAAAATTACATCAGTTGACCTTTCTATGTCTATGACTATAGACGAAGGCTTTTTCTTTTTTTCAGATGAATGCTTTTAAGCTTGATACTTGCATTGCATATTATTTGTTTAATAATGATTGGAAGATAATTAATGACAAGAGAGATATAATGGATCCCACCCGAGAGCTCAATTATCTCTTTGTAGGAGTTTAAAGTCTGAGTCAGTTGATTTTTTCTCTAGGTCATGATCGATAATTCCCACTTATCCCTTCATCCTTTAAATAAAGGGTTATATTACTCTCATGTTACATGAGATAGTATAACTTCCTACAGATCCATCGATTTCTGTGCTTCTCTTTTTTCTTTTTAATAAATAATGGAGCTCACTACATGATTGTATCTATGACATGAGATAATATATCTCCTATTACATAAGAGTAATATAACCCTTAAATAAAACTATAAAACAAACAGAAAATAACATATTGCCTTTGCCTCTTCTTCGTCCTGATTCTTAAAACCCAAAAACTAGACACTGTAGTGAAATGGATAGCGCAAACTAGCCTTTTCTGTTTTATATAAGGGTTTATCGAGTCACCTGAGATGACCTTTCTTTTGAGTCATACGAGAATCAACGAAGGGTGTTCTGGTAAAATTCATATAATAAATAAATAAATAAAAAATACTAAAACACTTTTCATTAATTAATTTTCCTAATACTTCAAAATACTTTTAATTAATTCTCTTAACACCGAAAATGATGTAGGTTTGGTATGACATGAGATAAGATTATTTCAAGTGAATAAATATTTTTCTCTTTATATAATTTCATTATGATAACTGAGAATATTAGATTATTCGAAAGTAGTACAATTTGCATAACATATTGTACTAAATGTGCATATTTTAATTCCTATTGGAATTCCTGAGTGAAAGGCATTATAAATAAAGGTTAATTGAATTCTCTTTCTAATCTCTAATCATTACTACATCCTATAAATGCGCTAAAGGTTTGTTTTTCTCCACCACTTGATTCTCTTCCCAGGATTAGTAATTATGTTTATCAATGATTATGCATATATGCAGCATGAGATGAAAATATCTTAATATATATGGCTACTCTTTATGTAGGATCTTTAGGCGAGGGGTATTAGTCTGGATTACATCTCTTAGAAAATATCTTAATTTCTATAGTTTTTATTTTATCCATTATCTTTTTTTCTATCATGAATTTTGAATTTTCTACGGGTTATAAGGTAAAATACTACTTCCTTCCTTGCTCATCTATTATTCTAGATAACAATTTATTTAACTCCAAATGTTGATATTACATTTCACTAACATTTACTCTTCTTATAATTAAATTTTTACATTATTCATTAATCACTGTATCAAATATAACCAAAAACACTTGAGAGGGTGTGGCTAAAATTTTATATTAGCTAGAAATTACCTAAGTGAAGACCATATATAAGTGAAAGAACTCATGAATTTAACGTTAAGTTTTTGGGTTAGGAAATCAAGTTAATCTCACTCATTATAGTTAATTTTCATTTAGTTCATTAATAATTGTTTTCCTTCCATGAGCTCCCTTAAGGTGTGTGTAAAGAACCATTTCAACTAAAAAATTTAAGCTATCAAGTAAAGGTCCATCAATAATTTATATACTTCTCTAACACTCCTCATCACACTAGAGCCTATTGGGCATAAGGGTGGATAGTGCACAAGCCCACCTACTTGTGCTAAGAAATTTCACAAAGAAAATAGAGGGCAACGATGATTGAACCCGGGACACCGAGGCTCTGATACTATGTAAAGAATCATTTCAACCCAAAAGCTTAAGTTGTTAAGTGAAGGCCCATCAATGATTTATATACTTCTCTAACTAATGTGCATAATATTTCAAAAGAAAAATCATTTTTTTTTTAGTTTGGAGAACATAAATAATTAGAAATGGTGTTGATAAAAACGATTTATTTTTCTGTTTCAGAGAATGAACCAGTAGCTAAGGAACACAAATTGACAGAATATTAAAAATAAAAAGACACAAATTATCGTGGTTTAGTCATTAGGCATATGTCCACACTGATAATTTTCTCTCCCTCTCAGTGTTGATCAAGGAAGAGGATTCCCTTCAATATAAATAATAGGTGATACTATAATTGGGCGAAACTATTTTGCCCACAATCAAAGAAATCAGATGATTTGTTGCCCTCTTCATGGACTATATTTGATACATGATTGCAATCAATCAAATCTCCAAATTTATCTCCTTTGATATCTCCAACACCCCCTCCCTCCAGATTGAGGAAAAGATGTCAATCGAGCCCAACTTGGTAATGATGTTTTGAAAGGAGTTCTTACGAAGAGCCTTTGTGAACATGTTAGATAATTGGTTTTTACTTCGAATATATGGTGTCTCAATTATCTTAGCTTGAACCTTTTCTCGAACAAAATGGTAGGCCACTTCAATGTGTTTAGTTCTCTCGATCGTTCATTGGATTGGATGCGATATGAATAACTGCTTATCACAGTACAACTTAATATAGGGAACTCCATTTTCTTCAAGGTGATATCGAACAGGAGATCGTTGAGCCAAATAAGCTCATTGGTGGTTGAGGCCATAACATGTTATTCTACTTCTGCATTGGAATGAGCTACTATGCTTTTTTTTTTTTACTTTTCTAAGTTACAGGATTGCCTCCAACAAAGGTGCAGAAACCTGAGGTAGATCATCTGTCATGAGGGCTACCAACCTAATCAACATCAGTATACCCAACAATATCAGTGTGGTTGTTCCTTTTTAACCATATGCCTTTTTTCTAGATAAGACTTCAAGTATCTAAGTATCTAATATGCTAGATTCATGTGATCTTATATTGGTTTGTGCAGGAATTGAATAACGTAGCTTATCGAATATAAGTTATCTGGTTATGGTTAGATAGATTAACTTACCAATAAGTGTCTGAAATTGTCTTGAGTCAGATAGAGGATTTGAGTCACTTTCAAACTTACCCTTATATTCCATAGGAGTATCAACCGATTTGGATGCCAACCTACCAGTCTCTTTCAAGAGATCCAATACATATTTCCTTTTTGAGATGAATAACCCTTTATTAGATTCAACAATTTCAATTCCAAGGAAATACTTTAAGCGCCCCAAGTATTTATTGTCAAAGGTAATATTGAGATACTTCTTCAATTTATATATCTTGGTCATATTACTCCTTAAAATAACTATATCATCTACATAGATAAGGACAACAATAGTATTTCCAGCCCCGTGTTTGATAAATAAGGTATAATTTAACTTACTTTTGAAGAACTCAAATGTAGTGAGTGCTTTGCTTAACTTTCTATACTAGGCACGAGGAGATTGCTTCAGGCCATAAATTGCTCGCTTTAGTTTGCGCACCTTACCAGGTTGATATTCAAGAAGGTGACCTGGAGGTAGATCCATGCAGATCTCCTCGTCAAGTTCTTTATGCAAAATGCATTTTTGACATCCATTTGGAAGAGTGGTCATCTGTGATTAACTGCAACTGACATAAGGACCCTCATTGTGTTCATTTTTGCTACCAGTGCAAAGATCTCTGTGTAATCTACACCATAAGTCTGAGTGCACCCTTTAGCAATAAGTCGAGCTTTGTGTCGCTCAATGGACCCATCACTTTGATATTTGATGTCATAAATCCACCAGCAACCAACAATGTGTTTGCCTTTGGGAAGAGTAACAATTTCCCAAGTGTAGTTTTCATGAACAGCAACAAGTTCATCCTTCATAGTTGTTTGCCATTCTGGAATTAATTTTGCTTCTTTGAAGGTGGCAGGTTCATTATACTTGTCAATGGCCCTTAGGAATGCCTTGTGTCCATTAGAAACATAGTCAAGATAGACATAATATTGAATAGGGTAAGTGACAGCCATAGAGACATAGTCCTTTAATTATTTTGGTTGATGGTCTGATGGTTCTGGTGAACCTACGCACAGGCTGATCATGTATTACAGCTGATGGTTATAGGCTGATCTTGTATTACAATTGGTGGATTAGAGGTGGATATCTCGGCTTCAGGCAAATCAAGAATGGGTTGCTACATCTGGTGAAACAGGGCGCAAATGAGCGCAAGTACAGCGAGACAATGGAAGGTGCTGGCAGTGCGACATTATAGAAGCGAACGACAACATGACAATGATGAACAAAGCTATTTGCTGGAGCGTGACAACTCTTAGGTGGCCGGCAATTGTTTGCTGAACAAAGGAACCTTACCAAACATGAGAGGGGAGGGTAATTTTGAAAAGGGGAAATAAAAAGGTAATTTTGGGTGAGAGGGGAGGGTAATTCAGAAAAAATGAAAAAAAAAATTAGTGGTAATTTTGGGATTTCGAAACTAGCTCTTGATACCATATTAAAAAAAAGACACAATTTATCGTGGTTCAGCTATTAGGCCTACGTCCACGCTAATAATTTTCTACCCCTCTCAGTGATAATCAAGAAGAGGAATTCCCTTTAATATAAATAATATGTGATACAATAATTGGGCCAAATGATTTTGCTCACCATCAAAGAAATCAGATGATTTGTTGCCTTCTTCATGGGCTATACTTGATACATGATTATAATTAATCAAATCCCCTAATTTACCTCTTTTGATATCTCCAACACATAAAAACCATTTCTTTTTATTTTTTTATATCTCCAGACACATTATTTATCAAATGTATACATCATGCATGCAATGTGTTATGAGAATTAAATACATACTATTTATCAAATTCATATTCTCTCCACTGGAAATAGAAATATTTGTGTTAGCAAACATTTTTATTTTTTTTTTACCAAAACCTCCTTAGCACAAAAATAAAAATAAAATAAAAATATTTCTACCGAAAAATAGGACCAGGAAACAGAATGTTTGTTAACAGACCAAAATAGGGTGAGTGTGTGTGATTGCATTATACGTTTTTTACAAGTCATACTTTATAAAGTTCTAAAATTACTTTGTGTCAATTTCATTGCTTCCATCTATCATCTTGTATCTCTCACAAGAAAGCATTTCAGCACTTGAAGAATTTGTATTGCACTTGTTGGATATTTGAGAACGAGCAGTATTAACATAATAACTAGTCACAATTCCCTCTTAGCCAACTCTAACAATAGATAAGTAAAATTCACATGCTGATGCAGCCTGAGTTAACCAATTAGTCCAAATATGTCAAGAAACATCGTAAACACAAAGCTATGATTCAAAAGTCAAACAAAAAAGTGGAGGTCAAAATTTGATTAGTTCAGCCGATTGAATGTATGACGAACTGTGGTTGAGAAGGATAATGTTCGAATAAAAAACAATAGCCGATTTATAACCTGACTAGTTCAGCTAACCAGTCTGATTTAGTTTCTAAAACATTGGTATAATGTGTGAACATAAAATTTTAGATATGATTTCTTTCAATTCTAGTTTAGTACATTTTCATTTTATTTTTTGGCGACAATTCAGTATTAATATAGCTTTCATCCACTCCCAAGTTAATCTCGCATGCCCTTGCTTAAACCATTTCTCTGAAATCCTATATTCATATATTAAATGCATGTAATGTTCACCAAATGATGGTAGCTCAGTTAGCGCTAGAGAACTGAGCAGGTGGAGGTGAGAGCATATGTGTTCGATCTTCTCCATTGAAGGGATTTAAAGTCTTAAATCGTGGAACCCGCCCCGAATCAAATTAATCACGAAGCGATGAACCGATTGGAATATCTTAAAAAAAAATACATATAATGTTCCTCTCGAATCTCCCCTGCATTTTTGAGTTCATACAGAAATAATAATAATAATAATGTTATGAGTATTCAAGTTTCTTTATTTGTTTTATGGTTTCCCATTTTGACTTGTGGAACAGCATGGAAGACATACTGGAACGATACGAGAGACAAACTCATACAGAACTCTCTGGAGCTAACAATGAATCACAGGTACTTACAGAAACATAATTTCTATTGACATCTTAATACTAGCTTCCTAATACGTAAAGCAAGAAGTAGCTATTTGTCCTTCTATGTCTTTTCCTTCATACTTATTAACTGTGCATATGGGGTGGTAAGGATGAAGAAGCTTTAGGTTTTTCATAAGCTATTGATATTCTATGCATATTAAAGAAGGAATGGGATAGCTCGGGAGAAAAAATTATATAAGGATGAGGATAAAACAGCTAGCAATAAGGATGAGGATCAATGTTATTAAATTCAGACCGGTGATCGACCCAGTCGGGGTACTGGGTCAGTGCTTCACTGGTTCAACCAGTGGGTCACTGATTCAACCGCATGAACCGCATATATATATAAATTTATATTTTATACTCAATTATATAATAAATATTTTAAATAGGCAAGTGAATTAAGAACAAATGTAGTTTAGTGGTAAAAACTATAATTTATATCTTCGTAATAAGGGTTCAATTCTCACTGAATGCTATTTTGAATTAATTCTATTAAATTATATATATATATATATATATATATATATATATATATATATATATAGAGGCAGGATATTCTTACACCGGTGTAAGAGTTAGAAGTCTTACACCCAATCTTGACCATTGATCCACTTGTATCCAATGGCTCATAATACTAAAAAATTAGAGCCCTTAGATATAACTGGAATCATTGGACAAGATTGGGAGTGTAACTTACACTGGTGTAAAATGATCCTGACCCATATATATATATATATATATATATATATATATATATATATATTAAATAGTGCATATTAACTAACAAACAAACTCAGCTTAGTGGTAAGTTATTGCTGGGCACTTTCATCGGACCAGTTGATGGGCTGGTTTCTGGGCCAACCGGTCGGACCGGCCTGGCCGGTCCGGTTTTAACAACACTGATGAGGATAACAAAGAACATAATAACTTGTTCAATAACTTGTTCAATATCAGAGGAATATATATGTAAGCCATTATGATTGGTCTAGTGGTGAGTGGTTTGAGTAATTTATATTAGGTTATGTGTTTAATTTACATTATTATATAATAAAAAAGAAAGAAAGAATATATATGTAATTACAACACTACTACAACTGCAACTGCAATTTAAAATTACGATAATTGCTATCATTCCTTCTACGCCAATTTATATGTTTTTCGGGTGTGCATAATAATAAATCATTCTCTTCCTTGAAGATTCTCTTAGAAATATATATTTTTTTCCATTTCTGTGACTAGGAAGAAATCTCGGGTAAAAGTTTGATAGCACAATTTATTTTTATTCCTAAGAACATAGTTGCATTTGATAACACAATACAAATATGTTTCTTTACTTTTGAAAAAATTATAATTTATCATTGAATGTGTATAAAATGACCAAATCACAAAAGATTTTAACTGAAGTGTCAAAATTTCATATTTGACAACAATAATCGTTCAAAATAAATGTAAGATTTATCTCATGAAAATATTAAACAATATATAAAAATATAATTCATTTTTTTTATAATACCATATTATTATCTAAATTCTAAAAAAGGAAATATATGTATATATTTATAAATTATTTGCATATAAAAATTTAAAGCACAAATAATTAATATAATCAAATTTGTAGCATATGCTAGATTCTTGTCTCGATTCTTTTTTGTGCATTATTATGCATCCCAAAGTATCAAAAATAATTTCACAAAGACTTTCGAGCCATTATGTGTGCATGTTCCTAGGTTCAATTAGAACCTGTCGTGTCAAGTCAATCCAAATGTTTTATGAGGTAGATGGCATTTGGATTAAGTCTTCTTACACAGCAAACCTCTTTTTTGCTTTTGTTTTGTATGCAATGTATTATATGAGATTCTCAAGCTATAATATTCATACGCTAGTCAGCACAATCCTATACTTGTTGCAATAAATTACTTACTTTAATAATACAGAGAAAAATGAATATTTCAGACAGAAAATGTACTTTTAGGGAAATAGAAAGTTAATGACTCTGCAGGTTTCCAATTGCCTTTGCTATGGGGTAAAAGAACTTGGCAAATGATCTCCAAAAAAAAAAAAAAAGAACTTGGCAAATACAAAAATATACAGAATAGATTCAAATAGATCTTTGGTAAACTCACTCAAAAGATTTAGCTTCTTTTTTGATTATTGGGTTATCAAATTTGGTTCAATTTAGTTTCAAATTAGAATTGAGTCTAGATTTCAAGTTTCATAATGTTTTTGGTTTAAACCAAATTACATATCCATCAAGGTAGTGGTATCCATGAAAAAAAAAAAAAAAAAAAGGTACTGAAATAATCCCGGTTGGTCAAACTGGGAAGTGTCCTTTTACACATATAATGAACAAAAGTGAATATGAATTTACCTTTCCATGTTAGTCAATCAATAATGATTGAAGATCAACTGATTATAGGGAAATTGGTCTTTCGAGTACATCAAGCTCACCGCCAAAGTTGAAGTCTTAGAGAGAAACTTAAGGTACTTCTTTTGGATTTCATGTTGATTTGGAGGATACTTTAAAATTACTTCATGTTATGACAATTGGCACGATGCTACACACTCAGATTGAGTCTTGCCATCCTTTTGCATTCTTATTTCATTTTATAAAGAACACCATTTGAAAGTAATTTACATTTTTCAAAAATCATTTGGGATTTTCAAAGCCCAACATAAGAATAATACCCTAATATATTTGCTAGTGTTTTCTTTTTTATTGAGCACAATTCATCTACTAAATGATATTCATCCACTTTGGAAATCAGACCCTTGACAGGGCTAGTTACATTGTTAGATGCTTCAAGATAAACTGTATCATGGAAAGAATGATATATAGTTTCTTATATCATTTTCAATATAGGAACTTCGTGGGACATGATTTGGATCCCATGAGTATGAGAGAGCTTCAGAGTTTGGAGCAACAGCTTGACACATCTCTAAAGAGCAAGACTGCATGGCTTGTAAAATGAGAAGCATATGGACATTGAATAACATAAAAAATTCTCTAGTAACAGAATGTATTGATATGTGAATCGCAGATCCTCTAATGGTGTTTCTCTCAAACACTTAAAACACACAAGGAGTTCTCTGAATATGCTTTTTTGTATATCATTAACATTCAAGCCTTTCATTCAAATGATTTACATGGTACTATTTAAAAGCAATAGCAAATAATTAGAAATACTAATGACTAACTTAGGAAATCTAAACACATTAATGACTACTTCTTAGAAACTTTAAACTCATTAATGTCCACTAACAAATTCCTAAGAGACACACCTCTTCACCAAAAAAACCTTTCATTTTCTATTTTCTTTTATTCAAATAAAGTTTAAAAAACCCAACAAAACTCCTCCTTAAACTTTAATATCTCTACCATCCTTCATTCCCATCTTCTTCTTGCAATTTTCAAACAACAACGTCGGCAGGGGCTTTGTAAAAATATCTCCAACTTGATCTCGACTTGCAACATGAGTGAGCTCCACTTTTCCTTCTTTGACTTGATCTCGGATGAAATGAAACCTGACATCAATATGCTTACTCCTCTCATGATTTACCGGGTTCCTTGCTAACTCGATCGCAGACTTGTTGTCAACTCGGATTTCGGTTGCGCCGACTTGCCCTTGCTCCAGCTTGCTTAGTAAATTCCTTAGCCATATTGCATGGCAAACACACCAAGATGCCGCAACATACTCGGCTTCACATGTAGACAGGGTCACAATGGGTTCCTTCTTTGACACCCACGTGAAAGCCGTGTTTCCCATGAAAAACACATAGCCAGCCGTGCTCTTTCTATCATCAACATCTCCGCACCAATCACTGTCTGAATAACCCGTCAACTTGTATTTGTCCGACTTCGAGTAATGAAGTCCTTGTGAGATTGTTCCCTTCACATATCTCAGAATTCTCTTAGCCGCCTTCCAGTGAGTGTACCCCGGGTCTTCCATAAATCGACTTATGATCCCAACACTCAGACACAGATCCGGCCTCGTACACGTCAAGTATCTCAGACTTCCAACTAGACTTCGGTAGTAACTCGGATCAACTCTCTCTCCTCCATCATACTTTGAAAGTTTCAACCCGGGTTCCATTGGCGTTGAAACCGGGTTGCAGTCTGTCATTTTAAACTTCTCTAAAATTCCTTTTGCATAGGCTTCCTGAGAGACGAAGATCCCGGATTTGTCTTGTCTGACCTCCAGACCAAGAAAATACCTCATCAGACCGAGATCCGTCATCTCGAACTCCTTCGTCATTTTCTTCTTAAAATCTTGAATCATCCCTTCATCATTACCCAAGAAAATCAGATCATCAACATATAGAGCAACAAGTAGAATTTTACCTCCTTTCTTCTTCACATATAATGCATGTTCATATGGACATTGTTCAAGTCCATCCTTCTTGAAGTAATTGTCAATTCTTGTGTTCCAGGCTCTTGGGGCCTGCTTCAATCCATACAAAGCTTTCTTCAGTCTCAACACTTTTCTTTCTTGTCCGGCTTTCATGAATCCCGGAGGTTGTTCCAGATATACCTCCTCTTCGAGTACTCCATTTAAGAATGCCGACTTCACATCCATCTGATAGATCGGCCATCCAAATTGGGCTGCTTGAGAGATCAACAGCCTGATTGTCTCCATTCTTGCTACGGGTGCGAACACCTCGTCATAATCAATGCCAGCCTTCTGCCTATACCCTTTCGCCACTAGCCGGGCTTTGTATCTTTCGATCTCCCCCTTAGCGTTCATTTTCTTCTTGTAGACCCATTTCACACCAATGAGCCGACTTCCTCTGGGCAGCTCGGCTAACTCCCACGTCTTGTTCTTTTCTATCGCCTTTATTTCCTCCTCCATGGCTGATTGTCATTTCTCATCTCGGATTGCTTCTTCAAAGCTTACTTCTTCAGAATCTGCCAACAGACATACCAAGTGTGCTTCACTGGTGGAATCATACAAATCTTGTAGACTCCTCAATCTCGGTTGTCTCTGCTCTTCATCACTATCTGAGTCATTTGGATTCTCAGGAATCCGGGTCGAAAGTTGTCCGACCTCAATTGATTTTAGTCTGGGTTCCACATTGACCCCGGATGGACTACTCCAGTCCCATCCATCTTCCTCATTCACTTTTACATCTCGGCTCACCAACACCTTTTTATTGACGGGGTCCAGCAACTTGTACCCCTTCGTCTTCTCATCATAGCCAATAAACACATACTTCTTACTTTTATCTTCTAGCTTTGTCCTCAATTGATCCGGTATGTGTGCATACGCAACACTACCAAAAATCTTGAAATGAGCCACTGATGGCTTTAGACCACTCCATGCTTCTTGTGGAGTTTTATCATTCACACTTGAGTGCGGACATCGGTTTTGCACGTACACGACACATTGCACGGCTTCTCCCCAGAACTCCTTTGGCATGTTCTTCGTTTTTAGCATAGATCGGACCATATCCAGGATAGTCCGGTTCTTTCTCTCAGCTACTCCATTCTGCTAGGGCGAGTACGGAGCGGTCAGGAACCGCCTTATCCCATGTTCTTCTCAATACTTCTTGAAAGTTGTTGACACGTACTCCCCACCTCGGTCTGAGCGGACCGACTTGATGTATCTTCCAGTACCATTCTCTATCATTGTTTTAAAACTCCTGAATGCCTCTAGCACCTCGGATTTTTCCTTCAAAAAATATACCCAAGTCTTTCGACTAAAGTCATCAATAAAAGTTACAAAATATTTCTTACCACTGAAGGACCCCGGAGTAATGGGTCCACACAGGTCGGTATGTATCAACTCCAGAGGCTGCCTAGCTCGGTATCTCGCCATCCTTTGGAATGGGCTTCTCGCATGTTTTCCCAATACGCAGTCCTCGCAAAATCTTCCTTCAGAATTAATCTTCGGTAGTCCCACTACCATGTCCTTCTTCATCATCTCGGTCAGACCACCATAATGAAAGTGTCTAAACCGTCTATGCCACAAGTCCATCTTATCTTCTACCCCGGCTTGCAGACAGCCAACCTCCATGCTCCTTAGACTCAGCTTGTACATTCTGTTCTTTTCCATCTGAACTCGGGCTATCAGACGCCCTTGTTTGTCTTTCAACAGTAGAACTCAGTCTGTCATTAGAACCGAGTAACCCTTCTCCATCAGCTGTCCAATGCTTAATATGTTACTTTTGAGCTCGGGCACGTAATACACGTCCCGGATTGTACCAACTCGTCCATCCTTTTGCAAGAAATAGATCGTACCCCGGCCCTTTACTTCAATTTTGGACGCGTCTCCAAAAGAGACATGTCCGGCTTCCACCGTCTTCAATTCCTTAAACAAGTGTTTGTAACCACACATGTGGTTACTGGCACCGGTATCCAAATACCACTCCGTCTCATTCTTTGAACTGGTTTCACCATGGGCTAGCATAAGAACTCCTCCATCTCCTTCTACGGCGAGGTTTGAAGCCTCGTCAACTCTTCTTTCATCTCGGCAATCCTTAGCGAAATGCCCAACTCGGCCACAGTTGTAACACTTGTCCGAGTTGCAATCTCTTGAGTAATGGCCATACTTGCCACACTTGTAACATGCCACATTTGTTTGATTTGACCACCGACCTCTTCCACCTCGGCCACGTCCTCTTCCTCTCTGACTCGACTCAGCTCTTTCTTCATTTCTCACCTCATGACCTCGGCCACGACCACCACGGCCATTTCCACGTCCTGCTCGTCCACGACCTCTACCTCGGACATTTTGTGAATAGAGCGCCTTCTCATCTTTAATGGTTGCTTTTGTCTGGAGTGCTTGCTCCAGCGACTCCTCCTTTTTCTTCTTCTTGCGCTGCTCATGCGCCTCAAGGGAACCTGCTAGCTCTTCAACAGAAAGCGTAGCCAAGTCCTTCGACTCCTCAATTGCACATACCACGTTTTCGAAGTCGTCTGTCAACGACCGGAGAATCTTTTCAACAACTCTAGTCTCAGATAATTCCTCACCATTCTGCTTTAACTGATTCACCACGGCTTGAACACGGGTGATGAACTCGGATACACCCTCTGAATCTTTCATCTTCATGCCTTCCAACTCGCCACGTAGAGTTTGAAGTCGGACCTGCTTTACTCGGTCAGCACCTTTATAGACATTTTCCAAGATGTCCCATGCTTCCTTAGACGTCGTTGCTCCTGCTATCTTCTCAAATCCGGACTCGTCTACAGCTCGGAAAAGCGTGTATAAGGCTGACTTGTCCTTAGCACGCGTCTCTTTCAACGCCTTGGTTTGAGCTACTGTAAATCCTGCAGTGGTTGCAGGTTCAGCAAAACCGTCCTGAACAACATCCCAAGCATCTTGGGATCCGAGCAACGCCTTCATCTGGATACTCCAATTCACGTAATTCGCCTTTGTCAGGCGGGGCAACGACATACTGGAAGTGCTCACACTCTCCATAACTCAAGCTCTGATACCAATTTGTGAATCGCAGATCCTCTAATGGTGTTTCTCTCAAACACTTAAAACACACAAGGAGTTCTCTGAATATACCTCTTTGTATATCATTAACATTCAAGCCTTTCATTCAAATGATTTACATGGTACTATTTAAAAACAATAGCAAATAACTAGAAATACTAATGACTAACTTAGGAAATCTAAACACATTAATGACTACTTCTTAGAAACTTTAAACTCATTAATGTCCACTAACAAATTCCTAAGAGACACACCTCTTCACCAAAAAAACCTTTCATTTTCTATTTTCTTTTATTCAAATAAAGTTTAAAAAACCCAACATGATATACCAGTTTGAAACTGAATTTCATGTGCACTGACAAGGACATGTTAAATCAAAGTCATATATAATTTGTACTATCCTTCAGAAGGAAGGAAATGGTATGACATTACTTGAAGTAATCTTAAATGTAATTATTTCTACTTAATTCTTTGACTTTTGTGCTACTTTTTAAATTAATTTTCTGCTTGTGTAATGAAATTAGTTTTCTTACTAATCCAAGAATGTTTCTGCATAAAAACACTTGGGATTTATAAAGATAAATTTCTGGTTTGTGTATGACAGGCAAGGGCATTGGAGGAGCAAAACAGAAAGCTAGCAAAGGTAGAAAAGAATCCACATATTCCACTAGTAACATTTCAATCTAAATCTTATAGACAAGAAAGGATTAATAAAAGTAATTTTTATTGCATCTATGAGTAGATGAAGGAGAAAGAGAAGACTTTTACTGAGCATCCACACAACTGCCCAGAAAACCTGGGCCAAAATCCATCCACTGTCAACCTATGTTCTCCAGAGCTATTACCATCACAAACACTACTTCCTTCTCTAACTCTCAGGTACTTATCTTGCTTCTCTCTACTAAGCAGCTATTTTATATAGAGAAGGAACATTTTTGATTGTCAAATCTTAGCTGTAGATTCTAACTTTAGATGATGATGCAATATACAGTTGAAGCATAAGGGAGACCAAAATGTCAACCTAAGCAGTAAAGCCGGTTTTAACAATACTACAGCTTATTGGCAGGGAAAAAAAATCACATGCACTATAAAATTAGTATTGCAGTAAGTAACGAAGTTAAAATAATGGTTTAGACCATGAACTAGCGTGATGATCTTATGGTCTAAATATCAATTGCACAACTTGGATCAAATATAAATTGTCATACTTTTGAGTTTTGAAGTTACTTTACATCATTTGAAGTGAATACATCAATTCCTGGCACATTTCCAGTTTCTGATACCAAGACTTACTCCCTGTCCTGTCTTTAAATTTTGGAAAGAAAATAATTGCTCAACAACAAAAATTAATAAACATGGAAAAAAATAATGCATACAACAGAACAGATTGTTTCACCAGAAGCTACCCACTTTGCTAACTTTTATTAGCTCTGGATATAAACTGTTTATGATTTCACTAGAAGCTACCCTTACTTGATCCTAGTCTCTCTTGCTGGAACAAAATGGTGTTAGTAACATGCATATATATATAGAAAATTTCACTCTCTACATGTGTGTGATAAGAAGTAAATTATAGAATGTGTGCCAAAGTTCAATCCATAGTATGAAGCAGCCCAGACAAGGCTAGTTTGGCCAAATAACTGTGTACATTATTGTTTGAGATGATGAAAGTGTCAAAATGGTGCAGTGGGAATTTGCAAGGACGAGCATGGCTGGAAGAAAAGGCTGAAGCTCAAACCGCCCCTACTCGCAATACTCTCATGCCACCATGGATGATGCATCACCTAACTAGTTAGAATGACATAATTCTGTCAAGCATGTCACATATATATTATGAATGTTCAAGATATCAACTGTGTATGTTAGAATAGAGCTAAATGCTAAGTTTAATAACTGCTCAAACTTGTTATATGGGCTGTGACCCTCATATTTTGAAATTAATGAGAATACTGTCTCTACTATCGAGGAAGAACATATAGGTAACTGCTTCATGATGAGTGATTCTTTTAAAGTAATGATGCACCATTCTTTGTGCGCTGAAGTAATAGAATCAAACAGTTACTGTAACAACCCATCTATTTTAGTCATTTTGCGTTTTTAATTCAGTAGAATACTTACTTTATGCATGTTGTTATTCCCTTTACTAGTTTGTTAAATTGTTGGGTATATAAAATAGCTTGAGAAAGGAATAGAGGTATGGAAAGTTATTCAGAATCTTCTCCCTTTTGTTTCTTTCTCTCCCTTCTTCTCTTCTAGCTCTCTTCTTTCTTGTTCCCTGCAACTCCAACGTTCCCCGTAGCAACTTACCGCTACTCAATAAAAGTTATATTAGAAAAATGCTGCATGATGGAAGTTATATTGAGAGTTGTCCTATTTCAATGACAATGACCCTACTGGGTAAGTACTTTTATACACAAAAGTCCGTCCCGCAATCCTTTTATCTTTCTTTCCCCAGCTATTCATAGGATAAAAGAGTTTTACATCTCCAAGTTTATTTAACCTTTGGCTCAGTAGGCTTATCTTATCACCGATTGTTTGTATTCGGTTTTTCATTATGTATTCTACCTTGATTTTCACATATTAATTTAAGTGGACTATATATTATCCACTCTTTAAATCCAATGATAGAATAAAGGATAGTAAGAATTAAATTCGTGACTTCTTCGATTACAGTAACTCTGATACCATGTAAAGGCTAAAGCAATGATGTGCAACCTAAATAACCTTTCAACAAGGAAAATTGTCAACATGATTAGGAACATACAATGTAGAAACTGGTCTATTAGTAGCTATGCATAAAGCAAAGCTAATCAAGGGGCGGTTTATATATGACGGGTCTCAGATTCAGATCAAGAGCTCATTCTGAAAGTTTAGGATACTACTCAGTAGATAATATGCTGATTCAATAGAGGTAAATTTATTGTCTATTAGGCTAAGTACAGAACATGTATCTACCACATGATTACTTTTGTTCAAATAATAAAGTTCCAGTTATGAATACACGTATTATTACATGAATACACAATTGATGATTAACACTAAATTTGTGTGCTTTGTCAGATTTTTCTGTTCATCTCCTCGGTTTGTTCATGATCACCACCAGCAAGCATATACTCCCTGCCATGAAGTTGTTGCCATAACATCATCACTTGATTCATTGAGAAAACATCAAAGCAAAAAATACGGAAGAAACATAAACGAAAGGGGAAACAGTTGTATCATATTAGCGCAAGAGACAAATTAATCAAAACACGTAATCGTCTCAGCGTTTACTTTCAAAAACAAACTAAGAAGAAGCCCCAACTCAATACATGAAATATGCCCGATCTTAACATCAATTTTTTGGCTATCCGACCAACACGATCATAAATTTTAAAAATCAAATGGACAGAGAAATATCACCCATTATTATATAGAGGCCTTCTTGTTTCAAACAAACATTAATAGAGTCCGAAATTAAGTTTCATAAACAAGGACAACAAAGTCAACTAACCCAAAAAGGATTCACAAACTAATCAATCTTTGGCAACCACCATGAACATGATTTACTTATGGAGGGCCTTCTTTTTGCTCACAATCATTAGTTTAACTTATGAACTAAAGTTCTACCACGAACATGATTGTTAAGTGAGCGTTGAGTATTCAATCTATAGCATAGAAGAATCCTTCCAAGTTTCAATTATATAAGTCCATGGAAAAGTAGGATTTTGAGATGGTATAAAGTTGTCCCCAGCATTACCGAAAATTGAAAAACTTCAGATAATGAAATTCACAAAATATGTATTTTTTCCTTTTGACAATGAATTATTAATTGTTGACTAAAAATATTTTTCACATCCCAATAAAAATCAATGATACTCTAGTCAAGTATATAAATCACGCTAAATACCTGAGTCTTCTGCAAAGGCGTGCTAAAGCATCCGATCCAGTTCTAGATGCAATATCCTCAACCTTAGCAGCATTAGATAAAGTCATACTATCTGCAAGTATAAATTCACACAACTCCTTCAACGAACAAGCATCAGTCAACACAGCTGAATGGCCCCCGCCAGCAGCAAGTTTTCGGACCTCCCCAACACACCTGTGATATAGAAATTTATCATACAAAAACTTACGCAATCATGAAGTTACCTAAGCTACAAACACATACCAGTCAACAGGTGATGGATACCAAGCATATGTAGATTTCTCATTGGCTGCCTGACCATAATTATTGTAACCCCATCCATGAATTTGACCATCATTCATAGATATCAGGGTGTGGGAATGTCCACAAGCAACAAGTTGCACATCTTTTGGAACAACTAAAACTGGAATATTTCTGAAAAATATCTGAGAGTCATTAGCAACACACGAGAATAATCCAGTTTGGGGGCCGAGGCCTAACTGCCCAGATTGACCGCCACCCCAAGCGTAAAGTGCTCCTTTCTGAGTCACAGCACATGTATGTACTCCACCACATGCCACATCTTTTATAAAAATACCATCAAGGGAAACCACCCTCCTTGGAATTAACTCTTTATCCCCGTACTGGAGTGAAGAATGCCCAAGCTGGCCCATATTTCCTAGCCCCCATGAGTAGCTGCCAAGTCCAAGGACAAATATAACAAGTGAGGAAGTATTATCACAAGAAGCTTAATTTCATAAATAACCATTATTCAATACTGCTTATGGATTTCCAATAATACATACAACTGGAACAAATCATTCATTATACAACCTAGAAAAATACATGTCTGTGTCTGTCCATGTATCAAATGAGCAAAAGAAACTAAACAAATATTTAGTATCTTCTGGTACACACAAAAACATACACATATTAGAAGAGGGGAAAGGTGGAAGGAAGGGACCTAAGTCCTAAAAAAATTCTTCAGGGTAAAATTTTACTAATATAGATTTGAAATGAAACCCTAACTTTCTAGGGTAGGAAGAGGGAAATCCTTGTATGCAAACTTCCTGTTACAATTTTGCAAAGAGACTGTTTCTTGGATTCAAACTCGTGACTTCTTAGTCACCAAGGAAAAACTTTACCACTAGTCTAGACTCGCTCTCCACTCATATAGATTTGGACTCATAATCAATTGGGTTCATTTAATAAAAATAGTTCTTTGTTTACAATTGTCTCACTACACTTAACACCAACCCTCCTCATTTTCCCTAACTTGGGACAAGCAATGTAAACATATATAGATTTGGACTGCAAAAGAAAGATTATATAGATTCAGAATAGAAAACAATCTTACTTTTAACACCTCTCTTCTACCTCCCAACCACAGAACCATCCTCATCAAATCCTAGGTTCAATGTTACCCATGTGAAAAGAGTTGGAGAAAGATCAATAAAGAAACGCAACCCCCATAAAACGTCAAATATCTCAATGGAGTAACGGCTTGAAAGCTACAGTTTTACCAACCGTATGAAGTAAAGTAATGGTCCTCACCAAGGTTATAATTCAAAGTTCCAACACAGGATGCCACCCAAAAAAAGGTGTAACAGTTCAAAAAAAAATAAAAAAAATAACACTGTTCCAAACGTGAAGATCGCAAGATCTCTGCTGATTTGTTTCAAATGTGATCATAAAATTTGTCTTTTCCTTTTGGTAAATGACTAAAGGACTTGCATGAACTGAAACGAAGGGAAAGAGCTTGAGGTCCATATGTCTCAAAAATAAAAATAAAAGATTCACTCCACTCCATAACATATGAATATTAGTTTTCACAAATATTAATAACACAAAGGGCGAGGGGTATCACTGTAAACAAATTATACCTATTTATGATGCATGCACAATGTTACCATACAATTTTAAGCTTAAAAGATTTCAACTACTATATAACAAGTATAATAATCATATTTATATAAGCATTGTTCTGTAGTCGTGCTATGCCTATTTAAAATAATAATACTTCAGGAAAAAAAAAACCATGATTGCATGTCAATAGAATAAAAAACCTTGTTCCAAACATTTTCAAACAAAACCCAGATAAAACTAAGGAGGACAATAAAATATAACACGGTTGGCTCCAGGAATATATAACTACAGTCAGCTACAGTTTTTAATGGCATAACCAAGCCACGGGAATAGAAACTTGCATAATAGATGCAGCATTTCCATTGCATCTTGTCTCCTGACGTGAGATTCCCTAATGTGTCATGGGGAAAACCACAATTCTCATGCTTAAATTTATAACTATCTCCATCTAGAAAGTCCTTCAAATCACTTACACCTCGCCCTTATCAGAAATGGCTGCTGTGTGGTACTCCCCGCATGACACTTTGGTAATCTTCACAAGCTCAGGGGCTTCATCAAGGAACTTAGCATAAGAACTTATAATACGAGCCCCCTGTAGTCCTTCACAAGTAATGCCTCGGCCAAGTTGACCATACTCATTGTACCCTGGTTTATGAATTCAGTGAGAAAACCCTGATTAGTAGTTTGTAAATTCTCAAGTTTATTTTCCTACATTTGATGCTCTGTATATTGATAAGCCTGCAACCATGTCAACTCCATAAAAGTACTTATTGACATAAAATTTACAATTCATATATGAATAATAATATATTTAGAAAGAAAATAGTGAATAAAGAAAGGAAATTACTGAATTACCCCAAGCTTGTAGTAGGCCTTCCTCAGACAAAGCAACCATGTGGACAGCTCCACAAGACACTTCACGAATAATCTGTAAGTATGACAATATGAATGATGGTAAAACAGAAAGCAAGCAAGAATAGAAAATAGACCGAAAAATGCAAAAGTATCCTATTCCATCATTTAAAAAATTGTATCCCCACGAAGAAAAGGAAGAGAAACTACACATTCTACTTTGTATACAATAAAATTAAACTAAACCCTAGGAGAATGGATTCGTTCATATATCATAATTCTCAGCAATGCTACAAACTAGAAATCAGGCAAAAAGAAATGTTATGGAATGATTACATTCACAGGATGACAGAAGCAATTGCAAGAAACCACAGCAGCAATTATTCTCCTTCTTGGGCCTCATTAATTATTAGCCCTAAGGAATAGATTTTAGAAATGGTAGAAAAGATATGTTCAATCTATTTACATATAAACAAGGAAAATAATAAAATAATCAAGACAATCCAATAAATGTTGTATCATTTCTTTAAGTCACAATGAATGTACATATACATGCAAATATATATCAGTATGTGCTCAAACATATGTACTTACTGTGTTAGGTTTGAAGGCCCCCCAGAACAATCTAGGAAGATTTGATCCCTGGAATAAAAACAATATGTTGAAGAAGAAGAATTTCCGAAATCTGACATACTAGGAGCCTTTAAAAAGGTATTACCTGATTTTGCCCCCACACCCAGAGTCGTCCAGTCGAGATGGTACCATCATTTTCACGAGGTTCTGCAATGCAAGCAGAACAATGTGCTCCACAGGATACAGATTTTACAAACTCTGACTCCAATTGTTTTACTTTCGTTGGATGTTTCCTTCGCACCTCAGTTCCATCTCCCAATTGACCAAAGTCATTAGCTCCTGGGATATCGGATATATGCATGAGTCTTAGACACTTAGCACTTTTATGCTCCCTAACCATTACTACCAGCAAAAAAATAAGATTAGAATTGTAAATTAAAAAGGAAAAAATTCCTCTAAATCTAATTCATACTTTTACATATTGTTCCCTGTTAATAAAAAATGATCAAATGAAAGAACAACAGGGTCACTATTGACACAAACCACATCCCGTATTTGAAGTGTAATGGAAAGTGGAAACTCTGATGAGACATGTTAATCCTAGAATACTAAAAGCCAGTTCCTGCCGGCACTATTCAGTGAGAACATCTCCCCCTCCAAAATTAAACCTACACATTTAGTCCTCGTATTCTAAAACCAACAAACACACCCCCTGGTTTGAGTATTCACAAAACAAAAAGCCTCGTACGTAACTATTTGGAGACACAATGCCAAAATTATCCCTTTTGTGATTACTAATTCCAATAACTTGACTGTTTTTATTCTTCCATTCACAAATTGTCAGTTGTCAACAGTGTTTATTATATCTAACAATAAAGGGGGTACTTGGGAGTTTTGAATATAGGACTAAAAGTGTAGGTTTAAATTTGGGGAAGGAAATCCCATGAGCTTAGCTAACTTACATTTGCTCTAAAATTCTCAGTAGATTTATAAAGGAAATTGCTTTCCACTTCCCCTTCTCCCCTTTCTGGCCCCCTTGTGGAGATCCTGAAGGTGTAAGTAATTTATTTATTTGATATTTGTTTGACTTCCCAAATAACAAGTAAATAAATAAATAAAAATCGTGTAAGAAACAGTCCCAACAGAACAATATAAAACAGTATTTGAAAATGAATGAATTATGAATGCATGAGCAATGTTTAAAACAAGTAAACAGTAAAAAGTCCAAACCCCATGTAAAAAGAGAGCCATCAGAGGCTATAGCTGCGGTATGCTCTCGACCACAAGCAACATCTAACCAGCGAGCATTGATACCAGCTGGACATCCAAACAGCTCAGGAGGAAGCTGTTTTGGAATCCTCAATTGATCCTCTTTCCCCTTTCTCCCTGTCTGCCCTGATTGATTGTATCCCCACACATAAATTGCACTCTTCCTTGGAACACTCACCGGTCGAATGCTCCCAAAAATCTTATCAATATCCATAGATTCTTTTCTTTACCTTAAATGCAAACAAACCATTCAACCAATAAGTGCAATTTGTAAATTAAATACCACACATGATATGAATAATAACAACAATAGCAGGAAAAGAAATCCCCAAAAAATTTCAATGATTAAATTAAACCTACACAAAATGAAACTTGATTCTGACTCTGCTTTCTATATCACCTTAATTTCAAGAAAAATGAAGAAAAAAATGGCGAAATAGAACTATTTCCTTATGGAATATCATAATTAAGACAAACTAAAAAGGAGAGCTACTAAAACGAAGTTGAAATTTTGGGAAATGGATATAGTATGAGAGGAAGAGTAGTGTGAGAAATTGAGAGAGAGAGAGAGAGAGAGAGAGAGAGAGAAACAGTAGCTTACCGAAAAGGGAAAGGGAATCGGAATGGCAGAGAATGAGAATAGAAAATGAGAGGAAGAAGTTTGAAAGAATGAACAATGCCTAATGCACAAATGTCGCAGTGGACTTGAACAAATACCTCATAAATTTCGAATTTTTCTAGATACTTTATTTTTATATTTTTAAATAGGTTATTTTTTTAATCTATTCTTAGGAAATTTATTTTTAAATTTCCATCCAACCGTATTTATATAACAGAATTATATTTACAAAAAATTTATTTATAAATTCTTACAAATTATATTATGTATTATAGATAATACATATTATTTAAATATGTATTAGTCATAATACAGAACATAATTTATAAGGATTTACAGATATAACTTAGCCTTATTTTATAATATAATATTTTGCTTGCTAAGCAAGGTTCCTTTAGGTAATAAGCTTAGTATTCTTTGACTTAGTTAGGTTCCTCTTTTGACTAGTTAATTAATTATTCAGATAGTTTGAAAATCATCTCAATTAGTGGGCAATTATATTATTTTTTTAGGAATGGTAAAAAAGTTTAAGTTAAGGGAGTGGTTATATTTATTATTAAAAGAATTTACAACTCTTACTATTAAATTAATTATCGTTGATTATTGTTAATCTAACAATTATAATTTATTAGATCATATTTATTAATTAATTATTAACGGTGATTAATTTAATAATAAAAGTTTTTCAATAATAACTATAACTAGGGGTGTTAAGGGACCGAGTCGAGCCGAGCTTTGGTCTTAAAAAGCTAAGTCTGTGTTTAAATATGTCAGCCTGACCAAGTCTGTTATCTGTTATAAATATAATTATCAGCATATGGCATGACTTATTTACAAAAAATAATAGTCCGATTTAGTCTGTTAGCCTGTTTTAAAAAAATAAGACAACAAAAAATTATCCAAACAGAATATACAATCAAAACATTAGTAATTCCATAAATATTCATAAATTCAATGTATATTTAAACAACATAATATAGAATAAAATCATTCAAAAAGTCTGTTTAATTAATAAAATGGGATGAAATGGATTCAGGAGAAAAAGAGGGCTATTACAAGTAATATAAAAAATATAAAAAAAAATAAAAATTAATATATTAGGCTAGCCTGAGAGGCTCTAAGGCCGAGCTTTTGAATTAGAATCTGAGACCTTTTTATTAAACGAGCTTTTATACAAGTCCAAGTCTGGTTCAACAACCAATTTTAGACATGTAAACTCAGGCCTTCACGAGCCGAGCTAAAGTTCCCTAATTCGTTTACCACCCCTAACTATAACCTCTCCTTTAAGTGAAAAAAAAAAGTATATGCTTTTTTTCTATACAGAAAAGTATATGCTTTAGACTATAAAAAACTAGTCAAGATAATTTTCTGCAATTCACTATATTTATTTTTATACATAACAATTAATAAAGATAATTAAATTTTATGTTTTTAATTCATAAACCAGCTAATTTTATTAATTTTATTTTCCTTGATAAAATTTCAAATATTTGATAACATTTAAATTAGTTAAGTTATATCATGCATAATCTATATTCACTTGAATGATAATTATTGAAACATTATAATTCTTGTACTAGATAAAAAAAATATGTTATTATTTTATTTTCAACATATTCGAAAGAGCTCTTACCAAAAAAAGTCTGAAAAGCCATGAGAAATTTATAAGTTAAGAGATGAAAATGTTGGCCACTTATCTTGGATATTATCGAATATTAAAATTTTACATGCAAATATAAAAAGAAAAGAAAAAATAATCATCAAATTATTATTAATAATAATAAAGTTGACATTTTTTAAATATATATGTATAGTTATTTATCGTGTTGATTATTATTTAAATTCATTGAATTTAAATTAATTTGATAAATTATTATTATTTTATTATTAGATATTAATTATCATTTATAATTTTAATTGTTATTTTTGTATAATGAGTAAATATGCCTGAAAAAGAGAATGATATTTAAACAACATCTGTCACGTAATTAAATCAAGCTGAATCCGGTAATTTCACATAGTTGTATTACTTCAGTAAATAAAACTTTTCCCTCATCACATTCATAATTTTTTGTTTATTTTAATTACATGAGTCAAAAATCCTTATATCCTATGCTAGGGTTTTTTCTCCCCCACATTATTGAAGTAAGTCTTGAAAGACGTTTGAATTGTAGAAGGTGATAAGATTTTTTTTTTATTATATTATTCTCTTATAAAAGTTTACTCATGTTCTTAATATTAAACAAAATATATATTTAATATTTTAAAAATATTAAATATGTTTTTATATTTTTGTTTAATAATTAAAAACATTAAGAGAAAATGTAAATTTAGTTAAGAAGTAATAATAACACATGAAAGATGAGATATTGGGGGAGGTGGCTGATGTAGACAAACCTCAAAAGTCAAACCACAAGTTTCCTGCGAGTTCGGGGGAAAAAAGAAGAAGAATAAGACAATAAGTTAACATAAAATAACAATACTTAAATAAAAAGACATCGTTGTTGTTTCTCTTCTCAGCTTATTATGTCATCAAGAATTAAGATCAAACAACTTCAATTCCAATTTACGTGAGACCTGGCAAAGCTTCTGAACTCTGGTGCTTCTCCTCTCTCTCTAACCTTTCCGACACTCCTACCCTTCTGGGTATTCTTAATACCCTTTTCTCACTGCTAATTGGTCTTAATTATGCTCGTTTTCTCTCTTGATTGTGTACTATTCCGGCGCAAAGATTGCGTTTTTATTTTTGTTTTTATTTTTCATTTGAAATTTTGATTTTTTTTTTATTTCTCTAATTTTGTTTTGTTGTTGTTGTTGTGTTGTTTCTAAATCTGATCTTGAGATTCGTTTGGGGCAAGAATTGCTCATATTTTCGAACATGTTAGATCATTCAGAAAATGGGATTAGTCATAATTGATGCTGGTGTAGCTGATTTTGTATATTTACCTTCATGCAAATTAATAACTTGTTTTGCAAAGGTTGACATATGGAGATTCTATTGTCTTGATTTTTTTACCATTTCAAATTACTAAAAGGGATTTCGGAAAGATCTCCTCTTTGTTAGTTCAGCCTTAATTTTTGAGCAAAAAAATACCTTTATGAAATTTGGGATAACTGTTCATAAAGAAAAATAGAGAAGATATATGACTGGTGTTAAGGTACTAGATTATTCTTCTTCCTTCTTTGCAATAGCAATCTTACTTGATATTTATTTATGTTTTAGAGACATTACAGATACAACAGGATCATGACTGAGACTACCAGTGCCAACTCTGAAAAGAAACTTGTACGAATTGATATTAGTTCTGATACTGTATGCCCATGGTGCTTTGTTGGCAAAAAAAATCTAGACAAAGCCATGGCTGCCTCTAAGGATAAATACAACTTTGAGGTCTAATATTCTCCTCTCTTTCTCTCTGTGTGTGTGTATGAGTGTGTCTTTGGCCCAAATATGTCTGACATTTCATGTGCTAATTTGCTGTTTGTCTTAATTTACAGACAAAATGGCACCCTTATCAACTTGATCCTAATGCCCCTAAAGAAGGCATTGACAAGAGGGAATATTACAGAAGAAAGTTTGGATCTCAATCAGAAAAGATGGAAGCTCGGATGTCGGAGGTTTTCATTTTATTAATCACTCTTTGAATCACATTTGTTATCATTGGTTGAATACTTGAATTTTCTATATTTCATCCCACCAATGAATTTTGAGCAAGTCATTGTTTCAATTTGGTATTTGGCAGGTCTTCAGGACTGTCGGTCTGGAATATAGTTTGTCAGGACTCACGTAAGATTAAGAGTGATTTTTCAATTCATCAATGGACGAACTTCTATAGTCATCATTGAAATGAACAACTTTAAAAGAGTGGAGAGTTCTGAAGGAGAGTTGTCTGAGGTTCAACTAACATTGTTTTAATTATCCACAGGGGAAACACTATGGATAGCCACAGGCTTATATATTATTCTGGACAGCAGGGTCTTGACAAGCAACATGATCTCGCTGAAGAACTTGGCCGTGGTTATTTCACACAGGGAAAATACATTGGTGATCAGTAAGGACTTTTTTCTTTTGGGGTGTCTATGGTTAAAGCTATTTTTTTATATAGTGAACCTTTTGGTTGTGTGTTCAATTAATGGCACTTTACATTTATTGCTTTAAGGCCTTGGAAACTCATTAACGGGGATATTTTGGATGCTCCTTTGAAGGGCTATCCATCAGTATGGATTTCAGTAGCTGTATTGTTTTACTTTTTGACGGATCAAGGATCCTCAATATTCACTTGACACATGATATATTTTTTTCACATCTTAATGGTTGAATATATCATTTTTTACTCACTGCTTGAAGAATATTAAAACTACAAACAAATTTCTTCAATGAAGGGTCTTTTAAATACTATGGTTTATATGCTATGTATAATAAGTCAAAAGATTAAAATAGAGTGGAATTGAATGCTCAATATGAAACAAATATAGTAAGGCAGGCAGGGCCATAGAAAATGGTATGATGAGTGGTCATTTGAGGTAGGATTTAGCTGATAATATTTTATTGCAGGACATTTGTACCAAGTGTCTTAAAATCTGGTTCCAAAATTGACAAGCATGATAATTTTTCATTTGGATGCAGTAAGTTTCTTCTGGAATCTGCTGCGAAGGTCGGTATAGAAGGGGCAGAAGAGTTTCTTAAGGACCCCAACAATGGGCTGAAGGAGGTATTTTTTCCTTACAAACAATCTCCTTCCTTCTGTATTTAAATTCAAATGATGACTAAAATATGTTTCATTGTATGAGATTTAATCTAGGGAAAAGTTTACCAATGTCCCGTGGTTTGCTTCAGAATCACCTATACCCCTGTGGTTTTTCTTTTATCACGTATGCCCTTGTGCTTTGTAAAAAATAAAAAACCACAAGGGCATATCTGATAAAAAAACATACCCTTTTGCAAACCACGGGTACATATGTGATAAAAAAAAAATCACAGGAACATAGGTGATTCTGGAATAAACCACCGGGACATTGGTGAACTTTTCCCTTTAATTTATTAGGGGTTCTAAGTTCTAACTTCCAAATGCTTAATGTATTTTCTTCATTTTAATGTTAACACCAAAGTGGTAGCATGAACTTTTCAGACACATTCAAAATTTTCAGTTGTGCGACCACAATAGATTGCTTTCTGGCAATTTTCATGTTCAGTTTAGCAATTGAATGAGATTGCATCACCACTGATCATGCTTTCTTATGACTCTACCTAGGTTGAGGATGAGCTCAGAACATACTCAGGAAACATTACAGGGGTTCCATATTACGTGGTAGGTGTATGAAATATTAAAATCCTAGTTTTTTTTTTTTCAGATTCATAATGTTCAGCACTGAACATATTGTGACTCATTTAATCATTTGGCAGATTAATGGGAATCAAAAGTTAAGCGGTGGCCAACCCCCTGAAGTCTTCTTGAGAGCTTTCCAAGTTGCTACAAGTTGACTTTCAACTTCTCAAAGTTTCTGTTGTCATAAGGAGGAGACCTTGAAAATAAAAAAGTTGGCTCTTCGCGTTAGTGCTATATTATACTTAAATAAAAAATGAACTTCTTCCAAGATATAAGACCATGTTCATATCTTCTACATTGTACATCTTCATTCCTGTCTTTGCAGCCCTACCGGATGCAGCAATAATAAGTTGAATGACTGTGCTATTTTTTTGACAATGCAATCTTAACTGCTGGTCTACAACCAACAATTACGCAACTGTTTGGTTTTGTTTGATTTTTACATAAAAATAACTATCAATGTTTTGATTAGGAACTTTTCTGTTTGGTTTTGTCTGAATACAAAAATATGAAGATAAGTACATTTGCCACTTTAGTTTTGAGTAGATTCACTCCATTGTCAACTAAAGAATAAGAGAATGGTTAACAGGACATGACTTATTTGGATGATGTTTTTATACTTGAGGAATGTTAGTAACATATTTTTGGTACTTCTCTTGATAATTTTTTTAGGTTATTTAGCGAGATTATAAGATTTGAAATAATAATAAAGATAGTATTAAATAAAATTAAAAAGTGTCTTATTTTTGTCTGTTAACAATGGAATTAAGTGCTTCAATCACACCGTTTCCTAGTAAAAGAAAATAATAATGACATATGTATTCTCCAAGCATTAATGGTGAAAGAGTCTCCCAATTAGCAATCATGCATGGCTTCTTTTTCCGTATTGTGGGAGCTACCCCCTCTCGAAATTTCATCAGCCTTTTTACATTTCCTTGTCTGACAGCGAATCTAGCTCTCTAACTTATTTTCTTCCCTTCTCTTTTTTCTTCATTCCATGTCCTTTTTTCCTTTCTTGCACCTTGATTTGGCAAAGAATCTCAATTCCTCCGGTGATACTTGTTGAAGATAGCAATAAGATATCACAAAATACTTTTAAAAGAAATGTGTACTCCTTGGAGTTTAGGATCAAAACTTATCCCTTGACTTAGTGCAAGTTCAACGAAGGGTCCATGCAGATTTGTTGAAGTTGTAGTTTGTTTCTCTAGTAAGTTTTAGATGTTATTTAGGTGGTGCATGCTTTGTTTTGTTTGCTAGTTTCTGTCTGAATCAAAGCTTGCAGGTAGTTTTGTGGAGCTATGTAAGTATCCAATAGTCCAAACTTGTAGCATAACAGTTTTTGTCGTACTTCTTGGTTTGGTCTCATTTATACTCAACTCAATATAGCATAACTTAACAGTATCATAACCCTTTCAGGCTCGGTGCTGTCAACACGAATATATTTTGACCAAAAAGGTTATACTTGTGTATATTTTTTATTCTTCATCATAAGGTTCTATTTCACTAAAAAATGATTGAATATATGTTTAACTTATTTATTAATTATGAATCATTTTTCATTTAATAATAATAAATTACCTTGAAGAATGGTTCAAAACTCAAATAACAATAGAGGCAGAAAAAAGAAGAAATCCTTATATAACACAAGGCAAACTGTTGAAACCATGACAAAGTTTCCATATAAAATTGCATTTTCCTTTTTCCTTGCAAGTTTTGGCAAAGGAGAAAAGTATAAGCATAGAAACAACTTGGATGAGATTGAACTTTCAATGATGGTTAATAAAACTTATATACTAACTATACATGATAAGCGCTTAATCTGAAGTATTCACAATGTCTATACTTGTATTTTTCCTTTTCCTGTTGTTGGCTTCATCCGCGACACAAACCTTATAATCAAGATCAAGTCGTTTCATCGAATACCATCACCTACACCAAAACAAAACAAATAAATAACTATCATGATTCATTAAAATTCAACTTCTAGTGCAGCATTTAATTTATCAATCTGAAATGCACAATTTGTCAATAACAAAATAAACTATTATTCAAGTTCTAGCACTCCAGTCATGCTCAGCTCAAATATATTTAAATACAGTACATTATAACAGTTTGATCAATATAAAAATCATATATTATCATAAATGATTCAGTGCCAATTGAAAAAGAATATTAGAATCAAGCTCAAACAGTCAGACACGCAAATTGACAAACGTGTAATATTTCACATATACACAATCTGAATGCAAGATGGGTGGAAATCAATTTCAGCTAAAATAATCAGAATCAAGCTCAAGCACCAACTCATGCATGCGCTTTTTGTGCCTTTCCATATCCAATAAATATATATAAATTTATACTGTGAGAAAGCACATAATATCACATATATCCTTTTTTTCCCTCTATTTGATCAGTCAATAAACCATGCCATTAAGTTTGCAGCAACTCACAGTCAACAACATAAATAAGTCTCACATAGAGCAAACTTTACGTTTCTGTCAGCAAAGCCTTAGTTTCTAAACATGACATGACACTAATACCCTTGTATGGAGAGTCATAAGACCAAAAATGCTTTACACTTTACAGTATCATATGTTAAGGCACTTAAGTGCAAACAAGAGCATAAGCAAAGTGTGAAAAAGATAAGAATATCGCAGTAGATGAGTGGACATGCAAGAAAAGATAAGATCAAGAATGAATGTAATAGAGAGAAAGTTGTAGTAGTTCCTACTGAGGAAAAGATAATAGAATCTTTCCTAAGATGATTTGGTCATGTGAAGAGAACAAATAAAGGCCCTAGTTAAAAGAGATGATCATATGGAGGATGGCCCAATATGCATAGGTAGAGAAAGATCAAGGAAAACTCTTAAGACTCCAAATATTATCACAATGGAATCATTTGATCTGTGTAACTGATCGCACCAAGCGGGAAAAGGCTTTTGTTGTTGTTGTTCATTATCAATCATGCTGAAAAGTAATATTTTTTCCATATGATGTTGTGACCTAGTGTACAAGACTAATGAAGTGGATTGTCATTTTACGTTTGGTCTGCAAACTGTAAATGTAAAGGAGAAGAACCTAATATCTTTTACTTATCATTCATATACTTTTATTTATTATATCATATTTTACATAATCCCATGCATTGCACAGGTAAAAACCTAGTATTCTTAACCAGAAGGCTTGGTATTTGCTAGCCTGATGTTTGCTATGCAATCATGCCAGTTGCCGGTTTTGAATCCAAGCTTTGTCCCTTTTGCAGATTTCCAATTAAAATGATCAAACTGAGTGACACCATGTCAGCACACAAAGCCATTGGGACTGATAGAATTGGGCCTGTTTGCCAGTTTGTACAGGAACTGGCTGGTTCAAACCAGTTCACAATGGTTTGCACTCTGAACACCATACAGTTTACAGGAAATAACCAAACCAGGGCATAGTTAGTTTGCTAGTTTCTGGTTATCAGCCACGGATTTTTATGTGTTCTATGCTCCAATTGTTGATGAGCTACAAGTGATTTTAGTGAGAAAGAATTCAGAAAATACCAAGTAAATATTACCTTCCCACAAACTGGACAGGTATCACTTCTCTCCATCCACTCATAAATGCAACCAAGATGAAAATGATGAGAGCACTTTGTCACTATCCTTGGATTCTCTTCAGTGTATTCTGCAAGCAAAAATAATAGCAGAAATATAAGAATCTGACAAAAGTCTTATTCTCATAATAGGGTGTTCCCTGGCATTAACAACCTTTTGTTTGCAACAGGGATCATGTCTTCACATGCACAAATAATAATAAGAATTTAAGGATTGGCCTCCCAGGTTCCTGTGCTAAGGTTATATTCTAACTTATAAACCAATGCTGCATCAATATATTAATAATTTATGGTTTTCTTCCTTAGAGATCAACTAATAGAAGAGCATAGAGAATCCATTGAGCAAAGCATATTTTATTCTCTCTAGTTATTCAAAATATCCCACTTTCATTTTGCCTCTTCACAATTTAAGGGAAAGAAGGGCTACACAAGTATACCAAATAGAAACAGTATTATGTCAAGACATGTCAAAAAGAATACAACAACTCATAATTCCAAACAAAATTGAGCCCCAGCATCTTGTAGTTTTCTAATGAAAATTTGAGTATTAAGTTTAAAATATCTCGACCTTCAAGACAAGTTGGACAGACATCCTCCTCTTCTGATGATGCATAGACGAGCCCAACTCCAGTAGTAAGTTTTGCTGACGAAAGTCTTACTGAGGACTTAGAATGGTATTCCTTTGAACCAACTTCACCAGTACATTCATTCCATTTGTTGCCTGAATTTAAAGATTCTGGGTCCGCATCTACATCACCTGTTAGAGGTTCTGACTCCTCATTCAAATGACTTGAACCCTTCTCACGTCTTGAAACTAGTCCATCACGCTGTGAGCGGAAGCACCTTGGGTCTGCATCATAAGGCAAGGGTCTTGGAGGAGAACGGTACATGTCAGATAGCGAATCATCAAGTGAAGCTGTAGAAGTCATAGATGCTGCCCCCTGTATAGATGAAGGAATGGAATGCACTTCCCCTCTACGGAATAGTGATGCGTACTGAAATTAGAGGTAAATTGGGAAAGGATTATATTATATTATAGAGTAAATCTCTCATCAATATCAGGATACATCATCCTGAGAAATGGAATTAAGAGTAAAATATTCTTCAAAATGCTGTCTACTGAATATTAATGTAAATGGAAATCAATACAATGGATTTACCACCAATATACTTAGACTAACAGATGCAGCAAAGTTTTCCTAAACCAAATTATAGGTGATATTTGATTTTTTGTGGCCTTCTTACAAGCAAGTAAGCACTAGAGCTTCAGAAAAACACCCGTCCAACAATTGGCTTAGAGGTAACATATATTTAGACTCACTTGTAACACTGATAGCACTCACAAGTCACAACATTTACTGTAGATTAGCACAAGTGCATATATGCAATACATCACCATTTGTACTTTTGTAGTGTTTTAGACAATTGGGACATACATTTCAAGCCTACAGGTATGAAAAACCAGAACACTAAATGGAAACAATTGGCAAATCGCCCCGCATATAACTTCATTTATGAGTAATTTTTCACATTATGACAAAGGAACAATAGATAGGATGCATACAAAAAACGGACAAGTGCTCCTGAAAATTTATGAGGTTTGTTTGCCACTTCACAAGTATGGAATTCCAGGCAATAACAATGCATTAACGCCTGATCATGAACCGAGGCATCGAATTCAAATTACAGAGAACAACATAAAATATGGGGAAATAATTATCTCATGTTGCATCAGATAATTATCTCATGCAACAGACAATATAGTGAGGTCCACTATTTTTTCTTTTTTTTTTTTTTTTCTGAAAAAGTAGTGGACCCCACAATCTTATCTCTGTTGCATGAGCGTGAGATCCCTAAAATATAAGATGGAATGCAAAAAGTGAAACGAAAGAAAACAAGGGAAGGGCAGAGGGCAAGGAGTTAAGGGTTAGAGACATACCACATTCAAAAAGCTCTGTACGAAGCAACTGAGACACACACAGTTCCTATATACAGGAACATTTGGATTCACATAATCTTCAAATTCATCAACACTCAAACAACCACAAACAGAACCCATTGTTCCAGCTTCAATATCTTTCTCTCTTTTAGCTTAAATTTTTCTCACTCGTCGACTCAACAGATCACCAAAATATTAATGGTACTGCTGCATGCACGCTTTGACAAAAAGGAGCCCCCAAAAGCACTATCCAATAACTATGCTTTCACACATAAATAAAGGAGAGAGGATTCTAAGCTCGCAGAAGTTCCACTACCTCCGCAAACCAGTACCCTCCCTCTTCTGTTCAGGTGATCTGTAATATGGATAAACAGATTCTGATTCTCTTGATCACCTGTAAAATACACCAAAATTACATAAAAATCACTAAAGAAAAAATGAAAAAGGTTGTAGTAGAAGCTGTCAGTTATGTAATTTAACCAATCAAACTAACTAATATTTTTCTAAAGGCCTATTGAGCAATGCAACTAATGCTGATGCTCCAAATCCAAAGCAGCATGTATACAGAACATCATTGGCAAATCAGGACTCTAAAATAAAGATCAACACACCTGTTTTCTCTTTAAGGGGAAAAAACAAGTATGATAAAACTTGAGAGAATAACTAAAATAAAATTGAAAAAGACTATTGCAAATTTGAGAGCTTCAAGGAAAAGCTATATAATTTGTTAACAATTTTCCTTCAGATTATGCAAAAATTGATTCTTTACTTCACTGCTAAGCTAGGCCACTACATCAACACAGCAGAAAGATCAATGTTTCCCTCTCAGCTGGAAAATCAGAATCACTATTTTTGGATAACAACCCATAAACATATAAGCAAGGCACGCCCTCCATCCCAGGAACTGGAAATTCTTTTATAAAGGAAAAAAAGAAGAAGACAAAATCACATGCAAATTATCTAGGTAAAGGCAGACACCTGAATTTTCTAAAAAAGAAGGAAAAATCAATCGTGAAAAACACCCAAATTGATTACCCCATAAAAAAAAAAAAGAGAGGGAGAGATACCCAATTGCGATTATCAAACAAGAAAGCAATCAGACGATCAAAAAGGGAAGTGGGTAAGCGAGGAAAAGGACAAAAGATGGAAATTTTGGAAGAAAAAAAGAAGTACCTGAGAGAGAGAGAGAGTTTTGAATATTGTTCTTGGGGGAAGACAACAAGAGAGAGAGAGAGAGATGAAACTTTGGAAGATTGAGAATGTTTTAGATTGGGAAATCGGATTTTCTAAAAAGAGGGTTTTGGATTTTTCATTCACCAAATTAGTGGAAGCAAAGCAAAACAGCTATTTCTCTCTCTTCTTAGGTTTATGTTTTTTCTATTACCCCTTTCTGCATTAGCCTTTGTGAGTGGGTGGAGGAATCTATATCCCTTCCCAACTTTACATTTAAATATTCTCAAGATAATGACCCTTATTTTAATATATGAATAATAATAAAATGAATTCTAAAGTTTTTTTTTTGTCTAATGTAAATATTTGATTAAAGAATTTGTAACTTCTTCAATTTTTTAAATGTAATTTTTTAATTCCTTAACTTAAGGTAAAAAAAGTACTCAATAAGTTTTAGTTTCATTTTTTAAACAATTAATAAAAGATAAATTTTCATATTTTAATGTATAATAAATAATGTTTGAATTTTTAAAAAAAATATTTTTAAAAATTTATATTTACAAATGTATAACAATAATACCTTATAAAGTAAAATTTTAGAAATAAAAATTTCTATAAAAAAAAATTTAAGCATTAAGTGTATTAGCCTATTATAATAAGAAAATAATTATTTTAAAATGAAAATGTCATATATCCTAAAAAAAAAAAAATTACATATCCTGATATTGCGATTGCATTCGTGATTTTTTTTAGTGAAGAGAAGAGGATATAAGAGAAAAAAGTGAAAGACTTACACAGAAAAACTAAACTTTTGTTTACGGAAAAAAAAAAAGGAGAAAAACTTTTACAAACAATTACAAAGAAAAATTTAAGAATACTGAAAAACATTATTATAAATTAAAAACTAAGATTAAAAATAATTTAAGAAAGAAAAAAGTAAGAAAGCTTTGTAAAATATTATCATAGAAAAACTAAAGAATGTGTAAGTGTATGTAAGAAAGAAGAATGAATTCTCTCATAAACATAAGCTTAAAAAAATTAAAAATTATTAGCTTAAAAGTTAATTAAAAATACGTATTTCAAGAAAAGTGTCTGACTTTATATGATTTTTCATTTCAAGAAAAACTGATAATAGTTTTTTTTAAAATTCTTAAAGCTTTTAACTTTTGACTTTTTTTTTAATCATAAAAAAAAAGAATTTGTGTATAAAGAGAAGATAAAATAAAAAATAACACAAAATCATATAAAAAACTGTAATCATCCATATACAAATTAAGGGTGATAAAATAACATATTAAGATAAAGGAAGAAAAAAAAATTATAAATTTGTTAGATCGTCTCAAATGAGATGATTTATTGCCCTGAAAACATACATGATACAACCAAATAAATCATATAAAACATACCTATTACAATGCGCAGAGATAAACGAGAGACTCCTTTACAAATTGACCTCGTTGAAGCTCACTTGGAATGTAATCATCTTCTAAATCGTTCTCAAATTGATAAAAACAGTGAGTGAGAGGTTGTGTATTCTCTTGTACTAAACGCATATAACGACTAAACACTATTTATAAATGAAACAAATAAACCCTACCTATTGTTTGGGCTATTCCTGTATTAGGGCTTTATTCTAACATGAGATCAAAAATATAAATCCAACAGGATAAATAATAAGGAAAAAAAGGAAAAAAAAAACTAATGATTCTTTATTAGTACAGATCCCTATGATATATATAGATATATGGAGGGAGATCATTTCTATATATATATATATATATATATATATAAAAGATTTAGTGAATATAACGTGATTGTACCTAAGAATTTGTACTAGGGGTGTTCATAAATCGATCCAAACCGATTTAAACCGCAAAAACCGAACCGAAAAATCGAAAACCGAAATAACCGAAAACCGAAAAACCGAAAACCGAAAAAAATTACTGGATTGGATCGGTTTTCGGTTTTGATGTTGAAAACCGATCCAAACTTTTTTTTACCAAATTATACCTATTACCTATCCCAAATAATAGCCGGCCCAAAGTTTTAAACCCACTCGTGCGTTAGCCCATCAGTTTTAAACCCACCTAAAGTTCTAAACCTAATCCATCCAAACTCACTCTTGCCGTCCTCTTAGTCTCTCACTCTTCTCAGTCACTCACGCTCTGGCACCAGTAGCATATCTCTTTCTTCTCAAAAATCAACGTTTGTCTCTTCCGTTAAACAGCCAAATAAACATATAACAAAGGTACTATAACACTTGATTTTATTTGCATCAAGGGCATGATAAAGGTATAGCAAAGCAGATTTCTAAATTTCTTCCCGTTATTCGTGTGATGAAGCAATAATATTTTCCTTCATTTTTTGTTGGTTTCAAACAATCGCCTTTTATTTTGTGTGGTTGTGACATAACGTTTTTAAGATCTCTCGTGTTCTCTGCAGTTCTTCTGCTTCTAATCCATGTGAACCAATTCTGATAACCGTTTCACATAATCTTTGATTTTGTGTGGCTGGGACATAATCTTTGAGCCTTTAACTGATGTACAAGACATGTGAACCAATTCTGATAACTGTTTGAATTTTGAAATGTTTTGAAACATCGTCACTTTTTTAAAAATAATTCTTTTAAGTTTTATTTTTTTGGCTTTTCAAAAAACCGAAAACCGATCCAATCCAAACCGAACAAAATTGGATCGGATTGGATCGGATTTGAAAAAAAATTCAAACCGATCGGATGATGTAATGACCAAACCGAAGGAATTGGATCGGATGGTTTTTTGCTTCAAAACCGATCCAATCCAGACCGCGAACACCCCTAATTTGTACAATCATATAATAAGAATATCTTATTTTATGGTGTGAAAGCATTAAATACGAGGAATTATAATAATGTACAAGTGAAAATAAATATAGTATTTTCATTTTTTACAACTAATTTTGAATGCGAACTTCGTTTATCCCTCCTTCCAAAATGACATAGTTTTTAAGTGACTGCATCAATGCTGATATATAATCATATTACAAATTATTTTGTCATATATATATATATATATATATGGGTTTGGGTTTTATAAGAGTTGTGTTGTAGGAAAAGTGATTGTGTAATGTTATAGAGATTCGTTTTGCGTGTCGTAGTTTTTTTTTGTTTGTTTTGTTTCAAAAAGTGTGGGCCCCACAAAATATTGTGTGTGTAGAAAATTTGTTTGTGTCATGTGAAATGATAGATGCAAACCCCTATATATATGTGTGTGTGTTTGTGTGTGTGTGTGATATGATTTTTTGACATTGGTGTCAAATTTTGAAATTTGACACTAAATTCTAATATTTGATTTTCGTCCATCTGATTATCATTTATTGAAAATTAAACTTATTAATTAATATTAATTTTCAATAAATAATATCTGTTGATTGACAAAAATCAATGAATAAGATTTAATGTCAAATTTCAGAATTTTAGATCGATGTGAAAGGATTTGCCTATATATATATATATGTATCATAGTGCATCTGTATTTTTTTTTTTTTTGGATTCTACCAGCATTCGAACAAGGACCAGTATGGTGTTGTCCTCCAAGAAGCAACAAGCCAACAACTACCATATTGACCACAAATGCTAGTAGTGCATCTGTATCTTTTATACTTCATGTCCGTATATATATTAGGATCGGTGCGGTGGTATAAACTATAAAAGATTTTATTAAATATTTGATTAAGAACTTATAAAAGAAAGTAATGTGTATGAATATGGGATAGGTTATATTTATAAATTTTTTTGTTTATAAATTTTTACAAATTACACTATGTAGGACCGGTCCTACATTAATAACACAGTATACGACCGGTCCTACATTAATGTAATTGCAAAAAAAAATTGTAAACGGATCATGTTCCTATAAATATTGTAAATATTTAGTTTCGAAGGAATACTTTTTAAATTTTCGATGCTACTTGCAGTAATGAGCTAGGCCAACGAGAAAAATTAAAGAGCATTTCTCAAGTGTACTTGTTAACGAGATTTCAACTTGCTATGTATTAAGGATCAATTGAACATGTTATTAAACTAAATGTAATCAAAATAGTGAAATACATGATAATTGTGATTAAATATGAGATGAATTATTTGGAACAATAGAGATGAAAATGTATTGAATTGAGTTAAATCACTTAGGAGAATAGGAAATAAAATAAACCCTAATAAGTGTGTCTTACATTGTTAATTCCCTACTCATCTTTTAATTGTTTGCATTCTGTTCCTGCATTTAATTGCATTTGTTCTTTGTTTTCTTTTATAATTGGCTTCTTTAATTAAAAATTACTCTTCACAAAACAACTTTAATTTGTCTAGTTTAAGTAAAGATAAACTCTGGTGAATTATTCTCCCCCTGAAGATGAGGACCTTGGAAAAAGGACTCAGATTCCTGAAATGTAACATCCATAGAAACAAAAAATTTCTGACTTCCAGGGTGATAGCACTTGTAGCCCTTCTTATCAGGAGCATATCCAAGGAAGACATATTTAAGAGCCCTAGGATCCAACTTACTGCGATGCTGTTTATGAATATGAACAAAGACAACACACCCAAACACTCGAGGAGGAAGACTTTGCAAAGTTGGAACAGAAGGAAAAAAAGAAGTCATGGAGTGAATAGGACTTACATGATCGAGAACCCGAGTGGGTAGACGATTGATCAAGAACGCTGCAGTAAGAATGGCATCTCCCCAATAGCATTTGGGTACATGTGTTTGAAACAGTAAGGCACGAGCAACTTCAAGAAGGTGACGATTTTTCCTTTCAGCAATCCCATTTTGTTGAGGGGTGTCTACACAAGTAAGTTCATGAATCATACCTTGATTTTGTATAAATTGGGAAAAAGAGTGATTGATATATTCAGTACCATTATCTGTCCTTAGTCTTTTGATTTTTTTACAAAATTGAGTCTCAATCATTTTATAAAATTGAAAGAACAGTTGTGGTACCTCAGACTTTTCACGCATTAAGTAAACCCAAGTTACACGAGTGCAATCATCAATAAAAGAAACAAACCATTTATTTCCAGAAGAATGATGGACCTTAGAAGGACCCCAAACATCACAATGAATAAGATCAAAAGGTTCAACACTCTTAGTAATACTAGAAGGAAAAGACACACGATGATGCTTAGCAAATTCACAAACATCACAATGAAAATACTCAACAGACTTAGACAAAAACAATGACGGAAATAAAGATTTGAGTAAATTAAATGGAGGATGACCCAAACGCTTATGATGCAGCCAAATTAAAGAATCAACAGTTGATTGACCATGAGACATGAAGGTGTGATCTGTTACTTTATTTGCGGGAGATTGTGACACCAGATAGTACAGCTCACCTTGCTCTTTAGCACTACCAATCGTCTTCCCCGTGGCGAGATCCTGAAAAACACAATGGGTAGGGAAGAAGGTTACAGTACAATTCAAATCTTTTGTAATTTTGTGAATAGAAAGAAGATTCGTAGAGAGTTTAGGAACATGAAGAACATCCTTAAGATGTAAGGACTGCTGTAAGTTTATGTCACCAGAACCCGCAACTGATGTATGTGAGCCATCAGCTATGGATATTGTATGAGTTTCAATGGTAGGATGATAAGAAATAAAGGAGTCAGCACAACAAGGCATATGATCAGTAGCACCAGAATCAACAACCCAAGAATGTTTAAGATCATTACATGAAGAAATGAAAGAATGAGTTTTGGAGCTCATACCAGTCATAGCCAAAGTACTAGTATCAGATGACTTACTCAGATAATCAAGAATGGTTCGGAGTCGTTCCAACTCATCTGGACGAAATGCAGATTGGGTCTCATTAGGTGCAGGGGTTATTTCAGAAGAAGTAAAATGCGCTTGACCATGCATCCTTGCCATCTTTTCTAAGACAGTTTGCTTTCCATAAAGGCGAAAGCATAAATCCTTGATATGACCTATTCTTTTACAATAAGAACACCATCGGTCATCTCTCTTAGGTCTAGAAGAGGTATCATCATAAAATTTTGAAAAAGAACTCCTTTGAGAAGAGGACATACTGCACAGAAAATGGTTAAAGAAAAAGCTCCAAGAAGCCAAAAAATCACAAATAAATACCAAACGATGTCCGGTCAAAGAGAGGAGCACAGATCCAGAAAGAGGATGAAGGGACGATCAAGATCGCAGTGGTCCGATCCGAAAAAATGGTCTCACGCGCCGCCACACGCCGGTGAGATTGGCTGCGCGTGGGCTTCACTCGCGGTTGAAGGAGCGGCGCGTGTGGGCGCGTGCGGTGGCCTTCTGGTCTGAAATTTCTGGAGCAACGTCGTCCGGTGAGCGCGGTTCTTTCTGGGTCTGTTCGAAGTTGAAAAACCACCGGGAAAGGGTCCAATCGTGATGAACAGATGCTGTCTTGTGATGAAGAATAATGGAGACGATGAACAGTAACAGAGATCCAGTATAACAGAGATCTTCTCGGTCCAAGAGGTCCCCGGAAAAAATCTGGTGGCGGCTGATGGCAGCGAGAGACAAAAAAAATAAAAGGTTCTTGTTCTAAAGACAATAGGCGCGGAAGCAGAGCCCTCAGGATCGAGAGCTCTGATACCAACTTGAAAGAAAAGGGTATTTAAAATATTATTGAATTGTGTATTAGTCTGATACAAAGAGGTCTCTATTTATAGAGACTAAAAAACCTAATTCTTGACCTAATGAGCTTGGCCCAATACAACAAATACTAATAATAATAAAATACCTAATATTTACAACAGATAATGAACTAGTGCTTATAATTAAAACACTAATTTTAGTGGGAACAATACTTTATTCATCATTTTATTACTTGTATGACTAGTATACTTGCCACGTAGCAATTGCTGGCGAACAAGTCCTTCTATTATGTCTGCATCTTCTCCACAATGTGCTCTGGGTTTAAACCCTCACATCCACCAATTCTAGTCGGGTGTTATTATGTCTCCCAAGTCCAGAAAAGGATGCATGCAACTTACATTAAAGCAAAATTCCACTAACAAGACCTGGGCATGCATATGTACCACTATGCAGATTGCATGATCATACATTCTATGAATCAGAACAATAACAAACAAAGTGCCTGTATCACTCTTCTCTCCTTTAATCAACATGATCAAAACACAATCCAGTGCATGCATGTGCTCTTTTAAAACACAATTTCAAGCTCATAGGTAGTTCTAATGTCTCTAGCACCTTGATGTTCTTCCCTCCTTCAGTTAGTAACTCTTTCCCTTTCTTTGGCAAAATCTTCAGCAATCTTTCGATCCTTCCCCTACAGAGGTACAAGTCTCTCCAAGTTATTCTCCAAGAATTCCTTGCTGGTGGTACCCACGGCTTGATTATTCTAGATTTTCCTTCTTTAAATTCTACTCTCTTTATCTACAAGTAATAATGAGATTGGTGCTTGAAGGGACAGCAACAAAACAAGAAGAAATGAAGGAAGCTTTGGTCGGCTGGAAGAATTTTCTTCTTGCATGTTGGAGTGGTTATAAATGGGTAAGGCATACCATAATCTACACAGGTTGATGATCATAGCATGAGATAAGGTGGTCTCTGATTAATTATTTTATTATAAATTTTTTATTATTTTAAAAGAGTGGGTATGAAATCACTAGACTTAGTCTAATAGGAAGGAATTCGGTAATTTGCATGAAATTATAAATTTAAACCTCAGTGCTTCCGTTGTATAAAAAGAAAAAGAAAAAAGGTGAGTCTCATATTTAGGTAAAGGAGAAATTCTAAACCTTAATTTTTTTTTTTCTTTTGGTAAACAAATTCTAAACCTTATAAATAAGGAATACACATATGAATCATTTTCAACCAAACGGAACCAACTTAGGTTAGCTTGATCTACAGCTAAATTATGAGTATTTATTATCAGTATAATTTTTTTTTTTTTTTTTTATGCAGAGATCAATTACTAACAATGTGAGCCCAGTTTTTAATATTAAAATGACAAGTTGGCTCACTTGTTAATTTTGCTTGGACTTCATACAAATTAAACTTCTCTTTTATAATTTCAGAGTAAATTATTCTTAAATTGCCAAAAAGTTCCCCATAAAATTATTATGTAATATTAAAAGGGAAAAACTATTCTTATGTCATATGATATAAGTTTTTTCTCCTACACACATTTCGATAACTGTGCTATTTCTTTTTTCAGATGGTGAAACTCACTAATTTGTTTCTATGACATGAGATAACTATTTCCTTTAACATGAGATTAATAAAACCCATATTAAAATAAGAAAATGACACGTGAGATGATTTAGCCCCACCCCACAGGCAGCAACCATCACATGAGATAGCATCAGAACTCAGCCCTCACCGATTGCTGATGCTTGTGCTAATAAAGTAATGGAACAAAATTACACTCATGTTATATGTGATAATTTTTTTTTTTATATATTTTTTTGAAAATTGTGTCACTTTTTTTTTTTTCAGGTAACGAAAGCCCACAAATTTATCTTTATGATATGAGATAACTTATCTTCATTAACACGAGATTAATAAAATCTAAAGTAAAATTTATTTGGTTTATAATAATTTTTTTTCTTCTATCTTTGAATATAAGATTAATCATTTCAAACAAAAAGTGATATAAAACCATACCATTTTCACAAGACTCATTCCTGTCTGTAACTGTAAGATTAATATAAAAGAATAATAATTAAAATGTGTAATTGCCATGGCAGAATGAATTTCAAAATTCCCAAAACTTCAAACTACCAAAACAATTCCCTCTTTTTCTGAATTGTAACATAACGTAACATTCCAATCCTTGGAAGAGTTTTGGTTCACTTCACCAAACCACAGTGCTTCGAATTCTCAGATCCAACCATAACATAACTAACTCGACCGAGTCACCGAGTTGACTCAGCCAATGCCATCATAGTCACAGTCACAGTCGGAGTCACCGCCAACTAGGGTCTCACGATGCAAAACACGCCGTCATCATCGTCGAGCGCCACCGCAGAAGCCATTCTGGAATGGCTGCACAAGGAGATGGGATACCGGCCACTCGCCCACTACGCCGCCGGCAAGTCGCACTTGCCGTCGGTCGAGTCAATCCGCAAGATTTGCCGCGGGAACATGATTCCCGTCTGGAATTTCCTCATAACACGCGCCAAGTCCGAGAAGACGGTGCAGAACATTCGCCGGAACATCACCGTGCACGGCGGAGACGGCGACGGAGGTGTCGGTTCGGTGACCTCGGGGAAGGAGGAGGGGAGGGGGAAGGGCGGGAGGAAGAAGGAGAAGATGTTGTCAGGAGAGGGTTCCGGTGCGGCGGAGACGAGGGAGATTGCGTTGCAGGAGAGGGATTTGGCGGCGAAGGAGGTGGAGAGGTTGAGGAATGTTGTGAGGAGGCAGAGGAAGGATTTGGGGGCTAGGATGCTAGAGGTTTCCAGGGAGGAGGCTGAGAGAAAGAGAATGCTTGATGAACGAGCCAATTACAGGTTTTGGTTCCTGAATTTGATGCCCTAAATTTTGAAGAAGTTGTGTGTGTTGTGTTGTGTTTCTCCATTGAATCATTGGATATTCCCCAGTATTTACCCTTAACTAGCAATTCGTTGAAGTGGAATTTTCATTTTTCTTTATTCTTTTGGTCAGAGAAGATGAATAAAAGATGCTAACTTTGTCTCTGAGTACTGAAAAACCCCTCCCTCCTGCTGTGTTTAGTTGTTGAAAGTAGAAACTAATTTGTTTTTGTGTTGCAAAAAATTTAATATCATCTTGACTTATAAATTAGGCATCTGTGTTGTTGCTTGTTAGTATGAGAGTTTAAGACTTAGTTTCAGTCGGTTATTGGGACAATGCTTATAGTGTGCTACTGAGATTAAATACCATTGTTGATAAGGAAGGTATATGTGCTTTCGTCTCTCTACCAATTCTATGTTCGAGAGAGAGAAAAAAAAGAAGATAATGAGATTATGATGATTCTGGCATTGGTTGGTTGAGACAACAAAAGTATATGAGTTCTTTACCTATTGTGCAGGCATAAGCAAGTGATATTGGAGGCTTATGATCGGCAGTGCGATGAAGCTGCAAAAATATTTGCTGAATATCATAAACGTCTCTGTTATTATGTAAATCAAGCAAGGGATGCTCAAAGATCGGGTGTGGACTCTTCCATTGAAACAGTCAACAATTTTAGTGCCAAAAGTGAGAAGGAAGCTGTTTATTCTACAGTTAAGAGCAGTAAATCTGCAGATGACGTCATTCTCATTGAAACCACCAGGGAAAAGAATATTAGAAAGGCTTGTGAATCTCTCGTAGCTTACATGGTTGAAAAAATACGGAGTTCTTTTCCTGCTTATGAGGGAAGTGGCATTCATTTAAATCTTCAGGCAGAAACAGCGAAGTTGGGGTTTGATTTTGATGGGCAAATTCCAGATGAGGTTAGAACTGTTATTTTGAATTGCCTAAAAAGTCCTCCCCAATTGCTTCAGGCAATTACTGCATACACTATTCGGCTGAAAAACCTAATCTCCAGAGAAATTGAAAAAATTGATGTTAGAGCTGATGCAGAGACCTTGAGGTATCAGAATATATGTAAATTTGTATTTCGTTTACTGTTGGTGCTCTTGTTAATGCCTTTGTGTCTATAATTTTTGAATTTTAAACCTTCTGTTGGAATCATTTTTTCTTGTTACTATAACTTTCCCAAAAAAAATTTCAGTCAGCAATGCTAAATTGGCAAAGCATATCAAAGATGCTTACAATGATTTAGCTCCCCTCCCGACCAGAAATAAAAAAGTGTGCTTGAAGTAGTTGTATGCATTTTATAAATGTTCTGCTAGTTTTGTCTTATGTGCAAGTACTTATGCTATTGCTGTTATAATCCGAACTTGCATTAATCAGGTACAAATATGAAAATAACATAGTTATGGATGTTTCCTCTTCTGATGGGAGCTCTCCTCTACAATATCAACTTTATGGCAATGGAAAGATTGGGGTTGATGTGCCTCCAGGAGGAAGTCAAAATCAGCTTCTTGAAAGACAGGTCTTTATTCGTCCTTAGACTGCACAATTTTTTTGTCATAAGTGGAGTTATTGAACTGGTACTGTATCTCTCGTCACAGAAAGCTCATGTTCAGCAATTTTTGGCTACTGAAGATGCACTAAACAAGGCTGCAGAAGCAAGGGACTTGTGCGAAAAACTTATGAAACGTCTGCATGGTGGTGCTGATGTGTCTTCGCGCTCCATTGGTATTGGAAGCACATCCCAAAATGTCGGAAGTCTTAGGCAACTCGAGGTATTGTTTATCAAAACTTATAGTGAATTTGGTAATTTTTGTGTGAGATGTATATTATGAATCTATCATCACCTTTGCTCATGATACAGTATTCTTCCCATAAATAACTAATAGTTAGATTACCAACATTTACGGTGGGAGGAATAAACACTCATTGACTGGTGATTTAGAGAAATGCTGAGCATGAAGTATTGATGAATGTTGTTTTGGTAGTGTAGCTTATGCGAGGAAGAAATAATGCTTAAATCAATGAAATTTTTCTCTTCTGATTTTGGGTGTTACAATAAAGTACTTGGCATGTTTTTCAAGATTGTTATTTCATTTTTTTAATTTTTGCTTTTAAAGACCCAGACATTATCTTAAGCTGCTTTGAGCCACTAAGCACACTATTTGATAAAGATCACGTGTACATGGTGATGGTGTATATTGTCTAGCTGTTAATGCTTAACATACTTGTGTGTGTACATGATTGATATGTTTATATGACATTTTTTTTTGTAAAAGAAGAAATTTTATTAGAGAAAGAAAGCGATAGAAGAACAGAAGATTTGTTTTTATGACAAATTATATTTGTTTCATCTCTTCACATCTAATTATTTTTTGAAGTGCTACACGATACTGGCTTGATATTTTGGTGCTGTTATAAAGTAACACAATTTCTTTTTACGTAATTCATGGGAGAAGATTCTGAATTTTGATGTTCTCAGTAAATGGCTAAATTTGGGACACCTGCACATGTTTAAGTATGAAAGAAATATTTTTTATATCAACATTTAAGGTGGGAGAAATAAAGAATTTACCTTCTACTAGCTTTGAGGAATATTTTCTTTTTTAAGTTCAATTAAATTATTTAGGTTCCCCTTTTTAATCGCTGATTAGATTTTCCTACTTAATTTATGAATTAGGTTAGGATTTTAAACTGTCACAACATCAATATCACTTTTTTCCCAAATTAGTTGACCTAGGATGAACCTATATAAAAGTAAAAATCAGAGTGAGGGAAAATAAAAAAAATAAAAGAACTTTTTTTTTCAGCTGTTACAAGTTGGAAGAAAGAAGGGAATAACTTTTTAGCCCCTTTCAATTCTATCCAATTCCTAATGCTAGAAATGTTTTATCACTTCAGCATTTGAGGTGAGAGTTTACCCATTTATGGTTATACATCGGCCTTTTCTTTATTTTTCTTCCATGTGTTCAGCTAGATGTTTGGGCCAAGGAAAGAGAAGTTGCTGGTTTAAAGGCAAGCTTAAATACCTTAATGTCTGAAATACAACGCTTGAATAAGTTGTGTGCTGAGAGGAAAGAAGCTGAAGATTCTCTGAAAAAAAAGTGGAAAAAGATTGAAGAGTTTGATGCTCGTAGATCAGAACTTGAGGCCATATATACAGCACTCCTTAAAGCAAATATGGTAAGGTTCCATTATTTCTGTATTTCCTTTATTGGTGAAACATAACTGGTATATTTACAGCTTATCCTTGGGCAATGGGTGGTACCCTGTTTGAATCCTAGTATCATCACTGATTTTAAACTTGAATTAGGAACTAATAGATTTGTTTGTTGGGCGCATTGATGCATTTAGTTACTATGAATTGATATATGTATTGACTACTGAGACAATGGACCTTTGTAAGAAGTTTACATATATTGTTCCTAGTGGGCCTTAATGGTATTCATTTCCCTTAAGTTACACAATTGATTCCAACACATCATTATTCTTATTGTATTTTTTCCCATTTCTTTTTTTAATTAACAGTTCTTTGATTTTTTTCCCCCTTTTTTTCATATTGGAGGATGCTGCTTCTTTTTGGAGTCAGCAACCATTAACTGCAAGGGAGTATGCTTCAAGCACTATAATTCCAGCATGTGCTGTTGTCGTTGAGGCTTCAAATAGCGCAAAGGATTTTATTGAGAAAGAAGTGTCTACCTTTTATCGGAGTCCAGATAATAGCCTCTACATGCTTCCTTCTTCCCCACAGGTTTCTAATGCTCCAACAGACAATTTGTTGTTCACTTGTTTGTTTGTTATAACATGTTAGGATAGAAATTGTTAGAGAATAATATAAACCATTAAAAAGGCCTTCACTTAATAACTTTAGCTTTTGAGTTGAATTGACGCTTTACATGATATCAGAGCCTCGGTGTCACGAGTTCGATCTTCACTGCCCCCATTTAATTAATAATTAATTAAGTATTGTGGAGTTTCTTAGCACAGGCAGGTGGGCCTGTGCATTTGGGCTCTTGTGTGAGGGGAGGTGTTAGAGAATAATATAAACCATTAAAAAAGGGCTTCACTTAATAACTTAAGCTTTTGGGTTGAATTGGTGCTTTTACAGAAATATTTTTCTCTGTTTTTGGGATTTGATATATGAAGTTGCTTTACATGGTGTACTTTTGGATCTTCCATTTCTACCTTTTGGTAGTCAAAGGTTCTGAGTTCATTTAAATATAGACTTGGATTCGGTATCAAGTCTTGAACACATCCACTCGGTTTGTTTGTTGGATATAAGACTTTTATTTAGATAAAAGAAAGAAACTACAATTGTGGGTGGGTGTAAGGTATCCTCCAAATCAGAAAAATTAATATACGACAAGTAACATGATTTGACAAACAAAATCAAGAATTTAGCAAGGCTGCTCAATCTCTTTGCATATCAGAAATAGCAACTTGCTTGAAGCAGACATGAGAAGTCATAGGCATAATCCTATCCCAGAAAAAGTTTACGGGCAGGAGACCCCCTGAAAGATACGCTCATTCCTCTCCAACCAAATACACCTTATAACTGCATGAACTGCACACTGCCCCAGAATTTCACCCTCCTTGCTTTTACCATGACCTTGATAATGAATAATCAGAAACTGCTGCTCCAAAAAGAAAAGGACACACCCATTCGACTTGGTTGTCCAACTGGTTCTCTGGATTATGATGCTTTGAATCCCATTTAAGTAATGTCTCATCTTGGATGGCTGTTAGATTATTTGATAGGGTTTGTGCAATGGTGCAAATTTAGTAGGGTTACTTATATATATCAGTAACCTTTAAATTCTTTTAAGAAAGATAATCTTTTAATGGCTTTGGAGAAACTCGCTTTAAATATTTTAGTAATCTATCTCATATATTGAGATGTGCTTCAAGCTAATTTTCTCTTCAATTTTGGTTCAGGCACTGCTTGAGGCCATGGGCGCCAGTGGATCACCTGGACAGGAAGCAATTGCAAATGCAGAAATAAATGCAGCTATTTTGACAGCAAAAGCTGGTGCACGGGATCCGTCAGCAATTCCATCAATATGTCGTGTTTCAGCTGCACTTCAGTATCCTTCTGGTAAGTATATTACTGGTTTTGATTTGCTGATAGGCTCTTTCCTGATGTACTCATATTAGAGATCTCTGCTATGAAGGCGTGTATGGGATGGAAGTTCTTGTATTTTTTGTTCATTGTTTTGACAGCAATAAAATTGCCTGAAACTTGTCTAATGCCTACCAAAATATTAGAATTTGATAGTTTTGACACTTTTTAAAATGAGAATGTATTATAACATATTTTAAATTTATTTTATTGGTTTAAGTCTATTTTTAATGGTTTATCTAATATTTAATATCCGTTGTTGTGCCTATGTCCTCTTTTCTGCTATTGTATTGTCTTGATACAATACATGTAAACATAACAGTACTTCTTAGATTATTATTGATATTGATTTCTATAGGCATTGCTGAAGAACGTCAGAACTTTGCTTTGGTTTTGTACAATGAATCTCCTTTGACGTAGGGAGATTTGGTCACTGTTTTTATAAACTTATGTTTACAGTTGTTTGCATGGTTGTATAACTTGATGATAAACTTTTGATTTGGCAGATATTAAAGTCCTGTTACAGTGTGTGCCTCAGGATAACCAGTCGTTCATGTCATGGGTAAAAATCTTATATGTTTATTGTTACCAAAAAAAAAAAAAAAAATCTTATATGTTTATAGGTTATAGTTGTTTACATGCATATGATAAAAGGATTTAATTTTGATCCACCTTAGTATGAAGAGTTTTATACTTTCAGTGAACTGTTAATGTAAATCAAAATCCAATGACGTGGCACATTTTTGTTTACTGATAGTGTAGATTTTAATATGGTTAGGGGTGCGTTGCTTGGGATGCTTATATGTGGGCTAAAAGCTATTATTATATAGCAAATGATTTTCTTGTTAAATGGACAGGCTTGGAGGGTTCAGATGCTGGTCTAGCATCCGTGCTGGAGTCCCTGGAGTTTTGTTTGAAACTTCGTGGTTCTGAAGCTAGTGTGTTGGAAGATTTATTAAAGGCTATCAATCTTGTCCATATTAGACGGGATCTTGTTCAAAGTGGCCATGCCTTGTTGAGCCATGCCTACTGTGTTCAACAGGAATATGAAAGGTAAATATGTATCTAACCCCGGAATCCAACATGCATTCATGGTTAATGTTTTAAATAAATTCAAATTTATGTATTAGAGAGAGAAAGATGTATTCAATTAACTAGTTTATCTTTCTATCTTTTTCAGATTCATACCTTTAGTATTTGTTGAAAGCTTTTTCTTCTCCTTTTTTGACATTTGATATAATGATTCAGGACGACAAGTTTTTCTTTGAATTTGGCTATGGAACAAGAGAAAATTGTCATGGAAAAATGGTTGCCTGAGCTTAAGACAGCTGTTTTGAATGCTCAGCAGAGCTTGGAAGATTGCAAATATGTCAGGGGATTGGTGAGTTACATTACTACTGTTATTATTACTATTGGAATTAGTTTGATATCCCTTAAAATAGGGGTGAAAATTTCAGGATGAGTTTTTCATACAATTTTTCATGTGAAACTCACACTTCAAACTTTCACCCCCTATGTCTCTGTTTGTTTAGCTCAGATGCAACTTATACTACGTATATCTAATTTACATATGGCTGAATAAAGAATATTCATCAGAGTTGTTTAATTTGCTATGTCATCTGGTTGGTGGGTTCTTTCATGTTACTTTATAACCATAAAAAAAAAAAAAAAAAACCGACTTCATATTAAACCCTAATTAGCGAGAGTGGGATGAGGGCAATCCTTGTACGCAGCCTTACCACCCTTGCACATTTGCAAATAAGCTATTTCCCAAATTCAAACACATGACTTTTTAGCCACAAATGAATAGTTTTACCACTGCTCCATGCTCGTCCTCTTATATTCCTTTATAACCATAGGATTTATATTTCTATTCTTAAATTAACCTATTCTGCAGCTTGATGAGTGGTGGGAGCAACCAGCATCGACAGTTGTTGACTGGGTAACAGTGGATGGGCAAAATGTAGCTGCCTGGCATAATCATGTGAAGCAGCTTCTTGCGTTTTATGATAAGGAGCTATTGTGAATAGAATTATTGAGCACCTGGAGTGAATTTTTTATTTTTTTTCCCCCTGAAGTCTCATTTGCCTAAACATTTCCCACCTCGCTGCCAACATCAAAGACTTTTTATTCTGCAGCCAGCGGCTACTTCAAGCACTGAGGTTGACTGGGAATGTCTTTTGTGGTAAGTTTTTCTTTTGGGATGCAAATGTGGCAGCTGGTGTCTTTATTGATAGACGAAGACCTTAAGAACAAGAAAGAAACCTCTCCTCTACTTGATTTTTACAGCCCCCAACCCCGCCTGTATCTCTTCAGAAGTATGATATGTATGACATGTCATTTTAGAATTTAGGTGGTGGGTCGGATTGTTGTTTTTTACTGGATGTGATTAATGGGATTGAATCTTCAAATTGTAGAGTTTTGTAATTTGATTTATTGTCTGGTAGCTAATTGAAGCTGAAGGCCTTTTCAGCTTCATTTTACTGCCGTCTGATTTGAATTGGGGTATACACTTAGAGCCCTTAAAAAAGTAGAATTTGCTGAGGTGATGCGAGTGTAGTATGATTTTTTTTTCTTTTTTCGGATAAAAGTACAAGGTTTGATGGCCCACCAAGATTTTGAGTCCTGAGTTCAGTTTTTAAACTGTGGCGATGATGTTGAGTTCTCTTTTCTCTTTTGCTGACCAGTTTATTTGTTTAGTTTTTCTGCCTAAAGTTAAAAAAAAAACTAAATATTTAAAACTGATTCAAAACTTCAAATTTAATAGATATTTGTTAAAATGATAATAATGTCTTCTCTTCAATCCAGCATTTGACATTGCGCTCATTTTTTTTTTAATGATATTTCAGTCGATTTATTGTTTCGCGATCCTGGAATTAAAATTTTAAATCTCTCAAAATGGTACCGACGTTCATTGTTGTCTGGTCTAAAATATCCAACAGAAAGAAAAAAAAAAAGCAAAGCATATTCCTATTCACGTTATATCTCCAACCACTTTATGATATGATAAAGACATGGGCAATCCTCACCCAAAAACAGAAAAGAAAAAAGATATGGGAAAACCTATGAATTTATTAGAAAAGCTCCAATTTTATATAAATAATGGCTTTAATTTATTTTATAAGATTTTAAATTTTAATTTTCACGTGAATTTTAGTTTACTTGTAAGAGTTTGAAAATAATCATAATTAAACTTATGAGTCTATTAAATTAATTATACTAACATTTAAAAATGACGATGCTGTAATTAAAATCAACATACAACATTGTGAAGTTGTCATTTTGTTAAAAAAAGGCCACAAACGTAAGCGTTTTATGTCTAATCTAATGTAAAAACAAACAAACTATCTACTTTAGGAAGACAAAACGTGACGCGTCGAAGTTCTTACGCATGATGGAAACAGTTCAAATCTCGAGATCAAGTTTCATACAGAGCTCTAAAATGATAAGAAGTTGACATAAAACAGAAGTTAAATTTGGGTATTAAATAATAATCAATCTCTATGTTGTTATGTTTATTTATTTATTTATTTTGGTGAACTTATATTGTATTATTGTTATGTTTTATATATGCTAAATAGAGCTGATGTGGGTGTTAATCACGTGACTCAGGGAAATATTAGCTGTATCAACCATCAAGTAGAAGAACAAATTGTGAGATTACAGATGGGAAGCCAAGACTTCACGGTTCTTCATGAATGCCATCTCTGCAACATTCTCGACATCCTTGTAAATAGTAACATACTCACATCACATGTTCTGAGATATATAAAATCATTAATGTAGCCTCACTCTCTAATAACTTAAATTTTTGAGTTAAATTGATTCTTTACAACATGCATATCTGCATCGCAGGACGCTCACACGTTGCACCTTTGATATGCAGAACAACCACACAGGTCATGCTATATTTTGTGCTTAACTCTAAACGTGAATCCAGCAGGGACATACTTCCTATGCGTCATGACTTCAGTGCTCACACATTATGTGGTTACTTTCTTTGTCCCGTGAACCAACATGGTCCCAATTCCCAACCATACTTTTGGCATTTTCATACCAAGAAAAGAAACAAACTTGCAATTAAATTAAACAGAAACAAGGAGCTTCTCTTTATTCTTTTGCTAGCTGTTTGGTGATGGGAAAACAAACCTTACAATTACTGCATTTTTAGTTTACAGTTGACTGGCTTTTGCATGATAGGCATAAATGGCCTTGTCATGGGTTGGCCTATAAAAATTTAGTGTTTGATTGTCTTTATCAAAGATAGCAAGATAGAACAAAGAAAATATATGGAAGTAAAAAAAGAGGGATAAGAACATATTTGAAATATAGACAAGAGTTTCTTAGAGAACAAATCTTAGAATGTCTTGGTTCCTTGTAATACTGTTTCTCAGTCTCACATTTGGTAGTCTTTCTGAGGCTAGCCATGACAAAAAGCTTCCCTCTGCTGTTGTGGTTGGCACTGTCTACTGTGACACATGTTTTCAACAGGATTTCTCCTTGGGAAGCCACTTCATTTCAGGTCCATTTCAACTGTTTGACTTATTGTTCAAAGGGGTTCAATTTCATATCCCTACCTGCTATATTAGCTGACACTTTAAGGTGTTAGTCTTAATTTTGTGGCTAATGTTATGTTATGTTATGTGGTTCTAAATTATTGTGTGCAGGTGCATCAGTTGCTGTAGAATGCAAAGATGGGTATGAGAGTTCAAAACCAAGATTCAGGAAAAAAGTGAAGACAGATGAGCATGGAGAATTCAGAGTGCAGCTTCCTTTCTCAGTGAGTAAACATATGAAGAGAATCAAGGGATGTACTGTGAAATTGCTAAGCAGCAGTGAGCCTTATTGTGCTGTGGCCTCAGAAGCAACTTCTTCTTCACTGCGCCTCAAGTCTAGAAAGCAAGGACTACACATATTCTCAGCTGGATTTTTCTCATTCAAGCCTCTTAAACAGCCAAATCTTTGTAACCAAAAACCAAGTATTCAAAACAGCAATGGGCTTGATTCAGTGAAAACTTTATTTCCTCAACATATAGATCCATCATTTCCACCTCCACTTCAGGATCCAAACACACCTGGTGGTCTTCCTATTCTTCCTCCCCTTCCTGGGCTTCCACCATTGCCAGAACTCCCTCCTCTGCCACCCCTTCCAGGAATGCCATGGTCACCACCAGGAATGACTAGTGAGTCCAAACCAATCAAACCTTCAGACAATGCTCAGTCTTCAGATCAGAAAGTAGCTAACCCTGAAAACCTCAACTTTCCTCCTAACCCACTGTTTCCACCACCCATTGTTCCCAACCCACTTCAGCCACCTAACCTTATTCCTAACCCATTTCAGCCACCAAGCCCAACACCACTCATCCCTACCCCATTGCAGCCTCCTCCTTCAGGATCATCACCATTGTTTCCATTCCCTCCAGTGCCGGGTTTAACTCCATCCCCATCACCTCCACCTACATCAGATTTGCCATTTCCATTTCCTCCACCTAGCAGCCCTGGCACACCCCCTGCTTCTTCTTCAAAGAATGCTTCTCCTTAATTAAATAGAGCAGCTATCCATGCATAATTCCCTAATAATTCCTTCCACATGATCAACTTATTTACTTACTTTATGCAAATCCTAATATGATTATGATATAAATAGAAAAACATGGGGATGGATGTGCAACATCTAGTGACTGCCACTGAAAAAGTTGATACATCATTAATGAATTAGTAATAAATTCAAGTATGTGGTCATCTTAGAGCTTAATCTTGTAAATTATCATTATTTGAGAAATCTGGATCCTTGAATTGTTCTAGAAATAGACACTTCTGATTGTGACTTAAGGCTTCATATTGCAATTCTGAAACAGTTTTTAACAATGCTCAACATTAATGTTTAAGTTCTATGTCTGCATTTACATACTTAAACAAATCAACCAAACTTTGAACATTTGAAATAACATTAAATAGTATAGTCAACATGATAATTAAAATCTCGATTTAACACTACGATTTTACGTTTTTATTATTTTTTTTCATGAAAATAATTTTACTAATATTTCAAATGTTTTTACATTTTTACTATTTTTTAACGTTACGATTTTACGCTTTATGATTTTTTATTTCCCTTCCGATATTAAGTAAAATTGTGGTTTTAACCACACGGTAGTCAAGCAATTTTCAAACGACACAACAGATAAAATAAAAAATCGAGCAGACAAGTTTAGCGTGATGTAAAAAGGCATTCAATTATGTATCCCAAGTCCCAACCAAACTCCTGTTACTTTTTTATCAATGAAAAGGATACTTATATCATTCCAAACTCAAAAAGTTTCACATCTGATTAATATTTTAAAAAAATATAAAGATACGAACGTATCACATTCAATGGAAGATTAAAGCCCAAGGTAAATAACAAAAGAAATGACATCTCTCTAAACAAAGTCTACTACTACTAAAAAAGTTTTGGACAGGATCAGGAATCTGGAAAGAAGGATGAAATATAAGGCACGTTGGCTGTCAACGTCATTGCAGCAAAGTGAAAACCACTGCAATTGACTCTTTCTCCCTTTTCAAACCAAAGTCCTCTTGCATACTTGGTGGCCTGCAGGAAACATCAGTTTATTGTAAGGGAAATAATACTCTTATGCTACATAAGAGTACATCATTTTCCTACACTAATTCGTTTTCTGTGCCAATTAATTTTTCTTTTCTTTTTTAATATAAAATATGGGACCCACATTTAACTTCTCTCTACTTTTTTTTATCTCCTACAATCCTACAACGTAAGAAAACTTAAACCCTTATTGTAAATGTCACCGTATTAGAAATTCTATAATATTTTAGCTCTAAATCTGTGACATAGCAAAATCTGACTGGCAATCCTATCTGTTTTACTCCAAACATTATAGTTGTTTTTCTTATAAAATTTTCCACTCAAATTTGCCTTTGAATATTCTAAGTAAGCAAGAAATCAAATATTTTCTCCAACCAACGGAGAATTCAATTCACCCCCAAATCACATCTTTCCCTGCTATTTCATACGTACTTTTTTTTTACAGAAAAAGAAATATTATTAGCTAGGAAGGGGAGAGTACAAGATAGTCTAAGGTTTCATTGTTATGCATCATGCATACAACTTTTCAAAAAAAAAAAATTCATGATGCAAGATGAATAAGAATAAAATGGTCAAAAGAATAAGAGAACATCACATACCTTAATTCTTCATATCTGTCACTATTGATCATCTTCCCTCGTTTTCCCCAATTTCTCTAGGGAGCGACAGCAGACTCTCTCTATACGTAAAATATTGTGAACTCTCTTTAAAAATCCGCACAGTATGTTTGGAAAGCTCAAGCAACTCTCCTTTATCATTCAGTTTAATTAATTTTCCTTCTGCATTTGATCCAACAATTACAAGATCTTTGGTAAAGCTTATCGGCATAATATATTTGCTAGCAATGTGAGGAGTGGTCAGATTAATGGACTCAGTCCAAGATGACTGAACTTTATATTCTTCCATCATCCATATCTTAATCTTTGCATCGCTATCACTGTCGCTGTCGCTATCACTGTAAATGGGCCAACAACACAGACTGAGACATCCTCCTATTACCGCCAAGTGACAATTATCATAAAACACTGGTATGAAGACTTTACAAGGCACAGGAATCTCTGATAAACTCCTTTCTTTCAAATCAAAGGCAATAATCACAGGAGATATTGGTTGACCCTTAGAAAAGATCAACCAATGAAGAGCACCATTTAAGAGTACCCCAGATCTGTATCTCTTCGGGGTAACCCAGTATGGAAAATCGATATTCCCAATTCTGGTCCATGAATTGGTCTTCAAGGAGAAAAAAACGATGGTGTATGTTTCCCAACTAGCCCGATCGCCCGAAAAAATCATAATAATCGAGTAATCATCAGTTGATGCATCATACCCGAAACCATATAGAGCTCTCTCCGAATAGTAGTTATGAGAGCGTAATATTGGTTTCTGGGCTCCAGTTGATGGATTCCATAGCATGAGATTATCATTCTTATGATACCCTAAAAGTATAAAGCCTCTGCAAGAACCTAAAATTTCAAATTTATTACGATAAACGGAACAGGATGGTGGATATGGAACAGCAAGGTGTAACAGAGCAGAATCACCTGCATCTATTTCTATGGATCCAACTAAAGAACGGTTTCTCTTATAATCAGTAAGTAATCTGTGGGTGGGTGCGACAGCTAGGTCAAAATGAGATTTTGCAAATTGGGGTTTGGAAATAAGAGAGAACCATGACTTACACACACATTTGAAACGCACAAGAGATTTCACAGGTAACCTCAATAGAATTTCTTCTATCACATCATCTGGGAGTGTGAGTGTGAGTGTGAGTGTTTGAGTGAGATTCGTCTTCTTCTTCTTCTTTTCCATCCTCCTTGATTGAGAACAAAGAGAAAGCGATCGGATGAAACGTGAATTCCGATTAGCATTTTATATACTCTTAAAATCAAAATATTTTGGAAGATTTTAAAATCAAAATATTTTTTGAAACAAAATCGTATCCCTACGTTAATTCTTTCAATATTTTGTTAGCTAAAGGGTAGGGATTGAATCAAAGCCTGCCTCAAAGTAGTTTTTTGAAAAAAATTTGGGTACAGAGAATAAGCCAAAAAAATCTTTGTTTGGAGAATTAGTCTCGTCCTTTCTTCGGTTGCGAAGTTTAGTGCACCCACTTGTTACAATGAGGAGCTAGCCCAAACTAGCCGTACCCCTAGAGCATGGTGCCCGGAGAAGGTTGAACGGGGATACCTTCTGGCAATGTACCAAAAAAAAAATTAGTTTTTCTTTTTCTTTTTTATAAATTTAAAATGTCATTATCAAAATTATCAGAACGCAATTCAAATCATTAATTTTTGACTGATGTTTTTTTTTTGTAATCATTTTTTGACTGATTTCTAGATCATGAATGGATTGATTGATTCTTTGAATCGTAAATTATAAATGGGATCATATTATGAAATTCAAAAATATAACTAAAACATAATTTAAAATACATCATAAAAATAATAAAGCAAGGGGAGTGTATTAAATTGGAATTTCAAAGAATTTTAATGAATTATTTTTAGATAAAAAAAATCATTAATATCCAATTAAGATTTTAAAGAATTGAAAAAAAAGTTATATGGTATTCGATTAAGATTTTAAAAGATTATTTTAAAGTCTGTCCAAATCCTTTGGCATTCAAATTTAAACAAAGAAAGAAAAAATAATCTCGTGATTTTAAAAAATATGACGATTTTGATCGATTTTCTATTGGTGTGGATTTCGTGAAGACTTTTTAGTGAAAAATATAAATAGGATACCTCTCTCACATCTCACCATACCCCTTAGGATTTTTTGTTTCTTATTGCAGTGTTTGCTTCTTTTTTTGGCGGGTTGACCGGCTCGAAATCAGGTTTCATCATAGGAGTTCGTCAAAGCTCAAAAACAACAAATTTTTTAGCGATATTCATCATAAAACAATTCAAAAACAATAAACCAACAAGATTCTATTATAATCCATCTCAAAAATAGATTTTTAAGAGCTTTTGAAAGTTTAAAAAAATAAATTTTAAACCCTATATGAGTAAACATGTGAAGAGAATCAAGGGATGTACTAGGGAGCCTTATTGTGCTGTGGCCTCAGAAGCAACTTCTTCTTCACTGCGCCTCAAGTCTAGAAAGCAAGGACTACACATATTCTCAGTTGGGTTTTTCTCATTCAAGCCTCTTAAACAGCCAAATCTTTGTAAATAAAAACCAAGTATTCAAAACAGCAATGGGCTTGATTCAGTGAAAACTTTATTTCCTGCACATATAGATCCATCATTTCCACCACCACTTCAGGATCCAAACACACCTGGTGGTCTTCCTATTCTTCCTCCCCTTCCTGGGCTTCCACCATTGCCAGAACTCCCTCCTCTGCCACCCCTTCCAGGAATGCCATGGTCACCACCAGGAATGACTAGTGCGTCCAAACCAATCAAACCTTCAGACAATGCTCAGTCTTCAGATCAGAAAGTAGCTAACCCTGAAAACCTCAACTTTCCTCCCAACCCACTGTTTCCACCACACATTGTTCCCAACCCACTTCAGCCACCTAACCTTATTCCTAACCCATTTCAGCCACCAAGTTCAACACCACTCATCCCTACCCCATTGCAGCCTCCTCCTTCAGGATCATCACCATTGTTTCCATTCCCTCCAGTACCAGGTTTAACTCCATCCCCATCACCTCCACCCAATAGCGGACCTAGAAAAAAAATTTAAAGTCTGCACATTTACAATAAAAGAATAAAGAAAAAAAATTAAAGAAAATTTTAAATATATTAAAATACAAAAAAATATATACAAAAAAAAAGAAATTTTAATTTAATTTAAAAAAAATAATCAAGAGTCAACTAAACCGTTACAATACAATATTTTGTGTCATCAACAAAAATTACGGGTCTCAATTTAATCTCTTAGGGAAAAAAAATCTACTCGTGACCCCTCAGAATTCAAAAATAGATCCAGATAATCAAAATCATGATCCCCTGAAAAACAAAAAGACCCACATTAATCCTTCAAAAGGACTAAAATAGGTTTATTTTGGAATTTAAAGGGATCACGAGTCAAACTTTTTGTTAAGAGATTAAATTGGATCCTATAATTTTTGTTAATGACCCAAAATATATTTTATTCTTTTTTTCAAAAAATTTGTGTCACCAACCTAGGTCCGCCACTTCCTCCACCTACATCAGATTTGCCATTTCCATTTCCTCCACCTAGCAGCCCTGGCACACCCCCTGCTTCTTCTTCAAAGAATGCTTCTCCTTAATTAAATAGAGCAGCTATCCATGCATAATTCCCTAATAACTCCTTCCACATGATCAACTTATTTACTTACTTTGTGTAAATCCTAATATGATTATGATATAAATAGAAAAACATGGGGATGTATGTGCAACATCTAGTGACTGCCACTGAAAAATTTGATATATCTTTAATGAATTAGTAATAAATTTAAGTATGTGGTCATCTTAAAGCTTAATCTTGTAAATTATCATTATTTGTGAAATCTGGATCCTTGAATTGTTCTAGAAATAGACACTTCTGATTGTGACTCAAAGGCTTCGTATTGCAATTCTGAATACTTAAACAAATCAACCAAACTTTAAACATTTGAAATAACATTAAATAGTCAAATCTGGTAGTTAAAATTTCGATTTAACACTATGATTTTAAGTTTTTACTATTTTTTTTCTTCATGAAAACGATTTTATTAATATTCCAAACGCTTTTACATTCTTACGATTTTTTTATGGGAAAAATGTTTCCGCAGTTAATGCAGAGAAGTCATCTGCATTTATTTCCAAAACAACTTCGTTTTAGTATTGAAATCTTAAAAAATTATAAATATAAAGACTATTATAACCCTAAAATAAATTAAAATTATAAAAATACCATGATTTTATAATTTTTCTAATTATAAAATTAGAAAAAGCGAACCCTTTTTTTATATTACGATTTTATATGTTACGATTTTCTTATCCACCTTTCAATTAATCACGATTTTATCTACCATGATAATCAAGCAATTTTCAAACGACACAACAGAGAAAATAAAAAATAAAATAAAAAAATAGAGCATACAAGTTTAGAGCTAAAATGGAAAAAGGCATTCAATTATGTATCCCAACCAAACTCCTGTTACTTTTTTATCAATGAAAAGGATACTTATATCATTCCAAACTCAAAAAGTTTCACATCTGATTAATATTTTAAAAAAAAAATAAAGATACGAACGTATCACATTTAATGGAAGATTAAAGCCCAAGGTAAATAACAAAAGAAATGACATCTCTCTAAACAAAGTCAACTACTATTAAAAAAAGTTTTGGACAGGATCAGGAATCTTGAAAGAAGGATGAAATATAAGGCACATTGGCTATCAACGTCATTGAAGCAAAGTGAAAACCACTGCAATTGACTCTTTCTCCCTTTTCAAATAAAAGTCCTCTTGCATACTTGGTGGCCTGCAGGAAACATCAGCTTATTGTAAATGTCACCGTATTAGAAATTCTATAAGGGAGTGTTTGGTATTGGAAATTTGTATTGAAATTTTTTTTTTATTACCGATAACAAAAAATTATCCGGAATATGATGGAAATAATTTTTGGTTAGTAAGTTTTGGAAAAGTTGGGTTCATTTTAGTAATACCACATTTGGTTGATAATGAAATATTAATGGAATGTGTAGTGAAATTACGTTTTTACCTTATCAGTGACAAAGTTGCTTTTTCAGGACATTTTCGTCCTAAAAATTGCAAAACAGGTATCTCAATTGGTGGATTAAATTAATACCACGGTTCACATTGCATTCATTTGTGCCATCGTCTAGTACAAAAATATTTTATCGGTTGCATTATTATACCGGTTATTTTGATCGAAACCACTTACCAAACATGGTAAACATTGTTTTCTTACATCAATTTCCTATGATTTTCAGCAGAAGCTACGTACATACCAAACAGCCACTAAGATTTTAGCTCTAAATCTGTGACATAGCAAAATCTGACTGGCAATCCTATCTGTTTTACTCAAACATTATAGTTGTTTTTCTTATAAAATTTTTCACTCAAATTTGCCTTTGAATATTCTGAGTAAGCAAGAAATCAAATATTTTCTCCAACCAATGGAGAATTCAATTCACCCCCAAATCACATCTTTCCCTGCTATTTCATACATTTTTTTTTTTTCAGAAAAAGAAATATTATTAGCTAGAAAGGGGAGAGTACAAGATAGTCTAAGGTTTCATTGTTATGCATCATGCATACAACTTTTCAAAAAAAAATTCATGATGCAAGATGAATAAGAATAAAATGGTCAAAAGAATAAGAGAACATCACGTACCTTAATTCTTCTTATCTGTCACTATTGATCATCTTTTCTCACTTCCCTCAATATCTCTAGGGAGGGACAGCAGACTCTCTTTATATGTAAAATATTGTGGACTCTTTTCAAAAATCCGCACAGTATATTTGGAAAGCTCAAGCAATAACTTTCCTTTATCATTCAGTTTAATTAATTTTCCTTTAGCATTTGATCCAACAATTACAAGATCTTTGGAGAAGCTTATCGGCATAATATATTTGCTAGCAATGTGACGAGTGGTCAGATTAATGGACTCAGTCCAAGAAGAGTGAACTTTATATTCTTTCATCATCCATATCTTAATCCTTGCACCGCTATGCCTCCTTGTAACACATGGCCAACACATACTGAGAGTGAGACATCCTCCTATTACCGCCAAGGGACAAATATTAAGTGAATCTAGTTTGTTGAAATTACCCGGTAAAGGAATCTCTGATAAACTCCTATCTATCAAATTAAAGGCAATAATCACAGCAGATGTTAGATGGGGCATAGGAATGACCAACCAATGAAGAGCACCATTCAAGAGTACCCCAGATCTGTATCTCCAGTAAACCAAGTATGGAAAATCGATATTCCCAATTCTGGTACATGAATTGGTTTTCAAGGAGAAAAAATCGATGGTGTATGTTTCCCATTTTGCCCAGATGCGCGTAAACATAATAATGGAGTAATCATCAGTTGATGCATCGTACACAAAACCGTATAGTTTATCCAATAAGTAGTCATAAGAGCGTAATATTGGTTTCTGGGCTCCAGTTGATGGATTCCATAGCATGAGATTATCGTTCTTATGATACCGTAAAAGTATAAAGCCTCTGCAAGAACCTAAAATTTCAGCTTCATTACGATCAACGGAACATGATGGTGGATATGGAACAGCAAGGTGTAATCAGAGGCGGATCCAGGTATAAATCTGATCCAAAAATAGAAAAATGTTATTTTCTTAAAATTTAAGTTTTTCAATTTAATTTTTCTCCTTCTATTTTATTTTTCTCCTCCACTTTCGTTTGCGTCTACATATTAATTCATCTCCTCTGAAACCCTCGATCTTCATTATTGGAAGTTGGAATATTTGTTTCTTCCTCATCATCGGTCCAGTTGAGTCACAATCCGTCTAGATCTAGATCTAAACCAAACACAGTTAGCCGACAGCTGGCAGCTGCTCGCAAGTTGCATTCCAGACCAGACCCAAATTTATATATACTGAGCTTATTAGGTGCCCAACCTTCATTAATTTCTTGGATCCGGAGTGGGCGTAATAGAGCAGAATCATCTGCATCTATTTCTATGGATCCAATTAAAGAACGGAGTCTCTTATAATCAGTAAGTAATCTGTGGGTGGGTGCGGCAACCAGGTCAAAATGAGATTTTGCAAATTGGGGTGTGGAAATAAGAGTGAACCATGACTTACACACACATTTGAAACGCACAAGAGATTTCACAGGTAACCTCAATAGAATATCTTCTATCACATCATCAGGGAGTGTCAGTGTGAGAGAAAGAGATCGAAAGAAGAATGAAAAGGAACGGGAGTTTAGGGTTTTGAAAAGAATGCTCCTCATTTTTTCCATCACCAAATATCAAGTTTGCAGGGCGCGGCAATTTACAATTCCTGTTAGCATTTTATATACTCTTATATTATTATTATTATTATTATTATGGGTTCGCTTTTTCTATAGTCAATGTAGATAAGTTATCTACATTGAGCTCAAAACGACATCGTCTTGAGGCGAAAATCAAGGTATTTTTGTAATTATAATTTATTTAAGGGTTATAATAGTCATTTTCATTATAATTTTTTAATTTTTCAACCCAAAACGACATCGTTTTGGAAGTGAAGGTAGATAACTTATCTACATTGACTTACGAAATATTAAAGCCTATTATTATTATTAAATTTGGAAGATTTTAAAATCAAAATATTTTTTAAAACAAAATCGTATTCCCTACGTTAATTCTTTCAATATTTTGTTAGCTAAATTAGTTTTTTTTTTTTATAAATTTAAAATGTCATTATCAAAATTATCAGAACGCAATTCAAATCATTAATTTTTAATTGACTGGATTTTTTTTTTTTTTGGTAATCATTTTTCACTGATTTTTAAATCATGAATGGATTGACTGATTCTTTGAATTGTAAATTATAAATTGGATCATATAATGAAATTCAAAAAGTATTATGAAAACATAACTTAAAAAATAAAGTCATAATTCAGTGTCACTAAATTTCAAAGTACATACAAAAAAAAAAAAAAAAATCCTCTGAAATAGACCGAGTTAGTTTATTAATAACTTTTTTGAAAATTAAAGAAGATCTCACATTAGTCTCTTAAAATGTCAAACATTGGTCAATTTTGAATTTCATAGATACCATGAGTTGACTTTTTTTCCGAAAAGATTAAGTTGGACACCATGATATTTGTTGAGGACCCAAAAGACACTTCTCTGCACTACTAAAAAAACTGATATTAGAGGCGAACAAATTTCGTCCGTATAAGCCATAAATTCATCCATAAATTATTTAGGTACGAATTTGAGACGGAACAATTTTCATCCGTGAATTGCTCCTAGCTAATGTTTTGGGACGGAACTAAAGTTCTGTCTTTAACATATGTTTTTCGTCCCTAATGTTGTCAACAATGATGAGTTGTAAAAGGTAGGAATCCGTCCTTATTAGGGACGAAATTAGGGAAGAATTTTGTCCGTCCCTGTTAGGGTATAAATATATAAAAAAAAAAATTATATTTTACTTAATCTCAAATAAAATTGAAATATATTTTAAACATAGATATATAACAAATAAATAAATAAGATAGGAAAACTATAACTAAAATTAGAAAATTGGATAAAAATTCAATTTAAATATATTAAACTGCTTTCTTTGAAAGAATGGATTTAAAGATAATAAAAATGATTTTTTAATATCTAATAAATTTGATATCTATATGAATATAAACATATCAATAAATATATAAAATCAATCCATGACCATGAATGCCGGATCAACCCCAATTATAAATACAAAATTAATCATCCATGATATCAATCACCAATAAATATTAAATCAATCACCCATATCAGTTAATAAATATTCGACAAATATTTATGGGTGATTGATCCTACATTTATAGGGACTCTATTATAAATAAGAGAAAATGGGTCGTTAAGAGGATTATTGACTGAGTAGAAATTATAGTAACGCAATTGTCATGAATGTAAAATCAATCACCTATAAATCACTAATTAATTGATACAATAAATATAAAAGTAATCACCCATAATTACAGTTACAGCATCAATCATCCATAAATTTTGAATCAATCACATGAATTAGTTAGCAAATATTTAATAACACCAAAAAACAAAAATTAATACAAAATAACACCAATTAATGGTACCCGTATCTGAAGAATTTTTTTTGTTTGTTTGGTGAATTTAAATTCAGCAACAAGCCTAAAAAAAAATTCCCTACAGATACAAGATTAATCACTTTTAATTTGAATTAATAAATAAAAATTAATCATTCATAATTGTAGTCCATTATAATGGTTGATATTTATAATTAATACCAAATTACCTAAAATTTGACCCCTACACGCACTAAAAAAGATTTCCTTAATTATTATTGGTATTAATTGTTAGTCGACATTTACTCCATTGAAAGCATATTTTAAGTATTCAAGTCGATCTAATTCGAGTCCTGTCGGACATATATTTGGTGACTCAAATAGATATCGAATAAATCTCACTGAAATGTATAAGATATTTTTAATTTAAAAATATAATAATAAATATTTACATCTTATATTATTTGCAAAATTGATGAGTATTGTAAGTTTAATTTTAATACTTTGTTAAATTATTGAATATTAAATATAATATACACTACATAAATTAAAAATAATATTTAATATCAAATTGTGTCCTAACGTGTCAAAATCTAACATTCTTTAAAATTATTGTACTGAAGAAGAGTGTCATGTCGTGTTCCGTATAAGTGTCAGTGCAACATACAACGTTAAAAACAAGTTTGCTATAATTGTGAAAGACTATAGCTATAGATTATTGATCTATCCGATTACCTTATAATCATATATGAAGCAGCTAATATAATCATGACAGAGGATGAGAAAATATGGATGGAAATATAAGCAAGTTAAATATATTCATCCATTGCATCATCCTTGCCAAAGTATCTTAAGGGATCGATATCATGAAACTATGACAGAAACATTATCAAAAAATAGATCAGTATGATGAAACAGGTTAAACCTATACATACAAGATCAACTCATATCAAAACTTGATTAGTTTCAACAGTTTCATCCCATCCCTTCTATTAATTCCCAGATGATTAAGATCAACAACATCTCCACAACTTCAAGTAATATAAGCAACAACAGATTAACTTGAACAAATCACGGATTATCTTTGCAGGAAGAGACCCCGAAATATAGTAAAATAAGAATGACTTATACTGGAAAAACATGTAAAAGAGGGTAACAGAAACAAACTCCAAACATCATAACATTAAGCGGAAAAATGATAATGATGCTGAATAGCACCTACTAATTCCAACTAGGATTTGTTAAATCCTACGTTGGGACATAATTAAATACTTAAGTCTATTTATACTCCAACCTTACAATAATTATCATTAAAAGATACACTAGTTTTGCATTGACACGAGAATATTTAATACCAAATAAATGAAATTCTCTTCCAAACGCTGTGCTTTCCGCTAGGCAGTATCACCATAACCTGAAGGAAACCTACCACATCAAGGAAACCGAATTAAATATTCTTGCATACTTTAAGGCCTGCAGGAAACATGAGGCCAAGAGGGTATTGTAAATGGTACTGTGATATTGTAAAATGTAACTAGTAGTCCTAGATATTTTACACCAAACATTAGTTGTTCTTCTATTAAATTTTTCCATTGAAAATGCCTTTGATTATTCTGAGTAAACAAGACATCGAATATTTTCCCCAACCATTGGTGAATTCAATCCACCCCCAACCTCATCTTTCACTGCATTTTCATGTATCATTTTTTTATTGGAAAAGAAATATTATTAACTGGGAAAGGGAGAGTACGATATGGGTTAAGGTATCATTTTCACGTGTAATGCATTATGCAAGAAAATTTTCATTTTTCATAATGCAAGATTAATAAGAATAAAATGGTCAAAAGGATTGGAGAGCATTGCATACCATATTGGTCATCTTTACTTGATTCCCCAAAGTCAGCAGGGAGTGATAGCAGACTCTCTCTATACCTAACGAATTCTCTGAGAGGTATAAGTTTTATGAAGTTTGGAATATCTGCGCGAGACTCAAGCAGCTCTCCTTCACCATTAAGTTTCAATAATACTTCTTTTAGAAGTGATCCAACAAAAAATCCGCCACCTTCGGTTAAGCATATCGGTTTAAGGTATGAGACTTTAGGCGTGAAACAACTCAGACAAGAATACAAAACAGTGAACTTAGTCCAAGATGACTGCACTTTATATTCTTTCATCATCCATAACTCTACCATCATACCACCCGAATCCGTCTCCCAATAATTATACAGGCTGAGACATCCTCCGTTTACCATGAAATAATATTTATCCACTTGATTCATGGCAAGATCATATTCATGTGGCAGAGGAATCTCTGACAAACTCTTTTCTATCAAATCAAATGATATAATTTTGTAAACCTTACGAGCACGATGATAGCGATACAACCAATGAAGAGCCCCATTCAAGAATAACCCGGCTCGGAGTGACCCAGCTTCCAATCTAGGAAAGGCATCATCGTCCTTCACCAAAAACGAAAAATTGATAGCCTCAAATTGGTTCCATGAATTGGTTTTGAAGGAGAAAAAGCGAATGTAAGCAGAAGAACTATGTCTACGATTCGGCATGATAGTAACTGCCAAGTAGTCATCAGTTGCTGCGTCATACCCTAAACCACATAGAACTTCGAACGTTGAGTACTTAAAAGAGCCATATGTTGATTTATGGGCACCGGTTGATGGATTCCATATAATAAAATCATTATCACAAATATACCGTAAGAGTATAAACCCTCGACAGGATCCCAAAATTTCAAAACAGTCAGGGTGTGAATATGGATTTCCCTCAGCGTCGAGGGGTAGATCATCAGGATCACGGGGTGATACTGGAAGTGGGGCAGCGAGGTGTGCTACAGCAGAATCATCATGAAATAATGCTTCTATATCTATGGATATAGGAAAAGAAAAGTCATCCAAATAATTGTCAAAATAAAAGAATTCGTCTATGGGTTGAACAAGAAGTCGGTGGGTGGGTACGGCAGCTAGGTCAAAATGGGATTTTGCAAATTGGGGATCGGAAATGAGAGAGAACCATGACTTACACACACATTTGAAACGCACGAGAGATTTCACCGGTAACCTCAACAGAATTTCTACTATCAACTCGTCTAGGAGTGTGGGAGTGACAGTGAGATCCATCTTCTTCACGTTTGAGAAGAAGCAGCAAATGAGATTTTGGCTCTACTCCAAACGACGTTAACAGGCGAGTCCGAGTCCGCTCTATCTACCCTACTCTGTCATTAAATACAACTACAAGAGTACGTTTAGGTCTTAAAAAATATTATTTAAGAAAAAAAAAATCCTGGTCTATTATTATACTATATTGTTTATTTTATTAAAAAATAATTTTTTATTTTAAATACAGCTATTTTTTATTTTTTATAAACGAATTCTTGTGATTTGTTCCATAATCATTTAATCTCTTATCCTTTTTTTCGCGTTAATATTTCTAAAGTGAATGTAGATAAATTATCTATATTCGCTTTCAAAATGACGTTGTTTTGAGTTGAAAAATTAAAAATTATAATGAAAAAGACTATTATAATCCTAAAATAAATTGTAATTACAAAAATATCTTAATTTCCGTCTCAAAATGACGTCATTTTGGGCTCAATATAGATAAGTTATTTACATTGACCGTAAAAAAAATGATTTTTTTTATCACTTTCTATACAAATTACAAACACATTTAACCATTTTTTTCATTTATAAATTTGAGTTGGATTCACGGTTGGGCTTTAAAAATAAGGATATGTACCAGAGTAACTGGGTGTGTATCAGGATAATTAAGGACATGTACCAGTGTAACCGGGTGTGTATCTAGATAAATAATTTTCTACCCGGGTAATCGAGTGGTCTTCCCAAGTAACTGTGTGGTTAACGGTTAAACATGAATAAATTGGTGTTATGTTTGTTGAGAAGGTTAAATTTTTGAAATAATTTATGGCTAAGATATTGTGACAGCCAAATAAAGTTACAACCATGTTACTACCAACCAATCTTACCGTTAGATTGGTTATCTCATCCTACGGTCCAGATTAGATCCTTAAATAGCTCTCTTTCTCCCCTTCTCTCTCTCAGTATACGCTCTGCCCATCATAGCTCTGCTTCCATCACTGCCGCTGAGCCGTCGCACTCTTCTGCTGCTGCTGTTGCCTACCGCAGACCCACCACCGTTAGACCTAACAAATTTATACCAAGGCAATGCTGCTCTCGCCTCTCGCCACCAGGTGGCTTACGCACGCCGCGCCAATATATATATCTATATAAACAATGTAGCACTTAAAACAATTCACGGCAATCGAGGCAAAAGAATTATAATTACAAAAGGTATTCTCGACGACTTGAGATGAAAAACAAATTGAGATATAAAACGAGATATAAAAAAAATCGAGATGCAAATTCTATTTAAAGACATGACAATCGAGATACCATGTAACAATTGATTGCAATATAATATTCAAATTTTCATATTTTGTGATACGGATCGAGATGCAATAGAGACAATTTATTCAAAAATTTGTCTTAAAATCAAAATGAATTGTGGGTCTTACAGAAGGGAAACAAAGAACCATGTCTGTCACTGGGATTTGTTATTTTTTTTTTGCTATCCTTTTGTCAGGGTTTGTACAGAAGGGAAACAAAGAACCATGTCTGTCAGTGTCTCAGTGATGTAAAAAAATGTTCGCAACTTTGAGAGGGATAACCGCGGTGGGTCTGCGGTAGGCAGCAACGGCGGCAGAAGAGTGCGGTGGCTCAGCGGCAGTGATGAAGCGGCGGCTGTGATGGGCAGAGCGTATAGTGAGAGAGAGAAGGGAAGAGAGAGAAGGGGAGAAAGAGGGCTATTTAATGATCTAATCTGGACTGTAGGATGAGATAACCAATCTAACGGTGAGATTGGTTGGTAGTAACATGATTGTAACTTTATTTGATTGTCACAATATCCTATTCCATAATTTATAAACGAAGGCAAGACGATAATTTTTTATTAGTGAAATACTACAATGGTCAAAAAGCCTAAGGGTGGAAAACTGTTTTGGTGTAAGTATATCATTCCCCATATTTGTTTAAAAAAAAAAATTAAATATTTTGCTTTTACCTCATATAAATTTACAAAAAAGCCTAAGTAATTTTTTATTTTTTTAACAAATTTAAGTCGATCTCCTTAACACTTCAAGTCTTCAACTAATGTTGTTTGATCAATGGTTCTTGGCAAAGTATGTAACACTCATACTTTGAGATGCCTCTCAAAAATAGTTATTACTTATGCCACATGATACAAATTTATAACAATTAAAATGCATCTCACCGCTCACAAAAAAAAAAAAAAAAGCATCTCACCAAAAAATAAAAAATAAAAGAATGCATCTACGCCCCATTACAGGACATCAAATTTTGAATTTATTATAATCTCGTACAGCCCAAACTAATTACTATATATAATTATTAAATTAATATTTTAGCGTAAAAAAATACTTTTTGATTATTTTTGAAAAGGTTTAATATAAGACAAAGTTATTTAAGCAAGATTTGTACAAAAATAAAATCAAATCGATCATTTGATCCAAATCAATCTGACCATAATCAGGTCAATAAAAGAACATTTTCTCTACTTGATATATCATTCGAGTGTTTGGTTTGGGAGAAATTTTTTTTTACTAGGAAAATGTAATTGATAGGGAAATGGTTGGAAAGTGAGTTTGGTAGAAAAATGTAAAAAAAAATTGTTTAGTTGACCCAAATATTACCAGGGAAATTTATTTAAATATGCAAAATCTATGTTCGGGAGAAACTTTGCACCTGTTTTTTCACTTCCCCAGTTATCTCAAAATATCACATCTCAAGTGATATTCTGTAACAGTGAATTTCATCCAAAAATCAACACAAAAGTCATTTTCCCATCTATCCTATTTGTCTGGTATTTCTTGAAAAAACCTGAACCAAACGTGGTATTTTCTAATATCCACTTACACTTTCCAAAAAGACGGTTGTTGCTACTGGACGGCGAAATGGGTTTTGAAATTTATTAACATTTTCCAAAAAGGGTACTGTTAATAATCCCGCGGGTACCGAAACCATTAAAAGAACACCCAATAACTTGTTGGGCACTCTACGAAGTATTTGAAATACGGGAAAGAAATACCATTCAGGCAATATTTCCAAAGGAGTTGCGAATTTAATCATTTTTATTTTATTTTATTTTGGTAATCAATCATTTTTATTTTTATTTCTACTTAAAACCGACTAAACCAATGATTACTCGTATTTCAGTTGTTTTCAAAATATTTTGTCAATTAGTATTGGGAGGAAAGAAATCAAAGAAAAAAAAAAGTAACCCTTGCACATGATTTATAGAATAGTGGCATCAACCACACTCAAACCAAATAGCACCTGTAAATGTGGGCACGACATTAGAGCACACGAGCTCCAAATGGGAGACAAAAAAAAAAAAAAAAAAAAAGATCATGCAGAACAATAAGGCAAGGAGATAGCAATCGCTATTTTACAAGCAACATAAACCAACCTAACTAATTGATGATAGAAATGAACCCAGTCCTAGAAGCTCCATAAGTAAAAATGTATCTTGACTTATGGACAATGTATCATAGTCAATATAACTCTACACAGATAAATACTGAAAATCCCAAAGGAGAAGATTCATTCCTAACCGATGTTGTTCATGTCTTCATGATTGCCCCATCTTTCCCAACTTCTGCATAGAAATAGAAATGTTAAGACAGACGATGTTCCACATAACAATAGAGCATGTACGATATTAGTTTTTAGACAGTAGACAACAGCTAAAATTTCATACCAAGATGTTATTATATATCGATTAAGTAAGAAGCAGTTGTCAAACGCATAAATCCGACCTGGGATTGGACAAGCAATGTAGAAATATGAAACGTAAGATCGCAAGATGAATTGTAATATATATATATATATATATATATATATATATATATATATATATATATATATATATATATATGGGAGAGGTTATAATTACTACCTTTTTTTCTTACTACTTCTTACTACCAAATCTTAACCGTTGATTTCCGTCAATCTATCGGTTATAATTTATTAGAATTAATAATTAATTAAGAAGTGTGACCCAATAAATTATAACCGTTAGATGGACGGAAATCAACGGTTAAGATTTAGTAGTAACAAGTAGTAAGAAAAAAAGGTAGTAACTATAACCTTTCCCTATATATATATATATAGACATACATAAAATGTAAGTCATCATAATATTAAAATCAAAACAAAAACAACATTTAAATATGCGCTAACTCAAAATTTATAATAGATGTAAGGTTTTAAGAACAGGTAAAAGCCTTACTATAAAACCAAGCTTCTGGCAACACAAAGGTCACACTGTATTTACATTTAGCTCAAATTGGTCTATAATATGATAAAATTTTGGTTATAAATTATGCTCATATATAATAGTCCGAAATTCCAACAGATGAGGACCTTTTATCTGTGCACTCCTTTGTTTCAACAATTTATCATGCATTTAAATTAGGAACATGCAAGCTTGCAACAATTGAAAGCCTGGCATTAATTTGAAGCAAGGTTGTCAAGATCACAATTTTACTTGATCGTAGGATTTTTCGTTGCTTTGCTAACATATCAATGACAACAAAAAGAAATGAGATAAATATGCCAAAAAGCATGTAACATGCTAAACGGAAACACAACTAACCATGCTAAAATCATCAACAAAAGGTACATTAATTCTGCACCGACATGATATTATTTCAGATGAGTATATGATTGACCACTTAAATAGCCGTTGATTATTTTGAAAAAGCAAGATATTGACAACTTAAATTCTCTCAAAGCTTATCATTTCTTGCAAATTCATAATGCAAGATAAATAGGAATAAAAAAGGTCAAAAGGATTAGAAAATGGGGTTTACATTTCTGCAGCTGCTGTATGTGCAGCAAAATCAAATACTTACCATATATATACTTAAAAAAATTAAATGCGGAGAATCATAATCATACAAAGATACAAATGATGGAGAATCATAACCATACACCTATCGTTGCTGTATGCAAAGCGACCGGAGAAATGATTTTACCTTAGGAAATAGTACATACCATAATTCTTCTGGTATGTTTCTGTTGGCAGTGCTTCCATGCCTCCATCACGGACACTAGGGAGTGAAAGTAGACTTTCTGTATACATAACTCCTTTATCCATAGACCAATCCCTATATTGGCGATTTTCTAACGGTTCTCCTTAGAAGTCAAATTTCATCAATTCCGCATTATGAGTTGATGCAACAAGTTCACCACCTTTGGCAGAGCATAGAGGTATGATCAGTTGCAGAGATTCTGTATACATAATAGGAAAGTCAGACATAATCCAAGATGACTGAAGTTTATATTCTGTCATAACCCACACCTGAGTTTCATTACACACACTGAGACACCCTCCTATTATTCTCAAATCATGAAAAACATGGTCACGACCACATGGCAGAGATATCCTTGATAAATTCTTTTCTATCAAGTCAAAGACAATAATTACATCAACAAATTCAATGTCATCTTTAGCCAGCCAATGAATAGCATCATTAAAGACCAATCCAGATTGCTTAAAGATCACTCGAGAATTACTGACACGATGCACAAAGGGAATATTGAATTGTTTCCATGAATTGGTTCTGAAAGAGAAAAACACCAAATCATTGAGGCATAACACAACTATCAAGTAGTCATCAGTGGAAGGGTCATATCCAAAACCAATTAGGTGTGCCTTCCGAATGGAATCAAAAAACTTTTCTTTCCAAATCTTAGGGTACGATAGTTGTATGTGGAAACCAGTTGATGGATTCCATATATAGAGATTTGGGTTTGAGTATCTTCTTAAGAGGACAAAACCTCTGCACGAACCGAAAATCTTAAAACTTTCAGCACCAGTCTTTGTAAACGGGGGAATGACGGTTACAATAGCAGAATCATCGTGAAGCGATGCGTCAATGTCGATGGATCTAGCTTCGGAACCAAAAGCTTCCATGTAGAGGAATCTATGGGAGGGTCTGGCAGAGAGTTCAAAATGGGAATTTGCAAAGTGTGGATCAGAGATGAGAGAAAACCATGACTTACGAACACACTTGAATCGAATAAGAGATTTCACAGCTAACCTCAACAGAATTTTCTCTATCAATTCCTCACATAGCGTATTCTCCATCTTTTTGTGTTTTTTCTACTCAACACCAGTTTCGGCTCTCAAAATCAAATGTACATAAAACTATTAAAATTCCCATTTTGTATTAAAAAAAAAAAAAAAAAAAAAATTCCCATTTAAATATGTATTTTTATGATTTTTTTTTTAATCAAAATGATTTTAATAAAATTTCAAACATTTTTACTATTTTTTAGCCTTTTTTTTATTTTAGGTAAAATTTCGATTTTAACTATCATGAACCAGAGTGGATTCGGTAGTTTCTTAAAATCAGTGCCGTATCAAAAAAAAATCTAATATGTGTAATATTCAATAAATTTATATTAAAACAAGATGAAAGTTATACTTACAATTTTTTTTTTTACAACCATACCTTAATACCGTTGATTTTCGTCAATCAACGGTTATGATTTTCGCAAATTAAACTCATTAATTAATTATTAATTCACAATAAATGATAACCGTTGATTGACGGAAATCAATGGTGTTAAGATATAATTGTAAGAGGTTATAAAAAAAAGTTGTAAGTATAACCTTCCTCTTAAAACAATATAGATGGTAAGTATAACCTTCCTTTTAAAGTTCTACGAATATCATCTATTTTCGTTTACCACCTCTTTCACTCAAATCTTAATACCGTTCATTTCCGTCAATCAACAGTTATGATTTTGAGAGGAAATAATGTTAAATGAGTAACTTCAACTTTGGAACATAATTAAATTCCGAAGTCCGTTTGCACTCCAACATTACTAAAATCACCGCTAAAATAGACATCAATTCTGCACTAACACAAGATTATTCAATATCAAGTATATGACAATCTCTTCCAAATGATATGCTTTCTGCTAACAGTATCGTCAGTTGAAGGAAAGCTGGGGCATTAAGATGACCGTATAAAATATATTCTTGCATATATACTTCATGACCTGCAGGAAACATATAAGCTTATTGTAAATGTAATTATATATTCTATAAGATTTAAGATTTAAAACTACGATATTGTAAAACCTCCCTGAAAATCCTAGTTGTTTTACAATTAACATTGTTTTTCTTATAAATTTTTCCATTCAAAAAACCCTTGATTATTCTGAGAAAGCAAGACATCGAATATTTTCCCCAAACATTGGTGAATTCAATCCACCACCAAAACATCAAATAGTTGCACTTTCATTTAACTTTTCCATATATCAAGAAGTCCAAGATTAAAAGCAAGTTTGCTGATTGTAAGAGATTATAGCTATAGATTATGGATCTATCAAATTATCTTATAATCATAGATTATGCAGCTAATATAGTCTTGACAGAGGAAGAGAAAATTTGAATGGAAATATTAGCAAATTGCTGAAGCTCAATTTTTTCTTCCGTTCCCCCATTTTTGCCACAGGGAATCAAAGTATCTTTGGGAACATCATGAAACTATGACAGAAACATTATCAGCACTATATCATTATGATCAACACTATACATGCAAGATAAATTCATATCAAAACTTATTTCGACCCTTTACCCCAACCCTTCTATTAGCTCCATTCCAAGATGATTAAGATCAATAATATCTCCAGAACTTCAAGTCAAAACGAATATCATATTTATCCTGAAAAAGCACCTAAATATAGTACAATAAGTAGGGCTTGTGCCTGAAAACAATAAAGGTAATAGAAACAAACTCCCAAACATAATAATAATAACATTAAGAGGTAAAATGATAAAGATGTTGAAAAGCACGTAATAGTTCCAACTTAGAATTGCAAAATCCTACTTTGGAACATAACTAAGTTCTTATCATTTTTTTTAATCGAGCACAAATTGGAGAATATTGCATACCCTAATTTTTCTTGTCGCTAGAGAGTGATAGCAGACTCTCTCTATACATGGTATAAAGTGGAGCCCTGCTGAACCTAAAAATTGTGAAGAAAGGACTAAATGTGTGATGTTGAAGCAGCTCTCCTTTCTCATTAAGTTGCATTAATCCTCCAGTCGCATTTGATCCAACAATTCCATTACCTTCGGTGAAGCATATCGGCCAAAAGTAGTTGGTAGGAATATCATAAGTAGCCCGAACAGTGAACTTAGTCCAAGATGAGTGCACTTTATATTCTTTTGAGATATATAGTTTTACATTGGTTGTATGTGCAACTAACGTGGAGTTTATAAGGCCTTGGGCACTCCCATCCTTTGAGCTAGCTTTTGGGGTGGTGTATCCCAAGGTTCTTTACATGGTATCAGAGCCTCGCCGCCCCCCACTTTCTCTTGTGGCGTTTCTTAGCACATGTAGGCTGGGCTTGTTGCATTGTCCACTCTTCAAGCCCAATGGGCTCTTGTGTGAGGTGGCGTGTTGAGATATATAGTCCCACATTGGTTCTTTACATGGTATCGGAGCCTTGCCGCCCCCCACTTTCTCTTGTGGCGTTTCGCCGCCCCCCACTTTCTCTTGTGGCGTTTCTTAGCACATGTAGGCTGGGCCTGTTGCATTGTCCACTCTTCAAGCCCAATGGGCTCTTGTGTGAGGTGGCGTGTTGAGATATATAGTCCCACATTGGTTCTTTACATGGTATCAGAGCCTCGCCGCCCCCCACTTTCTCTTCTGGCGTTTCGCCGTCCCCCCACTTTCTCTTGTGGCGTTTCTTAGCACAGGTAGGCTGGGCCTGTTGCATTGTCCACTCTTCAAGCCCAATGGGCTCTTGTGTGAGGTGGCGTGTTGAGATATATAGTCTCACATTGGTTGCATTGTCCATTCTTCAAGCCCAATGGGCTCTCGTGTGAGGGAGCGTGTTGAGATACCACTTTCTCTTGTGGCGTTTCTTAGCACATTAGGTTGGGTCTGTTGCATTGTCCACTCTTCAAGCCCAATGGGCACAGGTAGGCTGGGTCTCGTGTGAGGGGGCGTGTTGAGATATATAGTCCCACATTAGTTGTATGTCCACAACTAATGTGGCATTTATAAGGCCTTGGGCACTCCCACCCTTTGAGCTAACTTTTGGGGTGATATATGCCAAGATTCTTTACACTCCCAGAGCTAACTTACTCCCAACCTTTGAGCTAGTGGTTCTTTACATATTCTTTCATCACCCATATCCGAACCATTGCATTCTCTGTGTAACACACGCTAAGACATCCTCTGATTACAATCATAAAAGAAAATATATATATGTAAATTCCGGGGTAAAGTCCTGTGGCAGTGGAATCTCTGACAAACTCTTTTCTTTCAAATCAAAGGCAATAATTCGGCCAACCTTATTATTAGCATAGTTAGGCTCACACAACCAATGAACAGCCCCTTCAAGAATAACCCAACTTGTTCACTCACCCATGGATACTTGATACCCTCGATTTTGTTCCATGAATTGGTTTTCAAAGAGAAAAGATGGATATCACATTTCCAATGAGTATAACCGGGCTGTGTCCAAATTATTACAAGGTAGTCATCCGTTGATGCGTCGTTTCGAAGACTATGGTTTTGCCAGGGAAGGGTTTAGAGGTTTAGAATCAAATTTCGAATACTGAGCAACATCTTAGCGAAAATCTTAGGGCAATCAGTATATAACGGGAAAGAATAGTATATAAGAGACGTGGATAAGAGCCTATAAAACATTTTAAAAAAAAAATTACATAATGTGAAACAATTATAATTATATAAAAATGAATTAACGATTATAATTTAGTAATTATATATTTTAATATTTTTTTATCTACTCTTTTATCTTCATTGATCTAATTTTATATAATTATAATTGCTCACATAATCATATTATATTTTTTTTAACATGAAATGATCTATTCCTAAAATTATTTTAGGAAAATATATGATCTTGCTAACCTCTTTTGCATTTAACGGAAATCAAATCAATCATCACCTGCATAACAGATTATTTGATGGCCAGGGTATGATAGGAATAAACAAGATAGTTGGGTAAAAGTAGAAAAAAAAATGTGTTTGATTTTGATAAACTTATATATTATCTTGGGTTTCTCCTGCATTTGATAAACAATTTGATATAATAAGGTTATTATATTCAGTATTTGAAGCAAATCACATAATATCATGACAAGATACAAATACGTTACAATATCTTTTTTAATAGAGTTTTATATGTTTTTAAAATTGATTTTTAAACTATTTTTTTTACTTATTTATACATTAATTTTTATTTTAAATTACTAAATGAAATATAATAAAATAAAAAATAAATTACAATAAATTTAATAATAACAAAAAATATATATCCTCATCAAATAAATTCTTAAAAATTAAGGTTTAGTTTGATTGTTAATATTGGTGGTCAGTGCTATTAACATGTCATATGGATCGCTTGGATAAAAAAAAATTTAGCCAAAAACTATTTTTTCAAACAAAAAAAGAAGCACTTATACTACAAAATTTGTTTGGATGTCTGTTTTTAAAAAAAGCAAAAGCCACAACAAAACTAAAAACCTGCTTTTTTGGACGCTACAAATTTTAGCTTCTAAAAAAAACAGAAGTTAAAACCCAAATATTTTTTCAAAATCCAAATAAGACTTTTAAAAATCTAAATAGTCTTAACTTTTGTAAAAAACATTTCTAAATAACTAAGGCATCCCCCTTTAATAGGCTCCGACAATAGCTTGAACCGAATGTATTCCGAAAAATGAATTTTTTTTTTTAGAAGCTCAACCAAACGGGCCTATAGTGGTGGTAGCAACAAGTGCAATGGATTAAAGAGGTGGTGATGGTGGTGCCCGTGAGAATTGTGGTGGTTGCAACAAGTGCAATGGATTAAAGAGGTGGTGATGGTGGTGCCCGTGAGAATTGTGGTGGTTGCCTGATGATTGTGGGGGCAGCATCTCAAATTTGAGTGTTTACGTAATTAATTATTCAAGTTAGAATCATTTGTTGATATATATATGTATGTGTACTCTCCATCTCAGTAGTTAATTTCCATCCATTTAATGATTGTCATTTATTTGAAATTAATAATTAATTAATTAGTATGACTTCATAAACTATAACTGTTGATGGACGAAAATAAACGGTTAAGATAAGGAATAAGACTTATAAGTTTTATTCTGGAATCAAACGATCCATCTAATATATATATATATATATATATATATATATATATATATATATATATATATATATATATGGGGCAGGTTACGTTTACAGCTTTTTTTGTTTACAACTCTTACAACCCAAACTATGTTCTCATTGGAGAACACTAATGGATATAGGGAAGGGTTACGTTTACAACTTTTTTTGTTTACAACTCTTACAACCTCAACTATGTTCTCCCTGGAGAACACTAACCATTGAGGTTGTAAGAGTTGTAAACAAAAAAAGTTGTAAACGTAACATGCCCATATATATATATATATATATATATATATATATATATATATATATATATATATATATATATATATATATATATGAGGCAGGATCCTTTGACACCTGTGTCAAATTTTCTGAGAGTCGTTAGATCAAAAAAAATCAATGACTCTGATTTGTAAGCACGTGACACCATTGATCTTTTTTGATCTAACGGCTCTCAGATGAGGTGTCAAAGGATCTTACCTCTATATATATATATGGTAAAATCATTTATACGGACACTTTACATACAACAATGACAGATGTATGGTTATAATTTCCCACATTTAATGCTTTCATCTTTTGTATGATTATGATTTCCCACATTTAATACTTTCACGTATATATAAGGCAAGTATTTGACTGCTGCACATACAACAGTTGCAGAAATATAAACCCCCCCACACATATATATATACCCTTTTGTCCTTGTTTTTAAAATCAAATCACCACTTTGCCCCTCTTCCAAAACTATACATCAATTTGTCCCGTTTGAGTACGTTAACCGACATTTACTCAAGTAATATATCCCACAAACAAATATTATCGGTTGCTATGTAGCACCGATACGACACGTGACACGACACGACACGACACTCCGACACATCAATCCTAAAAAATTATTGATTTTGACACGTTGGGACACGTTTTAATATTAAATAATATTTTTAATTTATATAGTGTATATTTCATTTAATATTTAATAATTTAACAAAAAAAATGAAACTAAATTAATAATACCCATCAACACGTTATAAAGATGGAAACTTTAATAAAAAAAATAAGAACTGGGATGAGAGAGATATATATAATATCAGATAGAGAGATCAAATCATATTAGAGAGAGAGATCAGAGAGAAGGAGATACAACAAGAGCGTAATAGGAATTGACAACAATGATGCTGAGATGATCTCTTATCTACTTAAGGGGAAAAAAGAAAAAAAAATTGATATAATCAGGTGGAAGCTTTATTAATATATTTTAATTTTTAAAAAAAATTAAAAAAAATTACGAAAATGCCATTTGACCGTGTCGGACACGGTCAAATTCGCGTGTCGGAATGGTCAACATGTCGGAAAAAGTTGACCGCATGTCCGACACCGTGTCGGAGCGTGTCGCCGTGTCGGAGCATGTCGGACACGACTCTCCCTGTTTTTACAAGTATTCGTGCTTCCTTGATCGGTTGAAGAAAAAGAGAAAGCACTGAATGAGATTTTGGCTTTTTTTAAAACAGATTTTGGCTTTTTAAAAAGCGGAAGAGGGACAGAAAATCTAAAAGCATTAAATATAGGAAATCATACCTATACAAAGGTAGAAATAAATATAAAATATTAAATATAGAGAATCATAATCATACAAAAATAAAAATAAAAATAATCGTTAGATCGACATAATCGATCTAATGATAAAATTGATTGATAATAATATTAGTAATAAGTTGTTACAATACTCTTCACCCTAATTAAATAGGAAATTATACATGAGAACCAAATAATATTAAAATGTATAAAATTAGGAAAAAGTGTTTGTCATTTTGAATGACATAAAGTTATGTCATTTTAAGAGAGAGATAGACACAGAATAAATTTTTTTATTTAAATTTTAAATTAAAAAAAAACCACCCAATTTGAATTTCCCCTGATTTCTATTTTCTGTATCTATCTCTCTCCTAAAATGACATAACTTATGTCATTTAAAATGACAAACACCATGCCCATAAGATTAAGAACCACTTAAAACTACCTCTAACCACTTTATTAGGCTTATGAAAGCTGCCCAATATTTATTCAAACAAAATTCAAATTTGTAAAATAAAATATGAGTTTGGTGTTTGTTATTGTAAATGACATAACTTATGTCATTTTAAAAGAGAGAGATAGACACACGAAAATGGAAATCATGGGAGAGAGAAAGTGAGTGATTTTTTTTTAATTTTTCTGTATCTATCTCTCTCTTAAAAGGACAGAGTGTTATGTCATTTAAAATGAGAAACACTTTTCCCATAAAATATAACTTAAACCGTAACATAACGTTTTAAAAAATCAGCTTTAAAAATGTGTAAAATAAATGAAAAGATATCTAAAAACTCTTTAAAATATCCAAATTTGCTGAATTTTTGTACCCTGTGGTTCAGCGCGTTAGTTTTTCTCCTTCAAAATAGAGACAACACTCCCACTCCCCCGTGGTAACGAAACGAAGCAGAGACTCAAAACCCGCACACAAAGCTGTTAGCAAACTAAGCGTTTATAACTTATAACCAAAATCTCAACCACCGTCTCAGGTAACCCAAACCCTGTTTTCTTCGTTTCCTCAATCCTATGTTTTTTTATGTGGAAATTTTGACAAGTTATGCATATTCAATTAGGTGCACATTTTTAGAATAAAATGCTAAAATGGTTGTTTATAGTGATGAAATTAGATAACCCAGGAACCTTATTTTTGGAAATTTTAGGTTTTTCTTTTTTTATTTCTTTCTTTTTTGTTTTTTTAGTTTGGTTTCTATTTGATGGAAGTTATTTGTTTAACCTTGAGTTGTATGTTTGTTTGTTGGTTTTGTTTCTTGCTTAATGTTACTAACAGGTGTACCATAGCTTTGGATGCTTATGTTACTGGAAATACAAACAATAAAAATTGTTCAAATATTACTGTAAAATTGCGGAAGCACTCAAGAACCTGTTCTGGAGAACAGGTATATCAAAATATTTTCTAATGTGGGTGCTTCAGAGTCCCCATATTGTGAGACAAACTCCATATCAAAGTCACCTCTGCTACACTTCTTATGTCTCTTCAAAATTGCCGGTTTCTTTTGTTTCATTGAACCCTTCAGGGTACCCCATAAAAGACATCAAGAACAGCAACAACAACAACAACCAGTTGATACAATCATTATGCAGAGGAGGCAACCTTAAGCAAGCCCTTGAGGTCCTTTGTAGTGAGCCCAATCCAACTCAGCAGACTTTTGAGCTTTTAATATATTCTTGTGTGCAGCAGAACTCCCTCTCCGATGGCCTTGACATTCACCACCATCTTGTCAATAATGGTTTTGACCAAGACCCCTTTTTAGCTACTAAACTTATCAATATGTACTATGAGCTAGGCTCTGTTGATCATGCTTGCAAGGTGTTTGATGAAACTCGGGAAAGAACCATATATGTCTGGAATGCGATCTTTCGAGCGCTGGCGATGGTGGGTCGTGGTGAGGAGCTGTTGGATTTGTACGGTCAGATGAATTGGATTGGGATCCCGTCGGATAGGTTCACATATACGTATGTGCTTAAGGCTTGTGTTGTTTCAGAGTTGTCAGTCTGCCCTCTCCAGAAGGGTAAGGAGATTCATGCCCATATTCTGCGACATGGCTATGAAGCAAATATTCATGTTATGACAACTCTGTTGGACGTATATGCTAGGTTTGGCTGTGTATCATATGCAAGTTCTGTGTTTGGTGCAATGCCTGTCAAGAACTTTGTCTCATGGAGTGCTATGATTGCATGTTATGCAAAGAATGAAATGCCTATGAAAGCATTGGAACTGTTTCAGCTAATGATGCTTGAGGCATGTGATTCAGTTCCGAATTCAGTTACAATGGTTAATGTGCTTCAAGCTTGTGCAGGTCTCGCTGCAATGGAACAAGGAAAGTTGATACATGGCTATGTCCTTAGAAGGGGTCTTGATTCTATACTACCAGTTCTTAGTGCCCTTATAACGATGTATGGAAGATGTGGTGAGATATCGTTGGGACAACGAGTGTTCGATAAGATGAAGAAACGTGATGTTGTTTCATGGAATTCTTTGATTTCTGTTTATGGTATGCATGGTTTTGGAAAGAAAGCAATCCAAATTTTTGAAAATATGATCCACGAAGGAGTTTCACCAAGTTACATATCATTCATCACTGTTTTGGGTGCTTGCAGTCATGCAGGCCTTGTTGAGGAGGGAAAGATTTTATTTGAATCTATGCTTAGTAAGTACATGATCCATCCAGGTACGGAGCATTATGCTTGCATGGTGGATCTTCTTGGCCGAGCTAACAGGTTAGATGAAGCAATCAAACTAATAGAAGATATGCATTTTCAGCCAGGACCTACGGTTTGGGGTTCCCTTCTTGGGTCTTGTAGGATTCACTGTAATGTTGAACTTGCAGAGAGAGCGAGCGCTATGCTTTTTGAGTTGGAGCCTAGGAACGCTGGGAATTACGTGCTTTTGGCAGATGTTTATGCAAAAGCTAATATGTGGAATGAAGTAAAGAGTGTGAAGAAGCTATTGGAAACTCGTGGCCTGCAAAAGATTCCAGGTTGCAGTTGGATTGAAGTTAAGAGGAAGGTATACTCATTTGTCTCTGTTGACGAATATAACCCACAAATTGAAGAGCTCCATGCTTTGTTAATTAAATTGTCAACTGAGATGAAAGAGCAGGGTTATGTCCCACAGACAAAGGTTGTTCTTTATGATCTTGAAGAAGAAGAGAAGGAGAAAATTGTATTGGGACACAGTGAAAAGCTTGCTGTTGCTTTTGGACTCATTAATACTGCAAAAGGTGAAACCATAAGGATCACGAAAAACTTGAGATTATGTGAAGACTGTCATGCTGTCACAAAGTTCATTTCCAAGTTTGCTAATAGAGAGATTCTTGTTAGAGATGTGAATCGCTTCCACCGTTTTAGAGATGGAGTTTGTTCCTGTGGTGACTATTGGTAGTTCTTGGCAAAATGATATGCAGTTGATGAAAGTAATGCTAATATAGTGGTAGAGATTGAATGATGCTATTGCTTTAAACACAGCAAGCGCCAGTTCTGTTGTAGATTTATTGTCTCTGTAAAAACTGAACACTCTTACGAAAAGTTTCTGGATTTTTTTTTTCTGTATAATAGTTTCTGGATTCTTGTTAGAAATATAAACCAATTTGAAAAAAATAAAATCGGTTAAAATTTAATAAAGTGTTAGTTTCTTTGAACCAAACCGTTTAAACTGTTCTGTTCAATTCAGGAAGAAAAAAAAAAAAAATCAGTTTGGGTAACTGTACACACCCTTACATAAGGGTATTCAAAATGAATACCACATCAATTAGACGGGGTGTATTCGATTAAGATTTTAAAAGATTTTTTTAAATTAATTTTTTTTATAGATTTTAAAAGACTATTTAGAATTAGAGGGACTTTAAAGATTTTTTTTACAATCAATATTTCATAAGATTGAATTTTAATAGAATTTATTAAATTTGAGAAGACAATATGGATTATAATATTTTAAAAAATTATATGAAATTTTGACAAACATTCAAAATTGCAAGAGTCAATAAAAAAAATAAAACAAAAAAATACAATGATATTAATAAAAAAAATAAAACCTAATATAATCTTCTCAATCAGTAAAATTTATGATAAAATTTCATTTGAAATTTTTTACAATTGATTTTATAAACCTTGAGGTTTTTGTTCTACGTAATAAGAGTTTTCTAACCATATATCATATACATGTTTTCATTGAATATTCCAAAAAAAATTCAAATTTTAATTTCTGGATTTTATTACATGAAAATTTAGAAAATTTCTGAAGTTATTTTCAATCGATACATTGAAACCTCAAATTGCTTTGGAAAAACAAGTTTTTAGTGATCTATTGACACAAAAATTATTTGAAATCGTTTCTATAGCGAAAGAATTTCGTTCATAAATGTATTGTTATGAAACATAAGTTTCAATCTTTTTTTAAATCGATCTTGTTTCATTGATATAAAACAAAAATTGATTTGGGAGGATTTTTGTTCTACGTTGTTTTACATCTGTTTTACGTTTTTTTTAATACAAAAATCACACATAAAATTTTTCTAAGTACATATCGGTCATGATGCATAGAGAAATCAAAATACATGTTCGATTTGTATAACACAATCTTTTTCTTTTGTCCGCTCAAGTGTGTGTGGGGAAGAGGAAAAGAAATTAAGCAAAGAGATTACCCAAAAGAAAAAAAAAAAAAATAAAAATTAAGCAACGAATCTTCTGCATTTAGTAATGTCCAGCCAATTTTCCACAGTAGTCACCTGTAACTGTAAGCATTCTATAAGAGGAAAGACAGAACCAGATTCAGCTTGTAAAGGCACACCTATCTATGATGATATACCCTCGTAGGACATCCAAAGAGGGCCAACACGATCCCACTTCCCAGCTACTTTCAACTATTTCCCTTCTCGTTCTCATAGAAGTACATAAAGCTTAAAAACAAGTGAAACAAAAAAAGAGTATATTATGATATCTGATATCATGATCTTTGACTCTCACTGAGACACACACACTCCTTCTCCTCACTCTGATATCTGAGTTGTCCTTATTCTCAAGAAGTTATCTTTTTAGCCTTCTCAATACTAAATAGCACATCACATTCCCACTTCTTTTCAGTGTGAGATAATGTTGCTGTTACTGACTTGATTCCCCTTCTTGTGTTAGCATTTAGCAAATGTAGGCTCTGCACCTGTTATAAAAAACTATCCCTGTAAAGGTTTAATTTTTAGAACTTGGCACTTCACATTGTCTCCGTTTGATATTAAGATATTAGTTGTTGATTTAAAAATTTTGGAAAAAAAAAAGCGGGTCATGTTAGCATCTAATAACCTAAGTAAATGTGTGACGGGGTGGAGCCATGAAAATGTGCAAGATTAGAGATGGTTTCTGACTTTTACTTCCAATTTTATGTAGTTATTTAGTTTGGTATGCATTTGAGATGGATACTCATATATTTATTCCTATTTTACCATATTTCTTCTGTCTTTAGTTTACGATTGTACTATAAATATATTAAAATGATGCATTTAACAAACGCACACACATGATTTTTTAGATGACAGAATTTTATTTCTCATAACCTCTAGTTTATCTTCAATTTTTTGTTTATTTTTTTTTTTCCATTTGAGTGCACCTCTGCAAACATTCATCAGATGTTTACCATTAAAAAGATTGTGCAGGCATATCAAGCTCCAACAGGTTCTCTTATACATGCTGATACTTCCAACATGACACAAGTGGATATACCAGAAATGAAGGAGGCAAGTGAGGCTGCAATGTTAGTGCCAAATCACTTAGATCAAACGGAAGGGCCTAATATTCAGCATCAAGAGCAAATAAGAATTATAACAAGTCTATTTCAATGGCTGAACGTCCATCCCAATCTTTCAGCCTCAGTCTAACTGAAATGGTCAAGATTTGTGATGATGATGAGGTTAATTCTGCTGGACAGAGCTTGCCAATGGACACAGATGATGTATACCGAGTGAAATCAGAATTCGTACCCCTATTAATAAAAATCCTCAATAAGCATGGAGATATTGCTAAGAATTGTACCATATCAACAATGGAATACCGTTCAATGTTGTTGGAGATGATATGTGATATCTTCTCAGAATTGCAAGACGAGGATCTTAGTAAAATCAAAGAAGATAACCTGCAAGATATGATTTTTCAAGTGAATGAAATGAAAAATATGAAAGTGGACATAGTATAGCTTCACATGAGACTGTTGCAGATACTCGAGACAAAACAGATTCTTAGACAGTCTAGCACACTGAAAGAAGCTAGAGAGAGCAATAGACAAATCATTGAAAATGTGGAGAGAGAACTTGAAGAAAATGAAGCAGAAAAGAATGCTGTGGCAGAAAAGCTCAGATCAATCTATGCTAAAGAGACTGTTTGCCAGGAGACATTGGCTAAAGCAAGGGATGAGAGTACAGCAATAGCTGCAACTATTGCAGATGCCAAATCTAAAACGAGGTGCTTTCAAGAGTGCTCACTGGTAGATGGTTTGCTTTAAGCCATTTCATCTCACCCTATCTGTTTTCTCCATGGTAATGATTTGAGGATTGTAAACTGAGTTGTCCTTTATGACTGTTCTTAGTTGATTGTGTTTTTTATTTTTAAAATGTATGCTAAGACTGTCAGTTTCCATATATTTATCTACAAGAGTTCTTAATTTGGGGTTGAATTTGTGGTATTTCGGTGGTATATAAATATACTGCTTCATACTCAATGATGAATGCGTGAATTTAGGGGTGCGCATGGAGCAGTTCATAATCGATTTTGACAAAAACCAAACTAAACCAAACCAGTTTTAAACGGTTTGGTTTTCATACCGAACAAGTTTTCTTTTCTAAAACTAGTTTTTATTTATCCAAACCGGTTTGAAACCGGTTTCAAAACCGATTTATGGTTCAAAACCGGTTTTGAATTAAAATCAACCAGAACCGGTTTAAACCGATTTTTATTCAAAATCGGTTTTAAATCAAAACCGGTTATGAACCATAAACCTATTATCAAATTCAAAACTGATTTTATAACAACTTTTTTGTAATTTTGGGAATACTTTTCGCAAACAATAGAAGACAGAACAGTCCAAGAAAGAATAAAGAAAGCATAAGGAGACAAAACACCAGTATTTACAGGTTCAGAAACTCAGTGTTAGTGAGTTTCCTACGTCCTGGGGCCTAAAGAGGGTTAAATGCCCTCTGATATCACACTGTATTCAAAAGATCAGAATCACAAGTATAGAGTTATGGCATACAGATACATCAATATGAAACTAAACATGTGGAGAAACTATTAAAGCAACAAATCAACAAGAACAGCAAGAACATAAACTCAGAGCTCAAGAAATGGAGCAGATATCACCAATCTTCACAAGACCGTATAGGAAACGTTGTTCCTATCACTGGACCTCCAAGCTAACCACCACAAGCTTCACCGGTCCTCCTTGCAAATTCGTCACTCCACCGTTTGAACACCAACCGAGAATATTCACCGATCAAAAGAATCACCTTGTTGAGATGAACAAGGTTCTCCATAGTGACTAACAGAGATATTCAATCTAGAAGTCAGATTTTACCAAAATCTCTCCCTCTCACAAACCCTAATCGAAGGAACCTTCAAGAAGGTATCAGAGAAAAGAATAGCAAAATATCATGTATCAGAGCAAATGCCACGATGCAAAGTACAGCAGGGTCACCAAAGGTTATTAAACCTTCTCGTTGAAAAACGACACTGTTTCAATAAGTTGCTTAGCACACAATGGCAACAGCAGCTGATGTATTAAGCAACGGGCTAAGAAACAAAGGGGCCTTAGACAGATAATAATAGACATCAGCCCATTAAGAGCAAGAGGATGATAAAAGCCCAATGTTTAATAGAAATACATACAACAAACTTCAAATATGATTTTTACTCTTTCAATTTGGTTTCAATCAAGCAATAATTAACGTAAAATCAACAGAACTGGAATATTTGTTTAAGAGAGAGCTGCAAGCGTCAACACACACTTTTTATCTGCGTTCTTCTCTGATGAAAAGAACATCAAAGATTACTTGCGATTGATTAGAGTAACAACATCTTCCCTGCATATATATCAGCAAGTATTACAGGGTTAACTAAGAGAGAAATGTTACTAATATTCTCTTTTCAACACATTTTTTTTGTAGGAATTTTATGTGAGTTTTACTAAATAAAGCCCACTCTTTATTTAATCAGACATGCATGAAATTCACCTATAATAAGGAGTTCGTTAGATTAAAAATAAAAAACCATTAAAAAAATGGATATGGTTTGGTTATTTTGATATTGAAATTGTTGTGAAAATGGATAACCAAACCTAAACTAAAATTAAAAAACTGGATTGGTTTTTTAAACCATTTTATAAAAACCGATTTTTGAAACTGGTTTGGTTCAGTTTATTAATTGGTTTGGATCATTTGATTTTTTTAAACACCCCTACGTGTGATGGAGGCAAATATACACAAGGAATGTGTTTTGCAGGAGTCAAGATTACAGCTATAGAGAGAGAGAGAGAGAGAAATTCTAAGAATATGTGCCTTGTAGATTTTTTTCTTTAATGACTTTGAATGATCTTTACAAATGGTTGCATAAGATGAGATATATATTTAATATAGGAGACCCACTAAAATTAAATTTCAAATTTCCGCATGATAAATAGAGGCCTTACAAATGCTTGCATGTGATGGCATTGCAATGATATTTCTCTAGTGTTAATATTATCGGGTGTTTGAACGGTATGGAGTTTGTACTATTTAAATTTACGAATTTGGTATTCGATTGGAAGAAATTACGATTTGGGGTCTTTGAGTGCCGTGGGGAGACCCAGTGACTCTAAACGATGCCTCCACTTCCCCACGGCACGTTTGGCTGAATTTTTTTTCCCATAGTGCTGCCCACACCCCCCATTGGTACTCAATAAATAATATTTTATAAGTGTTGTCCATCCCCCAACGAAACTGATATTATATTTTTATATTTTCATTTTTTGAGTGCCGCTCATCCCTCAACGGAACTGATATTGTATTTTTATATTTCTATTTTTAGAGTGTCACCCCCTTGTGAAACTGTGACACCATGCTAAGTGGCACATCCCCTTCATTTCGGTCAACAAGCTGTAGAAGCTTTTACTCGAGGGGGTACTCTTGGCCCAATGAATATCGCCTATTCCGATGTATCTTATTTTTGACCTCTGTCTTCTCTCGCTTTCATTTCCATATCTGAACATTCTTCTCTATCTCATCCATTTGCAGCTCCTTGGGTTTTTTTTTTTTTTTTTTTTGCAGATCACACATTAGTTGCAACAAAGTTCATTAAAAGCTCTTACAAAGGAAAACGACCGTAAGGCACGTAAGAATCATTTTCATTTTATTAATTAAAATCATTTAACTTTTTTTACTTATTTTAGATATTTGACACAATATTTAGAATACACTAGTGTTTTTTTTTTTTGGTAATCTAATACACTAGTAGTTTTTTTTTACTAACACAAGCAATTGCAATTAATTATATTTATATAGTTGTCATAATAATTAGTCATTGGAAAGTAGTGTTTGATATTTTAATAATATGATTTAATTTAATTAATTTGTAAATGTTTAGAATTTCTTTTAATTAGAAATAGTTGTTATAATTTTTGAAAGTAATTATTTTGCATTATCCTAATAACATAGGCATGTATAATTAATAATATATAGAGATTTGAAATAAATTTTTTTTATGTTCATGTGTAATTAATTATATTTACATATTTGATATAATAAGTATTAATAATATAATTTAGAATAATTAATTGTTATTAATATTTAGGGTTTGTTTTAATTAGTAATAGTTGTTATAATTTATTTATTTATTTGGTAAAAAGTTGTTATAATTTTATGGCTAAATATTTTGTGATATCCTAACATAGTCATGTTGTATAATTAATATATAGAGATTTTACATAATAAAATATATTTTTATGTTGATGTGTAATTAACTAAATTTAGATAGTTGACATAATAATTAGTCATTGATGATTTGTGTTTAGTATTTTAATAATATATTTTATAATATTTAATTTGTTATTAATATTTAGGGTTTGTTTTAATTAGTAATAGTTGTATTAATTTTAAATTAATTCTTTTGTGAAATCCTAACATAGGCATGTATAATTAATAAGGATTTTACATAATAAAATATATTTTTATGTTCATTTGTAGTTAATTATATTTAGATATTTGACACAATAAAAAATATTGTGATATATCCTAACATAGGCATGTATAATGTTCGGTATTTTAATAATGTTATTTATAATAAATTATTTGGTTTATCTCATTTCTAATTTTCATAAAACATCTTATTGCCTAATATTTTACTGTTTTCTTTCTAGATATGTGGTCAATTTATGCAATCATATATTACAATGGAAGAATACATGAAGGTTCTATAGCTTGGGCATTTGATGGGCAAGCCAAAGGAATACAAATACAGGTTGAGATTGCATGATTTGAAAATCCGGCACGGGACACGTGATACGATATGACACGACACTTCGACACGTTAATTCTAAAAAATGTTAGATTTCGACACGTTAGGACACATTTTGATATTAAATAATATTTTTAATTTATGTTGTGTATATTGTATTTAATATTCAATAATTTAACAAAAAAATGAATCTAAACTTATAATATTCATGAATTTTGCAAAGAAACATAAGATATCTCAAATATGTATATTAAACTCAATATAATAGTAATCGTAATCTAACAAATTTAATAGTTGGAACAAAAAACTCAACGCAACGCAACCTTTAAACCTTTTTTTGAATTTCTATAACGCGTGTTGGAGTGTCGGGAAGTGTCGGAGTGTCGGAGTGTCCGAGAGTGTCGGAAAGTGTCGGACACGACACACGTTAGAATTTTTGAAGTGTCGGTGCTTCCTAGGTTAGAGGAGAACATTTCCTATTGGCGAATTGTTCATAGAAAAGGTCATCTATTTCAATATATTTCTTCAGTAATTCTGCAGATACCTGTTTCTTAGTGAAGAGAACTTGATCAGAAGATTCAAAACTGACGAGACCCTAATAAGCCATTAGGTTCTTGAGCAGCTGTTGTCAAAGTTTTTTGGGTAGACAATTCTACTAAAAACAGGTTCGGAGACTTTTTGACCACGGTAGCCTTTAATGACCCTAGTAAGCCATTATATAACGATCTAATCTAATATAAACATCCCTAATAAATTGCCTGACAATTTAGGGATAAGTTATTCTACCTACTCTTATTTTGCCAACTCTTTTAATACCGTTGGATTACAATCCTATCCAACGGTCGATATTTGTGATATGAAAAACCTTTTTTTTTCTCTCTCCTCACTCCCTCACATACCCTTTCTCTCTCCTCCACTTTCTCTCTTTCTCTGTGACCAATACCTAAACCTATTTTAAATCATCTGTCCACATCTTTGTAATCTCTCTATATTTATTTTAATTTTTTTTTTGAACTCATTGTTAAGCAAATTAACAACTCAGCATTTGAAAGAAGGTTTCAACCAAGTCGAGTAACGCCTCAATCTGCAAATTCCAGAACTCTAACCACAATTCAATCACATCTCTCAACATGCTTAGATTAAATTAAAATTTAAAAGTAAAAAGAAACTCAGAATAATTGAATTAGTTGATAAGTCCTAAAATAATTGAATCGATTTTCCTAAGTTTTTTAAGGAACCAAACAGAAACGGAAACAGCGAGAAAAAGAAGAGCAAGTGTACCTTAGACTACAACATCTCAATAAATGGGATAAGTGATTTTTTTTTTTTTTTGTACAGGAGATCTGCGATTTTCAATGACATAAAATTATCATTCTAATGAGTGATTGGGCTGAGAAGATTAAAGATACTTAGAAGAGTGAGGTAAAGACATCATCATATGTTGGGCAAATTTTATGATAATATAAGTTTATTGTGGTCGCAAAGGAAGAGAGAATGGGGAGGAGAGAGAATGAATGTGGGAGAAAGTGAGAAGAAAGAGAGGAAAAAAAATGTTTTTTATATCATAAATATCGACCGTCGGATGAAATTGTAATCGAACGGTATTAAAAGAGGTAGACAAATGTAGGCAAAATAAAGGTAGGTAGAATAACCTATCCCATAAAATAATAATAATTTTAAGGGAAAACTTCAAAAAACTTTATATGATTTTGCTTTGAATTATTTATATTCCTTTTTTTTTTAATCATTTACATTCTTTTATTTTTTTAATCATTTATCTTCCGTGATTTTTTTTCTTCCAAGTCCATCTTTATCATCATTAGAAACTTAATTACTTTACTTATTTAATATAATTATGACAAAAAAATAAAATAAAAAAAGAAATAAGATCCAATATATTAGAAACTTACAACTTAAAGAAAAGACTAAAAATAAAAAAATGAAAATTGAAAAAAAATATATTAAAAAATTATAATAGAGAAGATACTAAGTAAAAATAAATAAAAATAGTCTAAAAAAGAAAATAAACTAAAAATAAAAAAGAAATAGAAAAAAAAATTAAGATCAAATATGTCTAAATAAAAAAATAAATCGAAGACAAAAAAATAGAAAAAAAACCAAATATGTTAGAAATTATAAAAATGATTCATTTTTCTTTTCTTTTATATAAGATTTTTTTATTTCTTTTAACAGTGATAAAAAAGACTAAAAATAAGAAAATAAGAAAAATATCAATTATATCTAAATCAAAAAGAAGAAAATAATATGAGGACAGCAAAAAAATAGAAGAAAAATAAGACAAAAAATAAAATAAAAAAAAATAAATAGAAGAAAAAGAAATCTATAACGCTAAATCAATATGTTGAGATCTTACAGATTTTTTTCTATCATTTATTATTTATTTTATTTTTGATGTTATTTTTTCTCCGATTTTTTTGCTCCTCAGTGTATTTTATTATTATTATTTTTGGTAGCCATATTTTATTATTTTTAATTTAGACTATTTTTCTTATTTCTAAATTTTATTTTTTTCTACTAGTATTGTCAGTTTTCAATATATTTGATTTTATTTTTTCTTCAATTTTGTTATCCTTAATCTATTTATTTACTGTTTGATTTGACATATTTAATCTTTTTTTTTTTTTTTTTTTTTTTGTCATGGGTCTATTTTTCTTATTTTAAAAAGGGTTAAATAAATAAATTAGTTAATTTTATAACGGGGTTAAGAATGAACTTAAATGAAAAAATTATAAGGGGCAGGTGATTAAAAGAAAGAAAAAAAAAGCGCCAAGTGATTATGAGTATTTTATTTGTTTTTTTAACTTTTCCCTAATTTATAATAAGATTGATAAGAAGAAAAAAGATTGATAAGAATAGGATGATGAGATCAAACAATTTGATAGGGGTCACATGATCAGGTTATTCCGTGATACGAGAGTATCACGCATAAGCCTATTAGCGACGCATTGTAAGAGCTACAACACCACTCACCAACCATGCTTTGGTGCGTTAGATTCCCATTCATATGCCAACATGCTCCAACAAACAATTCAAAACCGTGACCCCAATTCAGGGAAGCGCCTCCACTGTGACATTCTCAAGCGAGGCGCTTCTTTGGACTTGTTCGCACAAAACATTCTTCTTAACACTTATGTCCAATCAGAGTCACTCGACGATGCATCCAAACTGTTCGATGAAATGCCTCTCACAAACACCATCTCTTTCGTCACCTTGGCTCAGGGTTACTCACGTTCTCTCCAATCCCATCATGCTCTTCACTTGATTCTCAGGTTGCTGAGATTTTCATCAATTAATACTTTTAAATTTAATCAAACTACAGTCTGCGTATATAATTATGCAGTGCACATGCCATGTTTTAATTGGATTACAAGTTCGATTCTCCTTTAATGAACCTCTTGAAAATGCAAAGTAAGGCTACCTAATATAGACTCACAAAATGAGTCTGACCTGGCTATGCGCATAGTGTGGAGCTTTATGCGCCTAGCGGAAGCTTTATAGCACCAGGTTACCCTTTCAATCAAGTGCAGTGGTGCTACACAAGAATCTCTGAGTTGAGTTAGTATGCTGTTAGTGACTAAGTTAGTTGCTTTCTCTTGTTCTATATAATGAAGTTTCGATCTCTCAGTTGTCTTTAATTGTTTCAATTTTGTCTGACCTGTATCATGTTTTTCCAACACAGGTTGTTCAGAGAAGGACACGAGCTGAACCAGTTTGTTTTTACTACTGTTCTCAAGTTGCTCGTGAGCATGGATTTGGCTCACGCGTGTTGGAGCATCCATGCGATTGTTTATAAGCTCGGGCATCACTCTGATGCGTTTGTTGGGACTGCCCTTATTGATGCATACTCTATTTGTGGAAATGTTGACGTTGCTCGGCAAGTTTTTGATGGACTTTGTTGTAAGGATATGGTATCTTGGACTGGGATGGTAGCTTGCTATGCTGAGAATTGCTGCTATGAGGATTCATTGCAACTTTTCTGCCAGATGAGGGTAATGGGGTATAGACCGAACAATTTTACCATTTCGGGTGCTCTGAAGTCCTGTCTTGGTCTACAGGCATTTGATGTTGGGAAAAGTGTTCATGGATGTGCTTTGAAAGCTTGTTTTGATTGGGATCTTTATGTTGGCACTGCGTTGCTTGAATTGTACGTTAAGTCTGGAGAGAGAGTTGATGCACGGAGGTTTTTTGAGGAAATGCCAAAAAATGATCTTATTCCTTGGAGTCTGATGATAGCACGATATGCTCAGAGTGACAAAGGTAAGGAGGCTTTGGAGTTGTTTTGTCGTATGAGGCAATCATCTATTGTCCCTAATCACTTTACGTTTGCTAGCGTGCTGCAAGCGTGTGCCTCTTTAGTTTCGCTGAATTTGGGAGAGCAAGTTCATTCTTATGTACTGAAAGTTGGTCTTGACTCAAATGTATTTGTGTCAAATGCCCTCATGGATGTTTATGCCAAGTGTGGTGAAATTGAGAACTCTGTGAAATTATTCGAGGAATCACCGGAGCAGAATGATGTTTCTTGGAACACTATAATTGTTGGTTATGTTCAGTTAGGGGATGGGGAGAAAGCAATGAATTTATTTTCATGTATGCATGGATATGACATGCAGCCCACTGAAGTGACATACTCAAGTGTTCTCCGTGCCTCTGCCAGTTTAGCGGCGTTAGAGCCAGGGCTTCAGATTCATTCCTTAACTATCAAAACCACGTATAGCAAAGACATTGTAGTTGCAAATTCTTTGATAGATATGTATGCCAAATGTGGAAGAATTAATGATGCCCGACTAATATTTGATAAGATGGACAAACAAGATGAAGTTTCATGGAATGCTATGATATGTGGATATTCTATGCATGGCCTGGGTATGGAGGCTCTAAATTTATTTGACATGATGCAACAGACTTATTGTAAACCTAACAAACTAACTTTTGTTGGTGTCCTGTCTGCATGTAGCAATGCAGGATTGTTAGACAAAGGACAAGCTCACTTTAAGTCAATGTTGCAGGACTACGGTATTGAACCATGTATAGAACATTATACTTGTATGGTTTGGCTTCTTGGAAGATCAGGTCAATTTGATGAAGCGGTGAAGCTCATTGGAGAAATTCCATTACAGCCTAGTGTTATGGTTTGGCGTGCATTGCTTGGTGCTTGTGTTATCCATAAGAATGTTGATCTAGGAAGAGTCTGTGCCCAGCATGTACTTGAGATGGAGCCCCATGATGATGCAACCCACGTACTTTTGTCGAACATGTATGCCACTGCAAGGAGATGGGACAACGTTGCTTCTGTTAGGAAAAATATGAAAAAGAAAAGAGTGAAGAAGGAACCAGGCTTAAGTTGGGTTGAGAGCCAAGGTGTGGTTCACTATTTTACTGTGGGGGACACTTCTCATCCTGACATTAAACTAATATGTGCAATGCTTGAATGGTTAAACAAGAAAACCAGGGATGCCGGGTATGTTCCTGATTGTAATGTTGTTTTGCTTGATGTGGACGATGATGAAAAGGAGCGTCTCTTGTGGGTGCATAGTGAAAGACTAGCACTGGCTTTTGGACTGTTGCGAATTCCGCCTGCGTGTTCTATTCGTATCATTAAAAACCTCCGTATATGTGTAGATTGTCACACTGTTATAAAATTGATATCAAAAGTTGTGCACAGAGAAATTGTTATCAGAGATATAAATCGGTACCATCATTTTCAGCACGGGGTTTGCTCCTGTGGTGATTACTGGTAACTGATGCAGTCAAATAGGATATCTTGTTTCACATTGTGAAGAAAGTGCAAGTTCCAAAATCTTTTAGGTAATTCCATGGATACAACCTTGGATGAATGTATCAAATGGTTCTTTATAATTTATTTATTTTTACTTCACCAATCATTCCTACTTGATTCGAAGATTAATCCATTTTAAATCTGATTTCTGGTTAGGCCAATAACATCTTAATGTATTATGATATCACTTGTGGATATTTCCTGGGTACAAGATTGTTTGTTTGTTACTAGATAGATTATCTGATATGCTTAAATCGATGTGTTTAACTGGATGGTATGGAGCTTTGACTTTTCATCCATAATTCTCATTTTTCCACCAATTGTGGAACTCTGAAACTTGAGGGAGCTCATCCTCTATATTTAATAGATTTTCCTCTATCAATGTTAGGACCACAAAAAGTTTGAAATGATCTAGGACACAACTTCTACTTTGATTGGATGAATGGCCTTTTAAATTTGGCACTGTGAACCAATGTGATTTAATCAATATTTTTTTTCTAGATTTTATACAAGCTTTTGCAGCCAATCCCTTCAAAAGACAGTTTAATATTGTAGGAGTTTCAAGTTATATCTGTTGTCCAAAAGGCTCCCCTTCAAAGCCATATAATCTGCAACACTGTTCTCCTCTCTAAAGGTGTGGCTGATCCTTGTTTGCCATTGCTTGCGCAGGGTAACTAGTGGAGCCAAAGGATGACAACTCACGCAGTGTCCCTCAATCAGGTTAATAGCAACCTTTGAGTCACTTTCTATCCAAACCTTTCTAAACCCCAAATCCCAAGCAAATTGAGGACCATTCAGAATACCCTAAATCTCAGCCCTCAGAGATGATCCATCACCCAACTTCCTGCAAAAACCCCCCATCCAAGTGCCTGTATCATCCCGAATCACACCCCCACAGCAAGGCATAGCTCCTCCCATGCTACTAGAACCATCTGTATTCAAATTGACCCAACCTTCAGGCTGGAATTTCCAGCAAATGAAAAGTTCCACCCTCTCCTTTCTCTGCAACTCGTGACACCCCAGCCTAGCCCCACGCCACATTATAATTCCAAAGATAAATTTTTGTATGCTTGATAATTGATTCTTGATTCGAAGATTTATTCTCAAGAATCCACTCATTCCTCACTATCCAAATAAACCAGCAAAGAACATCAAAAACACAGTATACCAATCCCCCTGTATGTTATTGCGCCTAGAAAGAGTGCTCCTCTTCCAGTTACACAGCTTATTGTTCATTTTCTGAAGAATAAAATCGAAGGTACTAGCCTTTGCTCTCTCATGCATCAACGAGATTCCCAAATACTTCCCCAGATCTGAGGTGATTGAAAAACCCATAGCTTGAGCTATCTCATCAGCTCTCAAATGGTTCACATTTATGGAGAAACATACCCTAGACTTGTCACTGCTAACTCTTTGACCTGAAGAATTACAAAAACATGATATCACTCTTCTGATAAGGTTATTTTATCACCCTAGACTGATTGGGGGACCTTTCTTTCTGAGAACAATAGGCCTCCATTGTTTTTTTTTTTTTTTTTTTTTTTTTTTGTAAATGGCCTCCATTGTTTTTATTTTAAAATATAACAATCTTTGCTTGGAACATAAGAGGCACAATCATAGCTATTGTCACCGGTTATAACTTATAACCACAAACCATAAATATTGGCACTCAAATTTTAAAGTCATATTTAAATTTATTTGATAAAGATATAATTTCTTATTTTGAAAAATATTTTTAGTTATTTTATGTATTTGAATGTATTTTATTTAAAATTTAATTTTTGATTTTTTTTAATAATTAAAAGTAGGAACTGATGTATAAATAATTTGAAAGAAAAAAAAAGTGATTTAGAAATTAATTTTAAAAATTATATGAAAATTCTATGATAAAGAATATTTTTATCTATTTATATCATATACGAGTACTATTTAATTTGCCTCAAACACTAACCATTTATATATCTAGTACACATTAAGTATGAGATAATATATGAATTTATCATATCTATTTCTTATCTTTTTCGTAATATCATATCTCACGAGCAGTAAATATAAATATGAAATTAAAAAATGCATGGGTAACCTAATTAGTTTTAGGGTTTTATAATTCTCAAATTTTCCTACACACCCTTCGATTTCCGTGCTGACATGGGTCCTACATATAATTTTTTCTAGAGAAAACTTCAAAAATCCCCCTGAAAATTTAGTCAGAATCACTTACCCCTTTCCTAATTTTTTTAATTATTTACACCCCTACTTAAAACTTTTTTATCACTTACTTTATTGATTTTTCTTTTGGTATATTGAGATTATTTTGATGCTATTAATTAAGGAAAAGATATTATAACAATCAAGTTGTATTAATATTAATGTTATCAACAATCCATCTTATCATCGATAGATCGATTATGTGGATTCAACGGTTATATTTATTCTCATCTTTATATGGTTATGATTTCTCAAATTTAATATTTTATAACTATTTTAATCTTTATATGGTTATGATTTTTCATACTTACTGCTTTCACTTTAAATATGGGGAATCATAACCATACAAAAATAAATATGGTGAATCATAATCATACAAAGATGTAAATAAATATAACCGTTGAATCAACATAAACGATCTAATAGTGAGATTAATTGATAGTAACACAATTTGAGTTGTTACAATATTATTCTTCGTTTAATAATTTGTATGAAAATAAATTAAATATTAAATTGTATATTGTTGGCAATTTAATAGAATTGCATCTTATACTTACTCTTTTTTTTTTAATCAAACTGGACAAAAATTTCTAAATTATTAATGAAATTTACTATTAGTGTACAGTGCATCGAAGTCGACTTTTGGTCAAATGGTGATGTGATTACCAACTTACTACCTATCTAATCACAATTAGATTAATATTTTCTCTCTCTTTAAAAACTTTTTAACATCCAATGGTGATGTGATGGGTAATAAGTTAGTAATGAGAGCTTTTGTTACTTAGAATATACTTACCAAAACCCTTGTACCATCTCCGGCTACGTTCTGCGGTTGGCTTCTCACAAGGTCACAGCTTCAGTGTTTCCCTGTTTCAACTTGGATGGGGTTCTGCGTTTTGCTTCTCTTATCTATCTTCTGACTGCGTTTTGAACTGCTCTAAGGTACTCTTATTTTGCTTACAGAGTTTCTATGTTTCACTCTTATGTTTAAACGTAACATTTGAGAATTCTTCTTCTTCTTATTATTATTATTTACAAAGAGTTGGAGTTGTGACTTTGCTACAACTACAAATTGTCCCATCATAATTCTTTTGTTGTCTTTAATATTTGTTATCTTTTAGTATTGAAGTTATGATTTAAATGTTATTTTATATGTATAATTTTTTTTTTTTTAGAATTAAAATTAAAAAGGTAAGATCTTGTAACCTTGGAAATCTTTTTATAGTAACGCATAGTAATAACACGTGCATAAATGTTTGCAATGTATTGTTAGTACTAAAACTTGTTTATGTTGGTGGTTAATCGTTTGGAAATTGGTGATGAAGGATGGATGTTGTTGTGGCATCTTCGTCTGATGATGGTGGAATAGGATGTTGGGAGCTTGAGACAGGGGCTGAGCAGCTTCGCTACAAATCGTGTTCTTCACCTTCTCATGGCCTTGTCTCTGTGGGTGGTCGCTTCCTCGCTTCTTCTCAGATTCGAGACCCTTCAGAATCTTCTGGTTCTGTTTTCTTCTGGTCCTGGTCCAAGGTCTTTTATTTCTTCCCAAATTTTATTTTTTATTTTTATTTTTTTATTATTTGACTTTTTTTAAACCCACTTAAATTGTAACATATGTAGTATTTTTTAATGTCATCTGTCTTAAGTGGCATTAGAAACCAATAAATGCATTTAGTTGAATTCATGCGTTGAATACTACAAGAGGAATAAATTTCTTCTCATTTATTAGATGATGTGTAATGATGAATGAATGATGACATTGTCACTTGCATAATGGGTGTGCAGCCGCAAGTTGAAGTTAAGAGCTTTCCTGCTGAACCTATTAAGCCCCTTGCTGCCAATCACCCGGGCACCTATCTTGCTGGTGGAGGCTTGTCTGGTAAAATATACTTGTGGGAGGTGAGTTTTTCTTTGTTGGTGGATCCTTATGCATCAAGGGTTGGTTTTTGATCTGGTTTTGAATTGGGGTTGAATAATTGATGGGTTAATTTGCATGGAAAGATTTTATGCAAAGTAAATGCCTTATGCCTGAATTTTTTGTGGGGATGCCAAACTTACCTGAAATTAGGTTGTGGAGAATTATGAATTGAAAGTGGAAACATGGGCTCTGTTTGAATCTTGTTTTCAAAAACAGTTTTTTAGTTTTCAGAACAAAAAAACTAAAAAACTCGTTTGGTAAGACCTGTTTTGTAAAAAATGTTTTGAAAACTATAACTGTTTTTTTGTTTTTAGAATCAAATTTAGAGAACATGTCTGAGTTGTTTTTGTTTTCTGTTTTTGTTTTTAACTTTCAAAGAAAAATAAATATAGAAAACAAATGTATCCATAACTATTTTACAAAACAGTTTTAAGAACAAAAAAACCAGAACACAATCAAACAGGCTCATGGTTTCTCTGTTTCTGTTTACTGGTATCCTGGACTGTACTGACTTAGATGTATTATTACTTTTAAGGTTGAAACTGGCAGATTGCTGAAGAAGTGGGACGCCTATTATATGGCTGTTACTTGCCTGGTATTTTCTGAAGATGACTCACTGCTGATATCTGGTTTTAAAGATGGACGCATAACAGTTTGGTCTCTCTTCACGTACTAGCTGCTAATCTTGTCTCTCCATTTTTTTCTCCTGTATCAGTTCTTTTTTTCTTTAGGATAATGTACTGCTTGGGTGCTAGCAGTGCTAACTACTAATATTACAGCATATGCTGCTTTCCTTTACATGGTTCAATATTTCAGGATATTTGATGATTTGAGAAGTCGGGAAGCTAATACTCTATATGAGCATAGTGTCAAAGAGCACACCCAATGTGTAACTGATGTTGTGATTGGTTATGGAGGGTGCAATGCAATTATAGTGTCAGCTTCAGAGGATATGACCTGTAAGGTCTGTTTTATTGTTTTTGTGTGGTGACAGTGTTGTAGTAGCAAAATAGATAAGCAATGATGTATGTTTACGAAGGAATTATATTAACTATTGCCAGCATGAATCACCAATCTCTACTATTTGTGAAATATAGGTGATGAGGGTCAAGGGTGCATATTACTCTATTTAAATATGAGTGACATTTATTCTAAGGAAATTTTAGCCATGAACTTAATAAATTATTGAGAGTTGATAATGTAAAAAAAGCTTAACTATTCAAAGAATATTTTCTTTCTAAATGCAAATTATGTTCCAAGATTTTTTATTTTTGCAAGTTTTCTTAGAGTATTTTTAGACTATGGTTGGAATGGACTTCAATTTAGTCTGTTATATCTCCATCCTCAGGTCCCTGCATGTAATCATATTTAACTCATGGTTACTTTTTATATTATTGGTTAAGTTATTCAGAATATGTGTGTGTGCGCGCGCTGTAGCTAAACTCATTGGCTTGTTTGTTGTTGTTTGTATGTTTTCCAATTCACTGATCTGGATTTTAAATTCTAATTTGTCTCCTTTTTCAGGTATGGACCTTATCTAAGGGAAAACTAAAACTACTAAGAAATATAGTATTCCCTGCAAAAGTTTATGCCATTGCATTGGATCCTGCTCAACATGTGTTTTATGCTGCCAGTGATGATGGAAAAATATTTATCGCCGCACTTAACACTGAAAGCAGTGCTAGTAACAATTATGGGATGTATTTCATTGATTCATCTTCTAGCAACAGGTTATATTTTCTTCTTGTATTGTCCAGATATTCAAAGTATTGAACTGTTGATGTCGTCTCATCATGATGTTAGTTTTTCAAATTTGTGTCAGTTATGACCGGAATGACTGTCTTTCTCTCTTTGAATTGTTTTCCCTTGTTTATATTTTGTAAATCTGGACAATGTAGACAGTCTTATGCTCCCTCCTAGCAACATATATGGAAGTTGCAAGCAATAGTATAGTTTTTAAATAGCAACATGATTGGAGCATTCTGTTTCTTGCGGAAACTTCAATGAGTATAGGGTTCAACCATGATTTAACTCTCAGCTATGATGAATTCAAGCAAACATTTATTATCCCTAGACTGGTCACAACAGATGAGGAATCTGAGATAGTTTATGTTGAAATTATTAGTTTGTTTTTATCCATAGCTGATTCTAATTTATTAAGCTTGAATTATATTGAAATATCCCTCACTCCCATCAAGATCCAAATTGAAGCTATTGTCGTTACTTAAAAGCTTATTGGAATATTTTGATCATAAGAATTTATGTAGTAAACCAGTAAATGAGCTAGGCCTTTTTTGTGAATTCTTTATAATTTTGTTTATAACATCTTGTATGCCTTTTTGCTACTGGCCTTTCTGTTACCTAAAAATAAAAGTTTGGTTCAAGCTGTGCAGTGTCATTTAACCGATTATCTAACTCATTTTAACAGCAAGGCAGTTACTTGCTTAGCATATGGCACGAGAGGGAATTTGTTAATATCTGGGTCAGAGGATGGAATGGTACGTGTTTGGGATGTGAGAACTCGTAACATTGTCCGCATGTTTAAACATGCTAAAGGTATTGTATAAACTTTGTGAAATATGGCATGCTTGTGGTTTGGTATTGTTGTTGCAGAACAGGCTTTCTGATTGCATATCTATGTTTAGTATTGCTTGTATGTTGTGCTATTTACTACAAACCTTTTTAATGGAATAAACTTCTGCTTTATCCATGCTCAAGTTGTTTTTTCTTTCCAAATCAAAACCTGTTAGTGACAACTGGCTATTCATGTGTGATATGTTAAAGCAACTAATCTAACATTTGTTAACTGTGCTTTCTGTGTGAATGTGAGCTTTTACTTCATTAGTTGATTAAAAAACATACTGGTACCTAATAGTTCTTCTCATCTTGGTAGAACATTGACAGTAATTATATTGTAGACTCACTTTTACTTATATCTGTGCTGGTATTAGTTTTCTTTTCTTAATCTTTTATTGTCAACTTTTGATTGGTGTTGCACTAAGTTATTTCCCTTTGATGAGGATAGCCAATATTTTTAGCGCAATATGCTCTGGTCTCTGGATGATTATATAAATGCTTGCTGTTGTCTTTTATATGCTTATCCTGGATGCTCATAGATGATATTGTTCTAGTTTACTCTGAGATGGGCATGTTTCATGACCAAATCACCTTCACGAGGTGGTATGAATGATGCTTGTTTTTTATATTAAGTCTGCTTAAGCATGCATTTTTTATATTTAAAGTTAATCTATTCTGGATGCTGCAGGACCTGTAAATAATGTTATTGTTGTTAGACAAGAAATTGACTTAAGTAATAGCATATCTTCTAATGTACAAGCATCCTCAAGAAAGCATGGGGCTTTTTTACCTCCATTGGAAAAATATGCAAATTCAACGGATGAAGACTCAGATATAAAGACTGTTATCAGCCTTGGGGGTGGCAGGAGATGCGTGGATGTTTCATACCTCAGTTCTCATGTGATATCTAATTGCATTAAGGAGCTTCAGGTTTTTGTGTCTTGATGATTACTTGTCTTAACATTTATAGTTATTAGTCTTGATTTATTATTTTGTTTTAAATTTGTTTGAAAGGGTAGCCATTACCTAATCCTCATATTGATGTAAACTCATATCATCTATCCTTCAGCATCAAGGTTCAGCTGCTGCTTCTGAAATGGAGATGGAGAAACTAAAACATGATTGCCAAAGGTCGATGCAAATGGTTGACCAATGGAAGAAAATGTACGGAAACTTGCATCAATTTTGTGCAAATGTGCTGGTAGATGATCAAGCTAGAACCTTAGATGAAAATGACAAATAGGGCAGGTTTTTATTGCCAGGCACTATTCAGTATATCTCTAGCATCACAAGATTTCCTTCTCCGTGTTCGTTCTGCTTCCTCTTAATTTTTTAATTTTTTTATTTTCTACGCCGCTATATTAATTTTTATCTTCTTTTTTTTAAAAAAAAAAAAAAAAACTGTTGTACATAAAGAAAACTTCATCCTTCCATTGATTCGTTAAAAGTATTCATTATCCATCATATTCATACCTACTGACAATTTTAGGAGAAAATAAAGTGATCCCAGGTTGACGGCTTTACTGCTTGCAGAATTTTTATGAATCCATCATCTGGTTGTGATGTCTATGCTCAGAGTCTCAGACTGCATTTTAATCTGATTAATTTTAGGGAAAATACCTTCTCCTGTTGCGGGAGACAGTAATTTCCTGCTGTCCATATATAAAAAAAATGTGTCATTTTTTTTTTAAGTTGATCTCACATATTTATGTGTTCACTACATGACATGACAGGAGGAGTCACTTGTTACATGAGACTCTTTTTTCCCTTAATTTTAACTCTGTTTAATTGTCATGTTTTTCTCAAGCTGGTTTGGTGGAAACCAGTACTTGTGGACACTTAGGTTTTAAGCTTTTAATGTATCTGTTAGAGATAATATATATATATATAAAAAAAAATTACTTTTCTTATTTTTCTAATAAATATTTAATCTTACACCTCTGTTCATGTTATTTTTTTTCTCTCTAAGATATGGTGTTGAAATGATTTGAGGGATAGGGTCGGGTTTCAAAGAGCAAATCAAAGGTTTGATTCTCAATTTTTTTTTTTTTAATTTGGTAGGCAATAAATAATTTCATTCTGATAGGCAATATTGTCTTTTATTGAAAAAATTTAATAACGTTGGTGGTCTTTTTTTGATTTTGAATGGAGAGTATTTTTCCCTAATTTCAATTTTTACATAAGAGATTATGCTTATCATTATTTTAGGTTTGTTATCTTTAACGGCTATCATTAGTTTAATTTAAAATCAGTGATAGATCCTCTCCAAAAAATAAAAATAAAAATCAGTGATATTTTTTTTTTCCTTTTATAACTGTTAATTTTAAATTAATTCAATAATAATCTTACTTGTGATAAGAATGATAAATCTAAAAGGGGAAGAATTTGTTTACAATTTTTTTTTTTTACAAATTATATTATATATGACTGGTCATACGACCCATACCACTGTTGTAAAATTCGGCTCGACCTGGCTGGGTCAACCTGAGATCCGGTGAACTGGTCAACGGATCAGTTCAGGTCAAGTATTGGACCGATCATGCATCGATCCGGTCGAATTCAGTCGAAATTTGGACAAAATCGGCCAAACTCGGTCAAAAAATGGTGACCCGGTCGGATCATGGATTAAAAAACAAAAAAACCAAAACTGTATCATCTTATCAGAAAAAAATGTAGAACTCATTTTAAAAACTTGTTGTAATTTTATTTGCTAGTATACTCTTTTACAATGACCTCAAATTTCAATTTTCAATACTGAAGCAATTTGCGGAATAGTAAATTAAGAGAATGTGACATATCACATATGTCATTTTAATGTAGTTGAATTTGAAAAATATAAGTTCAATGTCATTGAAAGGTATGTTTATAGGGATTATGAGTTACAATTTAAATTGACATAATAATAGCGTGCATTTTAATTTATTTATGTTTCATGTTTTTGAGCTTATTTAGTGAATCTTGTTTAATTCATTTTATATATGTTGAATTTATATGTTAATATTTTTTTTTTTTACATATATATTTATATATATTTGGGTCAACCGGTCTGACCAGTGACCTAGTACTCCGACCGGGTCGATGCCCGAGTCGGATTTAACAACACTGGGTCATACATTCTTGATTGAAGTATGACTAGTGTAACATCAAGGGCGCAAGGGCATGGTGCGCAAGGGCAGAGACAAGGAGCAGCTCCTGACAGGCTTCCAACAACGAGGGTACATGAATGAATCGAATTAACACCTGAAAGAGAGGGATTCCAGAGACTGTGCTGGTATAGGACACTGCACTTGAAGATATCTTATAAGAATTAATTGGTACTACCTATACTAACAAGATGCATCTACTTTTCAGTAGACCTGTACGGAAAAAGTATCGTGTTAGTGTGTGGGGATGGTCATTGTAATTCTGGGATGGGTTACCTCCTAGAAAGTTTTCTCAAGAATTGTGCGAGTGAGGAAAAAACACGCTAAAAAGTATCGTGTTAGTGTGTGGGAATATTCATTGATTCTTGAAGCGATTAAGCATTATAATCGGTTAGACATACTGTAGAACCTTCCCCGATCTAAATTAATAGTAAGTATAAAAAAAAAAACACACACACACACACATATGATATGGTATTGTTTTGATTCATAAGGAATTGAGTCGAGTTTTTGGTGAAATTGGCAAGCTTCCTTAGGTGCTGTTTGGTTGAGGAGATTCTGTAATTTTCCTAGGCAAATCAACTTGGGAATTCAGTTTGTCTTTGTTTGGTAAGACAGATTTGGAAAGTTGCCCATCTATGCCATTTGCATGGCATTTGCTCATTTGATCGATAAAGCTAGACATTGGCACTGTTGAGAAAGAGAACTTGGAGATGGGTTTTTGTGGATATCCGTCTAACTTGAAAATTGCAAATTTAAAGCAACCGAAAATACCCTTCTAATATTATCTTGGTTTTGTGCTCAGCAGCCCCCCACTTCTTACCCGGTACCCTATTTACACAAGCTGCAAGTTTTTCTGTAACAATGCTTTCAGGAAGCTTCTTACTTGCAGAAACAATAACATACATCAAATAAGAAACAACATTAAAAATATAGAACCAGACATGTTTTCTGTTAGCCCCTGTAATAATGTTCTTCTTGGTTTGGTTGCAGGAGCTCCATCAACATCAATAATGAGGCTGAGAATGCAGGTGTCAAAGAAATAGAATCTGGTGAGGAAGTTGAAGATTATTTCATCCCAGATATTCAATCACTTATGCAGTTGAGGGAAAAATATTGCATTCAGTGTCTTGAGCTACTTGGAGAATATGTTCCCTTGGACCTGCTTCTTTGTTGGGAACAATGACATAGACAACGATGCTGGGACTCCCTTCCATTCTGATGAAGCTACTGCTCTTTGCACGAGACTGGCTATGGCTACCTAATTTAGATCTGGAAAAAAAAGCAATTGAATTATAGAGAGAAATCGAAGAGAAGTGTATTGGAGCTAAATTTGTAATTTTATATCATTTACCCATCAATATTTTTTCCTAAACCAAACATAGGTTTTCAAAATTTTCCTGATAAAAATTTATCCAACCAAACTACTTTTTTTTAACTTCCCCATCTATTTAACTTTCCCTGTGGATCCCCAGTAATGACATTTCCCCGGTGAACTAAAATATACTCGTGAACCAAACACCACCTTAAGCTATAATTGGGGTTTACCAGCATGTTATTTTTAACTTTTTTAGTAAGTGATTCTTGACGTGGGTAATGTTGCAAGTCAATTATTAAACACACATTCATGTTGGCAAGCACTTTTATCGAACAGTGACTTAAATGGTATGTTTTTTAAATTTTTTTATCATAATGCCACGTGAACAATTTTATCAGATTATCATGCGTCTAAATTCGTTACTAGTTGTATCAAACTTGGTTAGGTCACGTGACACATTCCTATTAGTTCAGTCAATTTTTTTCTTATAAAATGTGCACGTGTAACAAATTTGAAGGTGATTAAGTTCGTTACTGCTGGTATCAAACTTGATAAGCTGATGAGAATGTGTCATGTGGCCTAACCAAGTTCACTATAATTGGTAACGAACTTGGATGCGTGATAGTCTGATAAAAAATATTATCTGCATGGCATTTGCAAAAAAATTTGGCAAAATATGACATTTAGTTCATTGTTCCCGACTTTATTGGTTTCAATTTAAAGAAAATTAATTCTTCATGATTACGGATGTCTATTCACCAATGCTGTGAGCAATCAAACGTTTACGAAAACTTTGAATGTCCATTGTCATTAAGAAAGAGTACCCAATTATGGAACAATTTTTTGGTGCCTCAGATATATTAATTAGGTACATTTAATTAAGTTCGTTACTACTAGTATCAAACTTGATAAGCTAATGATAATGTGTCACGTGGTCTAACCAAGTTTCCTATAACATAGCGAAATTGAATGCGTGGTAGTCTGATAAAAAATATTATCTGCGTGGCATTTGCGAAATTTTTTTGGCAAAATATGACATTTAGGTCATTGTTCCCGACTTTATAGGTTTCAGTTTAATCAAAATTAATTCTTCATGATTACAGATGTCTATTTACCAATGCTTTGAGCAACCAAATGTTTACGAAAAGTTTGAATGTCCATTGTCATTAAGAGTACCCAATTATGAAACAAATTTTTGGTGCATCAGATATATTTAATTAGGTATATTTTTCTTTTACTTTTGGAAAAAAATTCAATGTGATGGTAATTTTTTTTTCAAAAGTGGAAAAAAAAGTACGCATATATGTGATACATCAAAGTTTTGTTTCCAACTGTGAGAAAATAAGTAGGCACGACACAATCAAACTTATGCAATAAACAAATTAATAGTATTAAACTAAGGCAAAAATATTTCTGACTCTGCGACAAAAATATTTTGTCTGCCACAAACACATATTTATCAGGATCTAACATCGGATCCTAATGAATATGTGGTTGTGACATATAAATTTTTCTGCCACAGATGCAAAAGAAAGTGGAACCCTAAAACTAGTTAAAAAAATTAATTCAACACATACATACGACAAGTTTGAAGGAAAGGTCTAGAGCATGAGCACAAACCAGACAAATTAAAAGTATAAAATTAATTTCAAAATCAATCCAGCAAATATAGAACAATAAATGATGAAAAAAGTGTATCCTTTTAAAAGGACACATACTTAGGAGGCGTTTGGTAGAGAGAAATTATTTTTTATCCGAAAATCTTAATTCTCAAAAATATACTAGAAAATAAGCTTACTGGGAATGTTATAAGAAGTTGTTTGGTTGGTCAAAATATTTCCAGAAACATTAGATTGATTTTTACGCAGAATTTTCCCGTCCACCAAGATTCTTGAAATACCACATCTTGGATGGCATTATATGTGTTATTTAAAATCTTGGGAATAAAATTTTCCGAGGATAATTTTAGGTTTCTTTATACCAAATATGATAATATCATATTGCCACTGTCAATTTGTTGGAAAAAAAAATGTTCACGTACGACACATTATG